CGATGACGCTGCGCAAGTATTAAAGAAAAATCTATTTTGCAATCCACATACTTGCAAAATAACTGGAGATTTAGTGGATCAAGTGCGTTACAGGTATGAAAATCAATTTAAATTCTTTATTGTTATTAAAAGAAAAATATGTTTTTATTAGAATTTTAAACCATTTTAATACTGACGCTACTGAATATAATGTTATTTTTACTGCTAATGCAACGGCTGCCCTGAAGCTGGTTGCTGAAACATTTGATTTTGGTCAAAAAGATGGACGTCCTGCCGGTGCCTTTTACTATTGCCAAGAAAATCATACATCCGTGCTTGGTATGCGGGAAGTTATAAAAACTGATAAGCTATTTGTCTTGACAAAAGATGAACTAGTAAAAAATCTGAAAATAAATACTTCTGAAAGCGAACTAGAAGCCCCTATTACAGCTAAATCACAAGATCACAATTCGTTAGTTGCGTTTTCTGCTCAGTGTAACTTTAGTGGATATAAAATGCCACTGGAAGTAATTGATGTTATACAAAAGAAAGGATTAGCAGTGCAACCAAAGCAAATAAGCGGCATTGAATATACTCCAACGGACGATGAAAGTAATTTCTTTGTTTGTCTGGATACTGCATCGTATGCTGCTTCAAATTACCTGGATTTAGGAAAATTTAAGCCGGATTTCTGTTGTTTATCATTTTATAAAATGTTTGGGTAAGCTTAGTAAGCAAAAGAAAATTCTTTATTATAATTATTTTTCAATAGATATCCAACTGGCGTTGGAGCATTATTGGTCAGTAAACGAGGACAAAATGTTTTAAATAAAGTATACTATGGCGGTGGTACTGTAAAAATAGCTATGACAAGACAAAACTTTCACGAAAAACGTGATGGTTTTACAGAACGTTTCGAGGACGGCACATTACCATTTTTAACTATTGCCTCCTTGCTGGAAGGATTTCGTACACTGTATCGCTTAATACCACCAACGATAACTAAAACTACAGGGGAACGTATTGCTGCACATGTTTTTCAATTAGCAAAATATTGTCATGATTTCCTTGGTCAATTGCAACATGCAAATGGTTCCCCTCTTGTTAAATTTTACAATCACACAAACTATGAAAGTGTGAAGGTGCAAGGTGGCCTTGTAACATTTAATATTTTACATGACGATGGTTCGTATGTGGGATTTGCGGAAGTAGCTTGTATTGTAGCAGTACATAATATACAAATGAGAACTGGGTGCTTTTGTAATCCAGGAGCATGTCAAGTATTCTTAAACCTATCTGACAACGACATACTTAAACAATTCGAGTCTGGACACATTTGCAGTGATTATAATGATTTAGTCGATGGTGTACCTACTGGAGCAGTTCGAATGTCTTTTGGTTATATGACAACGAAAGAAGATGTTAGCAAAGCAATTCAAATAATACGTGATTGCTACCTCACCTCTACAGTCCAACGTTTAAGCATATTGGAAAATTCAACTTTGCCAAGTGCATTGCAACACATTCCACAACGTTTACGCGCACATTTGAAAAAAATTTGTATATATCCAATTAAGTCCTGTGGTTCATATGATGTATTAGAGTGGCAGCTCACTAATACTGGTTTTAAATATGATCGCAATTGGATGATCGTTGATAACAATGGCATGGCGATTACTCAAAAACACAATACACGATTGTGTCTCATAAAACCAGAAATTGATCTTAAAAAAGGTTACCTCACCATATCATTTCCGAATATGAAGTGTATTGATGTACCACTTGAAATAAATGAAGATGCAAAGATTTTGGAAACTAGTATTTGTCAGAGTAAAGTATGTAATGATATAATAAAAGGGATCGATTGTGGAGATGAAGTAGCACATTGGTTATCTGATTGCTTGGAAATGGATGGTTTGCGCTTAATAAAACAAAATACCGAACGCCGCAATCAAGATGGTACGGTCAGAGATATAGCATTAGCAAATCAAGCACAGTTTTTACTTATTAATCGTGCTTCCGTTTGTTGGTTAGCTAACAAGGTTGAAACAGAAAAAGAATTGCTCGACAATACGCTAGGTCGTTTTAGAGCAAACCTAATCATTGAGACTTCCAAACCTTTGGAAGAGAATAATTTTAAAGAGCTTTGCATAAATGACACCATATTTAAGGTGGATGGTTTTTGTACACGTTGTCAAATGATCTGCATCGACCAACAGACTGGACAAAAAACAAATGAACCATTACGAACCATTGCGCGCGTATTTAACGGTAAAATACGATTTGGTATATATATGTCTTTAAAGAATACTTTTAAAAATGAAGTACTTATATCATGTAAAGATACGCTGACAGTCAAGTACAAAAATGACTAGTATTCTGAAAATAAATTGTTAATCATAGTGTTTTATTATTATTTAAAATACAAAATTGTTATACAAAATACTTAAAAATAGTTAAAAATTTAAATGTATAAAATGTATATATAGAGTACATTAGTACTTATAGAAATATATTAGTTTTGTAGTCAAGAATTATTTATAAGCAAATAAATAAACAGTGATATCCTATAATATGCAGCAATTTTCTATTGGTTGCTCTTTAATTTTACTAAGTGGCAGTCCTTCTTGCGCCTTTTGTACATTTTCTAATACACTTTCATGATCAGGAAATGCCAATGTTGTAAGTTTTGAATGCACCAACTGATCATTAATTTTAACTTCAAATGAGCCTTGTCTACCTTTGTGGCAAATAACTTCAGTGCCCGGCTGCTTTTCAATTAGGAAGTTTTGCAGCATTTTACACTGCCATTCAAAATTACATTTTCCACTAATTAAGACATTTGAATAAATAACTATTTAAACTTATTGATATATATGGATTGTTTACCAATATTCCACATCCACAATAACCATTTCGAAGACACAATTCTACCCACTTCATTGAATTGAAAAAAACCAAACACTCTAACGTAACTTCTTACACAACTACCAAAATTAATGCTGAAACGAAACGGAATTGAAATAGAATTGAAATACCGCCAAAACGTATCTTATTTAAATATACAACTTACACAAGTTGATATGAATCTAACAAAATTTTAATCACGATATTATATTTATTATGTCCTACAAACATTACTAATTGACTTAAATGTAACTAAATCCCCAAAAAATTAACAACTGAGAAAATTATTTCAAATATTGTATCATATGTATTTATAGTACTATTTATGACATAAATTTTTATTGTCTTGAACTTTATCAATTGTCATATATGATAGAAGAGGAATATATAGCAAGACATGAGTTAACTAGTCGCCACATGGCATGAACATGGGTTGACAGAATCATTTACTTACTTATAGTTATGGAAGATGTGAGGTAAAAACTATTCACACAACACAAGTAATTTTGATTTTAAATGTAATTTTTTTTGTTTGGTCACAGAATCAAGTTAAAGTTGTAATCTAATTTCATAGAAAAATTCAATATCTCAAATTACGATTAAATTTTAATTTGTATAATATTAAGTTCGTAATTCACAATAGTATAAGTGTACAGAGATATTGTGAATAATTCTTACAAACATTGGAAATCAAAACAAAATACTGTTGTAGTGTTCGACCTTTTTGTTAACAAGCAAAACTAGACACACAATATGAAACAAACTTTATGGCTTGCAGTGTGAATATGTTGTAAAAAATTACTTGCTATAAAGTTATAAATAACCATAAATTAGAAAAATCAATTATGTGAAAAATTTCATCAATAATAAAACTGCGTTATCTAGTTTTTCGTTAGTACAACAATGAAATGTCAGATATTTACGAATTAATTGTTTTCAAAACAAACATTATTATATTAATACAATAATGCCAAACTATAGTAGGAATTGTATCGTTATAAATGTGCGTCAAGCGTTAGCTATTATAATAATATTTATTTTGAGCGGAATAAAACAAAGTCAAACAGCAGTTAATTATATGGACAATTATGAAAAGAATAATACAAACACTCCACCCGTAATTGTTAAAAGTTTGAACGACACGAATGTTTACTGCCCAGGAGAAAGTGATACAGAATGTTCAGCACTAACTTATCCTTGCATCCGATGTGCATACAATAATTCCTGTCATTATGGACGTGATCTCAATGTCACATGTTCAGTGTTTGAACATGTGCAGTGCCTAGGAGAGCGTCAGTTTATACGACAAATGAACTGCCGTTACTGCTATCAAACTGAACTTTGGCAACAAGCGTGTGTGATGCGCGGAAATTGCAATTCCGTTAATAACCAATATTATCGGACGAATTGCACAGTGCACTCTGATGTATTGTGTTTAGGCAATCGTTCATTTACTCGCAACATTAAATGCAATTGGACTCAAGGTTATCGTTGGAGTTCTGCTTTAATAATAAGCTTAACATTAGGTGGATTTGGTGCGGATCGTTTTTATTTAGGACACTGGCAGGAAGGAATCGGAAAGTTGTTCAGTTTTGGTGGCTTAGGTGTTTGGACAATTATTGATGTTTTGCTTATATCTTTACATTATCTGGGACCAGCTGATGGTTCTTTGTATATATAAAATTTGATGCCCCATATATTTATTAAAATTAATATAAGAACATTGTTATGATAGACTGTTTTTATTAAATAAATTACAATCTTTAAAGTTATTTTATTAATGATTTTGCTTGTACATTACAAAATAATTTTATAAATATTAATTATCATCATCAAATCGAATGTGCTTTGTTAACACTTTTTTTATTTTTTCTCTTCCTCTCTTTTGTGGTACTTTAATTTGTTTGTTGAGTTTCATTTCGCGATCGCCTTCAATTTTTTTCCAGTATTCCTGTTCAGCTTCTCCTGTTAGAATTTTCATTTGATACTCAGCACAATTAACTCGCTGCACAAATTCTACTGCTGCTGCTGGATTTTCAAGTCGAACATGAGCATGCAGAGAACCTTCTTTGACGTCAACATACTTTATTGTAGTATATTGGCGCATATTTGCTTTAAATTCTTTAATATCCACACAAGGCTCTATAAAAAGAATTTCAACTATTAAACCAGACTCATAACTAAATAGCGGTTGACGTTCTAATGCTTGATTTTGCTTTGTTTCTTTGACAGAATTTTTGGATTGCGCTTCATCTTCCCCAGCGCCATAAAAGTTCATATTCATTTTATGTAGTTTACGTCCAGCTGTTTTTATTTTTTTCGAAGGAGGAGGAGCAGAAGTATTTGAATTTGACGTAGCATCGTTAGACTCTTGTAAAGTTTTAAGTTTTTCCTTCCACAGTTTACGTTTGATTTCAGATACTTTTTCTCTTTGCAGATTTAAATATTTATTCCTTAAACGTTTCCAATCACGTTTTGGTAAAATTTTTAATTCATAAAAGGAAGGATCTGTGTTTAAATCAGCTTCTTTTTGGTATTTTTTTATTCCTTTTGATTTTTTTCTTCGATTTTTCTTACATTTTACCATGTCAGAATTCATTTTATCATCACTATGACCACCTTCTGTTTCCGATGTTGATGCTGTTTTTGTGTCATCATTATCTAATTAAATAATATAAATAAAATTTTCATGTGATTTTAATGTTTATAATTATACCGTTTTCTTTAATCCTTTTTACTTTTGGTTGAGCCACATCGTCTGCGCTTTCGACGCTTACACATCTCTTTTTTGCACTTTTTTCAACTATTTCTGGAACTATATCTTGACTTTTATTTTCTGTGATGTATGATTGCACACTTCTCAATTTACTAGGTTCTGTCTCCTGCACATTCAAGACACCGTCAAAATCAACGAAGCTATGAAGTGCTTTTGCAACACTCTTCTCTTGTTCGAACTCAACAAATGCAAATCCCTTAATCTTTTTGGATGTTTCATATTTTGGAAGAGAAACATAGGAAACAGCACCATAACGTTCAAAATGTTTTCTTATCCAGTCATGGTCCGCAGTTGGTGGTAATGACTCAATATATAATGTTTTTTCATCGACGTTGCGTTCTTTTGGTATTTCTGTTTTACGCCGAACTTTTAACTTTGTAGTCTCATCTAGTTCTAGGAGGTCAGAGTTTGACAACGCTTTGCTAATATCTTCTACTTTACTCGTTAAAGTTTTTACTTTGTTGAAGTTTAAAAACACCTCCAGCGGTACAACTGCAATAAAAACATATTTCATCATATATATTTTTATAGTATACTTTAAACATCATAATTACATGGATCCTTATCGATAAGTTGTTTTAGAAATCTGTCCTTAGAGAGATTTGCATCTCCGAAGTAAAATTCCATTTGGGCGCGTATTGCATTGAAATATTGCTTGTGTCGCTTTCTATGGCTATTTTCAGTTCCCTGAACGGCACAATCTGCAACAGCAGTTTTTGATGAAGTTTCCGGAGATGTTTTACTTTCAGTCTCAGAAGATTTAAAAATTTCTATTTGATTATCCATTGCTTTAAACTTGAATACATGTAAGTAAGAAAATGCAAATCGAAGTTGCCAAGACTCAAGACAACAAAACCTGTACCAATTTCTTTATGCATCTACCGGTTGTCAAATCATTTCATTTGCAAAATATCATACTACGCATAGGTAGATGCTTCACTTTCTGTTCAAGACAATATTAACATATAATATTGTAACATATGCCATCCATAAATTGTAAATGATGTTATATCATGACATCTAATGTCGTGAGTGAGTCCTATAGTAAAGAAATTTAATTTTCTATAAATAACCTGAAATTAAAAATTTTGTTTCAATAAATCTTGTGTAAGCTTTTGAATTATAGTATATAAAAATGTGATGTGTAAATAAATAGAGGTATCTTTCACTTGTTTTATGTGATTATGTTACATATGAAGTTTAATTTTAAACGTAGGAAATTGTACAAAATAATATGGCTCAATAATATCTTGATACGGGAGGATACATTTAATAAATCTAACCTAGTGCTTTTTAGTGGAAATCTGTAAATTATTTAAAATGATACTGAGAAGCAACCATTTTTTTTCGTTGGTTGGCTGGTCCCTCTACAAAGCATATATTAAAATGAGGTGTGTTTAATAATCTTATAAACATATGCAGTGCAAAATTCAAATACAAGCTAGTCAATTATAGTAAGTCGACTGCTATAACAATTTCTTTGTGGTGTACGATTTTATATCATAATAAATACTATTTAATTTTATTGACTTGCATAAAATTGCATTTTTGATACTTCTATTATCAAAAGATTAAATGCGTTATAAATTCGTATTAATATATGTGAACGAACAGAAATATATGTTAAAGCTACTTTGTATTTAAGAAAGTAAATTGCTTATTATGTGCTGATAAATTATATTATCATATTAAAGTAATTAATAATTGCAATGCCAAATAGTTGTGAAAATTGTTTTTGTTGGTTCGCTGGTTTCAGATATAATTTTTGTGCTTTATCTATGTGACTTCTTCATTTCACATTCCAAACAAATACTTTGGTTAAACGTACGTCTTATGTTTTGGCATTTATGTGAAACACAACGACGCTTGAACGCGGTTAAATAAAATAAATTTTAGCAAAAATGGATTTGAAGAAATTTCTTATGTTAAAACAAGATGTATGCCGATTAGTTCTAGGTGAATTATTAATAATCTAATTAGATATTAATTTAACAAAAATTTTTAAAACTAGGATTTATGAAAAAGAATGGATACGAACAAACTGCAGACCAATTTATTAGAGAATGCCCTGAATTATATGAGATATTCGTCGCAAAGCAACAGGGCGAGGACATCGTTTGTTCGGAAAAGCTAGAAAAGATTTTAGCCGATCATCAATTTATAAAGCGAATCCGTTAGTATGCTAATTTGGTATTAAACATTGTTTCATACTTAACTTTTCAGTAAACAAGTTGAACCCGCGCGACGATATGTCTCTGCGTGATAAATTTTTGTTGATAATTAATCAAAAACATGAATTGCTGAAAGAACCGTAAGTACTGAATGCGAGTATTAATATTTTATATAAAAACATTTTTATATATTTTGAAGTGAGCGGCGTGACTATTTTAGTGCTGAGCGCAAATATAACTATGAGTATAAACAAGGACAGAAGGTTATATCTTCCCAAACCATTGTAAATCGTATACCAACAGATGGTATTTTAAACATATAAATTAATGCTAATATATTATATTATTATGTTTTTTTTATTTGAAGATAATCAGCAGCACATCGTAACCAATAAAGACTCAGTATCTGAAATTACGAATGCAACAAATGAGGTGAGTGTCTTTGTTATCATGTCCTTTAATATTTTTAATCAGAATATATATTGCAGTATATGGATGTAAATATTAATCAAGATGTTGATAGTGTATTAGTTCTTGATGACGAAAATCTCAATACTAATGGAGCTTTTGTGGAGCAAATAGGCCAATCTAATGATCAAGTGGTAGAAGTTCAGTTTCAGGGTAAATGTCTAAAGATATAATTTTCTAATTAAATATAAATAACGAGGTGTAGTGTTCCACACATATTGTCATTGTAATACAAAAATAAAAAATATTAAAGAGTTTCATTTATTATTAATTGAATTGAAATTCTTTTTACTGTTAATTTTTCCAAAATATAATTTAAATATAAATTTGAAATACAAATAAAGCATAGTTATGACGAGTCAGTACTGTGTAGAACACTGCAAAGTTTTGCTAAAATTACAATTTAATAAATAATTATAAGTTTTTCATAATAAAATGCCACTTAATTACATATACTTATATAATTTTCTATAATATTTAAAACGTAATATATTCAAATAGGCACATCTTGCGGAAACATTTTTCCAGATGACTTCTTATATGTGAATGATGTCACATCGTCAAAATCATTCATGATTCAGAAACATTCATTAAACCTCGTTGGTGATTATAATATTAATAATTTAGGAATTGTGCAGACAAATGGTGCATATGAAACTATAAGTCCACCTCACATTTTAAATACAAATAGTTCCTCAACACCACGTAAAACAACACCACGAAAAACAACACCATCGCATGTTAGAGCTCTAACATTTTCACCAAAGGTCACTTCAAAGAAAAAAGCAATCATTAAAAGTCCTTTAGTAAAAATAACAGAGATCAAGAAATTACCAAATGTTATCATTGCTGAAATGACAGACGGAAAATCTGTTTCTAGTTCCGATATCGTGGCAACTAATACTGTTACTTCTACTGCAGTTGCTACAAGTACCACTCCTTCTGTTGCAGTTGCTACAAGTACCGCTGCTCCTGCTACAGTTGCGACTAGTACTGCTGCAGCAGTTGTGACAAGTACTGTTAGTCTAGCTAGTACTTCTACTGCAACTAATGTTATTGTCGCTAATAGTGATATTAATACTGGTACTGAGGAAGCCTACTCAGAATGTATAATCGATGATGAAAGCTCTGTTGAATTGCCTTTAAGCACAAAAGTGTGCCCTGCAGTAAAAATAAACGAAGATTCTGAAGATATGAAAAAATGGAAGCTCATTCGGTCTCAAAAGTTAGGTGACTTAGACACTAGATTAAGAGAAATTAATGTCTTCACTGGTAACAATATGCCCACACCTAGGGAAAATAAAAGAAAACCTCGTCGAAAACGATTAACAAACAAAAAAGGGAAAAATAAGGAAACTATAAAAGAGGAGGAAGAAACGGATGATGATGTACAAATTATACAGCCCGAAATCAAGAAACTTAAAATTGGTGTAAGATCACAGCAGCGCAATATAAAATCGAAAATAAATTCATCAAGTGAGAATATTCAACCGACTATTCAACCGACTGAAACTCAAAGTAGTACCAATGTGAAAAAGGCTGAGATAAACGAAGTAGTGGTTCCACCTAATTATAAGGTAAATGCTTATATTTGTTTTGAAATTGAATAACTTGTATTTATATTTTAATAAAAACGTTACAGGCTGAAATTGAGAAACGCACCAATAATATCGGATTTTTATTAGAGACTCCATTTAAGGACTGTTTACCGAGTTATGTACCTACAACACCTGGATTACCATCATTAATGTGTAAACCCGAAGATGGCGGGTTTAACGCATCATCTTTGTTTGGGTCACTTACTAAGAGTGAGTTAGGCTCACCAATAATGAATGCCATAACGCCTGGTTTAAAATGTTTGGCATCGCAAAATTTAAAAGATCCCACTCCAAAAAGCGGTTTGGTAACTGAATATTCATCATGTGGGTCGTATTATAAACCAGATGAATCTGAAGACATTGAAATTGATAGAATCGCTAGTCGCAGTTCTGCAAATAAACATTTAAAAGAAACTGAAATGAGAAATGAAAAACCACAACTTAGTAAAATACTGGAAGATGGGGAACTTAATTCAACTGGAAGTTCCAATAATGATTCTACGAAAAAGGACGATTCTAATGTAGAACATAAGGTGAATATAGATGAAAATGATGAAAAAGTTGTATGTATTGATGAAAATTCAAATTCGTCTATGAGTTCAAATTCTTCGTCGTCATCATCATCTAGTAATTCTTCAACGGCAAGATCTTCATCTTCTTCAAGTAGCGCAAATACATCAAAAACTCATAATGAAAACATACCTAAAGGTGAAGACGAATCTGTGCATAGAGATTCTAATGATAAGAATTTAAATGAAGTACCTACAAAATCGTTTGTTGAACCCACTGTGGTTGAAAACGTACCTACAATATTGATTGATGAACCAACTATAATTGAAAAAGTTCCTACTAATAAAATGCAGTTAAGAAAATCAAGACATGTTGGAAATAGTCAGACGGTGCAGGACAATAAAATCAGAGGGGTTCAAAACGAACTTGAGATGAAAAAGCAGAGAATGAAAAACAAATTAAAGGATGAACCGTCAACGTCAAATAAAAAAAAGCCACCTCCTAAAGTAGTGTCTCGATATAATACTAAACAAGCAGCTTCAAAATTGCGGGCTATACATAAGCCAATAAAATTACCGGAGAGCCCTACATCTGAAAATAACAGTGAAATATTGGCAGCATTGCAATTATCAGCGAAGAAGCTGAATCCAACAGACACAACGGAAAAAAATCCCAAATTGCATTTCTCAATAAAACAAAATAAAACGAAGAGAACTGATACTAAATCGAAAGAAATTGAGACAAATGGTAAATATATACATATATACATATAAAAGTTAAATAAATATTTTCATTTGACTTTTATTAAAATTTTTTTAGTTAACACAACAGACTTAGTAGCGCGAACATCTACTCGGCAAAAGGAATTAGAGAGGAAAGTAATTGATGAATTTAATTTCGAAAAAGAAGAAGCAATGTCATCAGATGATGATTTTATTGATTGTAAATTAGTAAAAAGTCAACAAATGCAACGTAATTATATAGAAATGTATTCTAAATCCGACAAAACACCAAAAGAACAAACTCAAGATCAAAACTTACAAAAGAAAGTGGTTAAAATTGGTTTTAACCACGCGGAACAGTTCGAGCAAATAATCCTACGACCAACCGAAATAATAAGGTTTTTGAATTGGCCGCCACAAGAATCCAAAGTCAGTAAACATCCTAAAAAAAGAAAAATATTGGAAAATTTAAAACATTCACATGAAGACAATGTTTCAAAAGTACAAAGTTCGAATCCAGATGTTCAGAAGTAAGTTAGCTTTATATATTATTTTAATATAAGTGAAATCTATAAAGTATATACCACAATAACTATCATTGTATGATTAAATTGAATACTTTGTATTGTTTTAATTTCTAGTACTCACCCAGTTGCTGCAGTAGCTAAGCTGAGCAAATGTGAAATAGAAACAGTGCTAAGCAGATTACATGGGAAAACATCTATATAGTTGACATCACTTTAATTCTTCTTTAAATTAATTTTAATTCATATCATCATGTAAATATTATTTTAATCGTAATATGTATGGTTTTACATACCCATATTTTAAAAATCGCCATAACACATTTTGTGAATCTGGAATTACATACACCACAAACATCAAGCAAATGATATTATATTTGGAGCGGAATAAAACAAAGGCGGATTGCAATTAATTATATGAACTGATATAATAAGCATTCTTTAAACAATAATTAGTTGTTAAAAAGTTTTGAACAGTTCTGCTCGGAATAAAGAGATATAGCACATTCCAATACTAACATCACCTTGTATCCGATTTGCATATAAATATTATTGCCATTATGGACGCGGTCTTAATGTCTCTTAATGCTTTGTACTGGATTATGTGATGGGGAGGAAAAATTACTTATTTATGCGACAGCCTAAACTTTAGCCACATGCGTTTATATTGCTTGGATATTGCAATGTTGCAATTAATATTATTGAATCAATTACAAGCAATGCGATTGTTGGACTTTTGCGTTGGATTATAAGCTTCACCAAAGAAACGTTGGATATAATGCCCATCGTTTTTATTTAAGACAGTGACTTCCTATTGGAAGTCGTTTAGTTGATGAGACAATTATGTGTTGCTATATCTCTTCATTTTTTTGATTTAACTGATAGTTTTTTATGTATATTAATTCTAATGCTATGTATATGTATTACAACTAATTTATTTTAAATTAATATTATGCTTTAAATAGATTTCATAAACTTTAACCATTATTAACCAGTGGCTATATTCAGCGAATATGAAAGAAAAACAGTGCTAAGCAGATTACATGGAAAAACGGCTTTATTATTTTCAATATTTTTGATCTCCTTAAGGTTTAGCTTTAAGTTACACTCTTATACGTGTAAATAAGTTTTTAATAATTTTAATAATTATATGTAGAATGTGCATTCTTTGAATTTAAAATTACATATATCATAAGAATCAGTATTTAATAATTTCCATTGTTCACTGTTTAGCTGTATAATTTATAAAAAAATTTGTTATTGTTAATCAAAGAATTTAGTTTTTTTAAAATATAAAGGTATAAAAATAATTTTTTTTTTAAAAAAATGAATGAAATAATAAAATAGAGTTTTTTAATAAAAATAAAAGTATTTATTATTACTCTTAAGCGTTACTATTCTTATACACAATTTTAAATTGTTAATTTGTAGTCTAGTTAAAACAAATAAATTTTGTTTACTTATCTGAAGTTCCTATATGGAATACTGTCTTTAAAAGATTTTTTCCTTAATAGTCGAATCAGAATATTGGCTATATTGTTTTTTCGCTTAAATCACAGATTGACACCATTGTATTTGTTTAGGGAGGTGACTTGACGGTTTCCGGTAGTTTAGTCGCTGCCAATCTCGCCAGAAAATTGGTGAGATTTATCTCCAAAAAACATAAAAACTGTTCTATTGCATATATGATGCGAAAGGTTATTTTTTGAAGAACTGCTGAAAGACTTGATATAAGCAGCTAATAAAAAAATAACCTGCATGAGCAAGAATATCATGAGTTAACCAAGTGGTTCTGCTGTGAATTTATATGGCTGTCGTAAAGGTAATCATCAATTAGGTTGTGACAAAGTCAGTACATTTTTTAAAGAAGAAAAGCTGAGTTTCCATGCAAGTAGCTTTGATCACACTGCAAGTGCTAAGATTTAGTCATCTGTTTTGAATTTTATTTATGAGAAAATAATATTGATTTAATAAGCAAATGATTAAATATAGAGATTAAATTTGAATTCGAAACATATGTAATCACTGCATATCTTTATTGTTTTCTAAGCTAACCTTTCACTTTGAGTGTTGATTGGAATTTCTATATATATATATGTAAAAGTTATATGCTTAAGAAGTTAGATTAAATTATAATAAGTTAAATTTACAATTGTATATCTATATGAAGATGAATTCATTATATATTTATTAAATAGTTAAAGTCATTTTAAACTCAAATACGTACAGTAAAGTTCCTGGAAGTATTAGTAAAGATGGGTTTATGTATCTGCTTTTTCAAGTCTTGTGCTCACGTCCTACATCTAACTACAATTTACATATTGTATGTTAAGAAGTATAAAATAATAATATTAATTCAATTATATAAAAAGTAATAATATTTAATCAAATATCAAATTTAAAGTTATCATCGGTATATGTATATATTTAAGTAAAATCTTCTACTTCCACAAAACTCCCTTTCCAGCATCATAATATCTCATATCAATAATTTGCATATTTTTGAAACTGATATACAGAATAATATAGTAAATACTGAAACACTGACTAGATTAAATTCCATAGTTAGGTAAATACAGGTTTAAATACAGGACGTATTTTAAGCTTTTAAGGTAACACCCATACTCGGAGACAACTATTGTGATTCCCTTAAAATTGTCAGAAGGAGGTTAGCTATACAAGTACAAATTTACAAATATATACAAAGTACAAATTTAGATATCTATTATTATTTTTTATATAAATGTTGCATTATTAGTATGTAGATGTCTTTTATTCCATTAATGCATCAAAACACATAACTACAAGAAATTTGGTTACGAGAGGGACAGGTGTTATTTTGGTAGTATTTTCAGTGTATATATTTCATTTTTAGTATTTAGATATTAGGTATTAATCATTTCATAGACACGTCAAACCATATTATAATATGTAACGTAACTTTGTTATGAGACGATCTGGTAGTACTTGCTATGAAGTAGAAATACTACTATACTTTTTTCATTAGGATGTTCTACTAAATCTGAATAAGTTGATATTTACTAAAAATAGCATTAAGATATTTGATAACATAATCATATCTGACAATAGGTTAAGAGATTATGAATTATTGAATAAATATAATTTTTTGGTCATCAATTGTTTAATTTTTTTTAAATATAATTTCATGTTTTTCAAAACTTAACACAAAAAAATTTGTGCCGGAACTTTCTTGTATATAGATTCCTTTAGGAATATGGGGGAGTTGAATTGGTAATAATTTATGTTAAAAAATTTTCATACATCAGTGAATTCATTTACCAAAAAAAAAAAAATTATTTTTTGAAGTCAATCATAAATCTTATAAATTAATTAAAATATAATAAAATTAAAATAAAACAAGTCATTAGCAGATAAGAAAGTGAACTTTTTTTAATTATATTAAGAATATTATGTTATAGAAATAACTACATAAATGTATATTTAATAATCTTTATTTAATTATTCTTTTTTGTGCTAAGAACTATCGAACATACAATTGACTTTAATGACCTTCAACGTCTTCAGATTAAATATTACATCCTTTAAGTGTTATCCATTAAATTGTTATATATGTACGTATATTATAATATATAAGGCACGATAATTCGGTATTATAATATCAACATTTTACTTTCTATTCGCTATGGCAAAAACTTCTCTTATCATTTTTCTTAAGTTCAAGCTTTTGTTTCTTATAAAAAAAAGGAACTCTTATCAATAAAAATGCAAGTAATCGGTACAAGACCTGATATCTTCTCTATATAAGCGCCTACAAATCTTCGCGAATTCTCAGTTGTGACTTGACTGTTGTTGCGGTGAACCTGTATTGTGTGTTATAAAGAGGTATTGTGGTATAAAATTGGGCGACTAACATTTGTTTCTTAAATATATTTTGTTCTTAACAAAATATAAAATACATAACCAAATTGTATCTGTTCTATGGTGAAATTAAGCTTTTGCATTTATTGTGCATTTACACTGACAAATAGTTTCTTAATAATATAAATATTTATATATTTTCTTAAAATTAAATTAATTTTCATTTCTCTTGTAATGAATTACTCTCTCGTACAGGGTGTGGGAAATAAACATATGTAAATGTACCGATTTATATTAGCATAGCATATTATTTTTATCAATGCTATATTGAAAAAAGTGAATTAATATTTTCATAAGTGAAGAAAATTTATATTAAATTAAATAAAATAAATTTAATTTAAATTAATTAAATAAAATTAAATATTTTAATTAGATTAAATGCAGTATTAAATTGCAAAAGAAGATTGTTAAAGTTTGTGTGATGTTTGTACATTGACTCTGAGGTGGATAGTAAATATTACATTTATTCTATTCCATACAAAGATGAGGTTTACTTACTATGGCATCTAACAAAATTGGTTAGGTTATACCGGTGATCCCTAGTGGCCCATTGTGAAAACTTAGGTTAATTAAGTAAAATATTCACTTTGTTTTTCCAAAGTTCAAATACACGTTATAAAGCAACCTTATTTTATTTGCCTATTTGAATAAATCAAATTGATAAAATTTTTGATCGTGATAACTCTTTTCAAATAGGTTATCAAAAATTAAACTTAATGAAATAAATTTAATGAATCGAAAATCGGTTAAGATCTGATTTGATCGATTAACTTTTAAATAACAAAATATTTGTGGTGTTCACATTCTCGAATAACATGATAACAGTATACATAGTTAGATATTTTGTTGTTGCCGTTTTCCACTGTTACTATGTTATGTTAGAGATCATAAAAACCACTTTAACTAAAAAATTTAGTGAAACTGCTCTATACCGAACACCGTCTAAAACAACAATTATGTTCGGTTAGAAAAACCGTCCGTTTGAAAAAGAGTAAAGTATTTGAAAAATGAAAATTAAGGAGATGGTCATTTATGAAAACAAACGTTTAATAGAGTTCTTACTTTATTTACAAATAAATAAATACCTGTATTTAATATGAAGTGATTTTAGTAAAAATTGAAACATTTAACTTATATCATTTACAATCCTCATATATCAAATTTTGAGTAAATACTTCTTTAAAAATTTAAACAAAATTACTTTTAATTATTTAGTTTATATAATAGATTTAGTTACCCGATTTTAGTCGTCTAAACAAATGTTCAAACCCCGTTCCTAGCCTGTATATGAAAAATTGTATATGTTTATCTTAAGAACAGTGGAGTTAGTTTGCTTTAAAATAGATAGAGAATTATCTTAAATGAATATTCGCAGAAGATTTACCTTATCATGTATTATATATATAAAATAAAAAATTGTGCTTACAAATGACTTCTACAAACTTATTTCTTTCTTATTAATGTGTGACCCTGTGCGATTTGTTTGGTACGTACGCTCTCATCAGAAAAGTTTTTCCTTTAGTTATAAACAATATCAAAACAAGTTCACACTGTAAACCCTATATAAGGTATTTTCGACAACAAGACAATTATGTAAACATATATATATATATATAGATTATTTATTTGTAATTGCTGCAACGTGAAAAAGTAAATTTTGCAATGTTCCTTTATTTTATCAACGGTTGTAATAAAAATTATTTTTCTCACTTTCTTATTTGTCGAATGCAATATGATAAAATATTATAAAAAATGTTTTTATCTGTAGTATGCTTCGTTTAAATAAACTTTTCATATTTCAATAAATTGCATATAACATTATTTTGATATATTTTTATAAATTGTTTCAAGATAAAAATGTTGTGAAAAATCATATAGTTGAAAATTCGCATCAGACCTCTTGTGTCTTAGTAAGTACAGCAAATTAACGTTCTTTGTGAAAAGAAATTATTTGAATTGTATTCACTTTTTCTATTCTCAACTTAAATAAATTTTTTTTTTTGCAATTAACTTCTTAATCTTATCTTTTATTTTCTACATTTTATTTGTTTTAATCTAATGAAACATTACTTAATATTTATTAGATTTTAATGAAAATTTCTTAAATCATTACAATTATTTTTTATTTTGTTTGTTATGGGTGTAATCATGTTTTTAATCAAATAATCTATCTTTTAGACTTGATTATATATTTATATTATGTAAATATATCTAAAGGTATTACTTACTTGCTGCTGTCCTTCTCTACCAGTGAAGCATAGGTGTAAACAATTGATAAGATTTATTTGCAATTAGAATAAATATATTCGAGTGAAATATTAGCGTATACCTCATTCGAACACATTCGCATCATATAGATGTCCATGCGAATATTAAAAAGTTGAGAAATTATCGTTTATTTAAAACAAATCTTTGAAAATCTCAACGGTGAATGTAGTATATTAATATATATTTTGTAAAAGAAAATATTCTATTTCATGTTGTGACATGCAAAAGAAAGACAATCAAATTTTTACTGTAACTCCCAGTTATATTGTGTGATAGGAAGTTCTTTTCTGCAGGAAAGAGTTTCTAAAAATTGTAAACTTTCATGTTTATATTAGATATCTATTGGATTAAGTAATCTCTGGTACTGTTCAGGTGCTTATATAGACTCTTATTTAAGGATATGTTCCGAAAACTAGTCAAAATGCATTAAAAAAAGATCGCTGTTGAAGTTAAAAGCTCTTAAATCTCTTTAACATTATATTAAAAATCAGAATTGTTTAACAGTATCTGCATCTTAATTTTAAATAGAATGGTGCTATGAAATCTGATAAATCTGATGTTTTTTTATTGTCACTTTTTTGATAATGTGAGAGTTACAAGCCATAGAATAATCCATACAATGAGTGTTTTTACATAAAAAATTGTATTATTTGCTTTTAATTTTTAAGTTTTAACCATGTTTTAAGCATTATTGCAATAAATATGTCTTAATATGACATATGTAGGGTGTATATTATTAGCTTAAAGCTTCAGCTTCAAAGCGTTCCTATTGTGTTGGTTGATCGATTTTCAAATGCGTTATGGTTTGAGTGCGAGTATCTCAAATAAAAGCTGCATCAACAACATTTATGACCTCTTAGATTATTTAATTTATTCTGAACAATAATCAATATAACAATAAACGTAAATATCAGAGCAACTGTAAATTTCAAGAGTTCATTTACAAATCAAAACCACTTACAATAAATACTCAAGCAGGGTTTGATTTTCATTAGTCAGAGTCCGAGTAGCGTTTGGGTTCGTTCACTTTCGTATTTTCCAAGTCTCCAGTTGTATCCGCGGTAAAAAAAATGTTGAAACGAGGCTTTGTTTTAAGATGTTTAATTATTTTTAACTTTCACGTAAACATTTTTATATATGGACAAAATTCGACTGCATCCAACCAAAGTAAAGTATGTATGTACTGTACTAAACGAGAGTTAAATGTGTTTTTGGTTATTAAAAATGGATATAAAAGTCGTTAACAATATATATTTTTTTAAAATATAACTTATTATTAATTAAAAATTTCAGCACATTAATTCTAGTACATAAATTAATATTGACCACAGCTTGATTGCATTCATAACATAATAATAATTACAGATCAATTTTAAATTTATATTAATGGTTTTGCTAAATATCGATTATAAAACTATTTATTATTTTTAATAAATATAGGTATATATTTATTATAAAATTTGCCATAGATGTCATCAGTCTTACCAATATCTTAAACCAGGGAAACATTTTGAACGGGTCTACTTAGCTATGATATAGCTCTAAAACTGAAGTGGTAAGACTAAAAGTTCAATATTGTGCCAATGTTTATTACTTGCTGTGGTTGCCAAAGCTCATTGCAGCTTTCACCTATTTACCACCGAAGTATCTTAATCTTTGTTCATTTGTGAGCAATATTATTTATAATCACATTAGCATGCAGACTTCAATACAATTTCGCGCAAATGTAGATAGTAATTGGCCGCATTATCTAAGATATCATAAAACTTTATTTATAGCTATAACATTACATAGTTATTATAACTTTGATTATTTCTTTTTTATCTGTATATTCTACTTTATGCATCTAAGTTGAATTCATATTTACCAGAAAATATTTACCAGATAAGTGAAAGATATTGTGATAGTGAAGGCGGGACGATAAAGGGAAATATTATCTAAACAGTACCTAAACAGATCATTTAAGTATGATATTGACAGTGCAAGTGAAGCAATAAAGTAAGAAATTATTACTCATATAAAAACTAAATCGTCCAAAGTATTTGTAGATTAAAATTATGTGAAGTTAGCAATGCAATTATAGTAATGAAAATCTTCAACTCCTTTTTTGTCTCTCGCATTATAAAATGTGCCCTCGCCCCACAGCTCAACAATAACATTATTGTTACAATTAAAATTTAATCAGTTTTAAATTTAATTCAGTCTATTGCCTATCAAATCTTTCGAGAACGCTATTTAAGGTCGTGTGCAAGTTCGAGTAAATTGATGGTAAATTGAGGGAAATAGTAAATTATGTCGGTGCGGCAGCGAATGTTGTTATTTACCAAAATTTCGAGTAAGGTAAATTATATAAAAATTAGGTAAATTAGGTGTTACCATTGTGAAAATTTTATAAGATGCTTAATAAATAAATAAATAAATAAATTTGAAAACTTTTCGCCAAAAATAATAAATAAGCGCTTTAAATAAATAACTAAATATTTACCTACATAAGTGCAGTGGAAAAAAATTCCTAGAAAATTTCAATACACTTTACCTCAATTTACTCGAACTAGCACACGGCCGAAAATAGTAATAAAGAGAATAGGTAATATATATAATCGATAAAAATCTCTCACTAAGTACACCATCATGGCATACCAGCAAATAATACCAGCAAAAAAATCTATGAATATTGTAATATGCAAATAAATACTAATTTTTTTAATTGAGTTTCACTATCTTTGGATATCTTCAAGCGGAACATTTGATATAAAAATCATAAACGTAATCTCAAGTTCAAATTGTAGTAACAAATGCATGGATAATGTGGTTTGTTTTTATTAAGAACCAATTTAAATGTTTTTAATTTCACTTGAGTTAAATTTACAGAAAAAAAGATGAAAAATAATAAATTAAAAAATAAATAATAATAAATAATATATATTTGATATGTTACTAGTCTCGAAAATATTAAATAATATTTTTATTATAGAAAGTCAATTCAATTAGACTATTCCCCAAAATATTCTCCAATTTAGATTTATGGGCTGTCAGGCTTGAAATGCAAATGATATGCTTTATATTAGAAATGATAGTAAATATTTCATTGTTTATTTGTCAACTTCATCAGTACTTATACATCACCAGTACTATTTTACTCTAAGAACTGAAATGATAATTTTTTTTCCTAGAAATTAGTGCTAATGAAGTTGTCAAATAAATTATATTACATATATTTACGATATTTCTAATTAAAAATGTTTTACTTACAACAGTTTAAGTCTGACAATCGATAAATCTTATTTGTTATATTAAATAATTTTTTATGTCGACGAACAATATAACAAAAAATTTATTATACATTTAAGAATAATGTAGTGCATGGTTATTCATTTTATGGTTTTAAAACTAAATCTAATTAAAACAAACTTGGAGATGCAATTTTACTGAAATTTTTATTTCAGTACATTCTTTCGACTTTGTCATTAGGTTTGTCATTGATTACTGGATATGAAAACTTCAAGTATCACCTAAAAAAGATAACTCTTGTTGAAGAAGACACTCTGCAAGTGTATACCTAGAAGAAAAAGTGACAGCGATGCATATATTGTGCCCATGTCCAACAGTGGTAAATAGGAAGATGAATGTCTTGGGACACCATTGGGTTGGTGATGACTTGGCACGCAACCACAAGCCAAATGAGCAGCTTGAAGTAACAAGAGATGCAGTTATGCGAATGGAGGCCACTCTCGCTTTAACTCAATAACGACATCTGAGAAGCGAAGGACGAAAAAGAACACAAGTTGTTTCGTGGTCTACTTCGGCTAATCCTTCACTTCAAGAGGACCATTGGCTGGGCGGTGCGCTATCCCAACGTCCCACAATATATAATATATTGTCATTAGGTGTAAAAACCAAATTATTTAAATATCCTCCATAGATCTTCATTGGAACTTTTTGAGGTTATTTGCGATGAGTTATTGGCACATAGCTGACAACAGCTTGATCATAATTTTTGATGACATATTGATACATAATAACTCGGTTATGACTTCATTTAGAAAGAGTCGAGGTTTTAAAAAATCAGTGTTGAGCTTTGTCATTAGGTATGAAATACAATACTCAAATATACTTCACGGATTCTTACTTTAAACCTTTGATGTAATTTTAGTTAATTTTTTTGGCACATAGTTGTCAATAGGTCGGCTAAAACTTAATATATATTCGTTTTCAAGTTGTCGAGAGTATAAACGATTTTTTATGGAACTTCACAATGAAAGACCATTGGTGAATGTTTTGGTTTTATCATATATTCTATATTAAGTAAGTTATAAAGTTTGATGTAACTAGAAAAAGTAATTAACTAGTTAACATTCTAATATTGTTTTACAATTTTAGATTATATGTGATATAATGCACATAATTATATTTGGTATTTATTTTATGAAAATTCACTTCCCTCTAAGCGCAATTTATCTGTATATAGTATTAACTAATTCTAATAATTTCATCTTTGCTAATTAATTTAACTGCATTGCAATATACCTATTTGTTCATTTTTAATTAATATATAGAAAAACGAAGCACTTTTTTTAAATATAGAATACTTTTCTAGTTAATTAAAGAAACACAAGTTAATTAAAGTAACTAAACTAAGTTCAGAATTCTATTGAATTCAAAACTTGTTTGACGTACGTTTACTATATTTAAATAAATTATTTATAATATATAGTGTTACAAGATTGTTAATTGTATATTAAATTAATTTTTTTTTGTATAACATTATTTCCATACCACAAATATGCATAAACACTTATTAAGTATGCTAAATTGTTCGTAACAATATGAAAATACATCATCGTAGACCCAAAATATTATATAAAATATATATATTCTTAATCAGTTCGATTGAAATTCAGATAGTTTTGGGACTTCTCACTGTTTATTTTGTAATTCATATTGGGTATTGGTGATTTTTTGACATAATGTTGAAACTTGCAGACCTTATAGTAAATCCTGGATAACTATAAACTATTAGAAGGTCAGATTTTCTGTATTATAATTGTTTGACTAGAAATATTTCTAAAAAATTGACGAAAGCCTATGTATGGACACTATTGAATTTTATATTCACCTCGGCATTTATATTGCTTTTTAAAAAAGGTCTGTTGCCGACTTTTTGAGGAAATTTATAACAAAAACCGTAATAATACGGTCTTTGGTTATCCTAATATAAAGTTACGATCTTACGATCTAGACGCTTAGTATTGGAATTTTCTGACAATAAAATAGTTTATTTTTTAATTAATTTGCTCTCAAACAAATAATTTTTATTTTCCTTATTTATACTTCTTGATTCAAAGTTATCCACACAATATATAACAAATCCATAAATCCACAATATATAATAATCGACAAAAAATTATTAAAGTATTAATTTTTCTTAGATTGATATTTGATTGTTCTGATTCGTAGATCAATTTTTTGTGGAAAATTCGGTTCCTGTATTGTATAAGAGCCGGACATACTGTATAAGTATTTAAGACTGTTTCCTTGTTTTCCATAAATAGTGTACATTCGTTGGGGTCTAATAGTTTTAACCGCACACTAGGATTGCTTACAAATCTGTGGCCAATTATCAACGTAATTATTGTTTTAAGATCCGTTCTGTGCAGATTGTGTAGATATTTGCTTTTTACCTCAAAGTATTTTGGGACGTAGAACTTGATGCAGCGAGAACCTCCTGCGTTTGACCATTTATGGTTAACTTTACTTGTGAAGTTTAGCTAAGTTATTGTTCAGATTTTTGTTGTACTTTTTCAACAAATTACAAAATATTTTTAGTGTAATATCATAGAAAACTTGACTTAATATAATACATTGTTTTATATTTTTTAATTTAACTTATAGATGGCGTACAAAATTGAAGCTTTACCTAGCTCCTTTGCCGATTTGGGTGAAGGCCCACATTGGGATGCAGCTACTCAAAGTCTTTATTATGTCGACTTGACCTGTGGAAAGCTTTTACGTTACGATTACAATATAAAGCGAGTTTTCAAAACCAAAATTATGGGTGAAGATTTTGCCAGTTTTGTGATACCTATTGAGGGAAAAGAAAATGAATTTGCTGTTGGTTGTGGGCGTCGTGTTGTAATTGTTACTTGGGATGGTGTTGCCGAAAGCTGTAACGTAACAGGGTCACTGTTTGAAGTTCAAACCAACGACGATAAATTTAAGGACAACCGTTTCAATGATGCTAAATGTGATCCACAAGGACGTCTATTTGCTGGAACAATGCGTCATGGTGGTGATGAGTTTCAATACCGTTGGGGTGAATTGTATAAATATGAAAATGGAAAAGTTACTCTGGTGAAATCTGATGTAGGAATTTCTAATGGTTTAGCTTGGGATGAGAAAACTAAAAAATTTTATTATATCGACACTACCGATTATGAGGTAAAGGCGTACGAATACAGTTTTGAAAATGGAACTGCAAGTAAGTTAGCATATTTTCAAACGTATGAGTTTAAATAATAATTTAAATTAAATTTTATAGAAAATCCAAAGATTGTATTTGATTTACGTACTCTTGATCCTAAGGGTAAACTTTTGCCCGATGGCATGACCATCGATACAGATGGTAACATATATGTGGCTACATTCAATGGTTATACTATTTACAAAGTCAATCCAACGTAAGTATTAAAACTTATTTCCTGAATAAATAATGTTATATGAATATATATATATGAATATATATATATGAATATATATATATATATATATATATATTATATGAATATATATAAATAACGTTATTTATTTTATATATTATTAATAAACAAAAATTTTATTCAATCTTTTAAGTACTGGAGAGATTTTGCTTGAAATCAAATTCCCATGTAAACAAATTACATCTGCCGTATTCGGTGGTCCAAACTTGGATATCTTATATGTGACAACGTCATCAAGATTTGGAGAACCAGATCCAGCTGGCAATACTTATCAAGTTACTGGTTTGGGGGCTCAAGGTTTTCCATCAACAAGCATGAAAATTTAAAGTTTACCAAAAAATTTTCGTTTTAAATATTTTATTTTATACTAAATAAATTGTAATTGATGTATTAATATAAACAAATTAATTTTAAAATTGTTTTATTATAGTAATACTTTAGAAGTTTATTGTTCATCAAATTAGCTTAAAAAATCTTGTATTTTTATATTATAGAAAAACGAGGTTTAAGTATAGCTTGATACTCACAATAACGTCTTCTTATCTATATAATGTACTTGTTAGGTTGTCATTACAGCATGTAAGGTTTAGAATACGTTGAAAGTAATACTTATACCCATATTAACATATGAACGATATGGGTACTGTAATTATGATATCTATAAGAATTTTGAACAGCGGCAATATTAAAATTTATCCCAAATCTTCCTTAACAGTACTAAGATTTTACAGTAGAATACTAATAAGACTGCAAAAGTATTAAGAATGCATTGTATAAAATCGTTTTGCTAAGTGACATGCTGACTTTAAAGGTATAAAGGAAACCGAATAAATTATTAGGATTAATTAACAATTAATTACTGATTAAACAATTGTTCTTAACAGGGTGTGATCCTGTTAACTATAACTTTTTTAATATTAAATTAAAAGAACGCTGACATTTACAGAGAAATAATTAATTATCACGCCTTGAGTGATGTTATCAAATAATTCCCACTATCTTCACTAACTTTCTAACTTTAATATTGTTTACTATCAGATTGGTCTGAACACTGGAAGCAATGTAAATTATTATTATTAGACTAAGATACTAATTTTAAGATACTAAGGTAGTGAGATTAATGGTAATACAAGCTATCTCATAGAGCTGATGAGAAGTTGCCCTTATAATCAAAATTTTGGTATATTAAATGTGTTCTACGAGTATATTCTGCTTAATGTAATTCTAAAACTGAATTAATTATGCATAAATACAAATCTCAGTTTTAATAGTAAAAACTCAATCGCTAAGCTTGTTTTCTAACTCTTCTTATTAAACAATTATAATAGTTTTTGGAGAGGAACTACTAGCTGTTCTTAATTTATTTTAAAACACCTAGTATAATCGTGACATATGTTGAATAGTTAATTCAAACTGGTATCAAACATTATCTTTTCTCTTTTATATAGGTGCACATAAATTACCGTATCCAAAACCTTTCTAACCGGAGCATTTTTATTCATTGGTATAAGATAAGCAGTCAGCTATGTTGCTGAATTTTTATGCGCTTCAATGTGCCGATGTAGCGGTATAGCTCAATGTACTTATCGCATAGAATTTGAGATAATATTACCAATTTCCATGAGAACATAGATCTTTCGAAATTCGTTTTCTTGAATACTTTCCATATCTTTTCATCACTGTTGGTTGGTTTAGTGTGTTAGTAAGCGAATATTTGCATATCTTTCTTGTAATACGGGGTTGGTCTGTGTCTTCAATAAGAAAAGCGTTGAGTTTTAATATCCAAGTAACAAAAACTTTTAGGGTCGTTCTTGGCATAGTATTCAGTGGCATCAATTCGTTGATTTAATATTCTATTTACCATTCTTCAGTGGTACTTTTTAAACAATGTATAGTTATTTAGCAGTGGATTAAGCTGCTACCTTGCAATAAGACAATTGAGCGGTTTTAGTGATATGTTTGTAGATTCCTATTTGTGTGCTGTTGAGGACAGACTGGAGATATTTGAAGGATAGGCACATTATGCTCATTCGTTACTTATATGTGGTTTCCATGTCAGTAGAGTTTTGTTTTTCTGTGTTCTGGATTTTCTATATAATTGATTGAATTTTCTACTTATGGAAATAATTTATCATCATGTTTAAGTAAATAGTGAAATAAATACTATTATTGAGTATACTATATCGAAATTATGTTATTATAAATACAGTGATAAAAGAATGTTATTGAAATTATTTTCCGTAAACGTTTTTATTATTTTTAATAAAAGCATTATATGTATACTCGTGCAATCCAAAAAATGTGATTTATTGAAAAATATCATACATTCCTAAAATATCTGCTATTTAAACAGTTGCAATGATAAAAATTAATTTTAGTCATTTTTACAAATTTACGGAGTTATATGTTAAATGTGAAATAAAGATATGGATTACATACAGAAATTCACAGGTTTTAAATATAATAATTATTTGTACATTAAATATAACTATATATAATATTTATATTTTAATATATAATATATATTTGACATATGTTTATTTATAGGTTATATATTTCTATTGCTATGTGCTTGCCATGTTTGTGTAAGTTGAATAATTAATATTTTTATATGAATATACATATACTTAAATTAATTTTTGCAGTTGTCTGTAGAGATTAAAATTTTGGACAGCTCACGTACTGAGTTAGGAGAAGGTCCATATTGGCGTTATCCGAACCTCTACTACACCGATTTGGTTACAGGCAACTTATATCGGCATGACACAATCACAAATCAAACTTTCAGATGTAAAATACGTGAGTTCTATAGTAAATTTATTCTATATCCATCAAGCTTGTCAATACTCGTATATATACGCATGTTATGCTATATATATACGTACAAAATTCATAATTATACATAAAACAACAATTAAGTGAAAATATAATTATATTTAATGTTTCTAAAATTTTTAAATTTGTATGTAAAACCTACAGATACACAACAAATATATATATAAAATATATAAAGACTTTTGGACAGCAATAAATTACAACAAAAATTTTTTATTTTTGATTAATTCAATTTTGATTGACTCCGATTTTGACAAGTGTATAGTCACCCGAAAATTCAATTAAAAAAAAAATATTTTGTTGTAATTCACTTTCTTTTATTAAAAAATAATTTTTAATTAAACAATCAAAATATTCTCAACTTACAATAATATATATTGTATTCTGTAAATATAATTATGTTGAGGTTAGTTGAGTCGGGGCACTTAAGCACTTTTACTTTCTATTAACTGCGAGATGTCTTCACAACGCCTCTCTACGCCTTGACTATATTATTGTTTATCAATTCATCAGACTAAGCAATAATTGACTCTTATAATTTTTTTTATCTACAATATGTACAATATACATTGCAAAACAATAATTTTTTCAAACATTTGGTAAATCATTAGATGACGAAAATCGTACTTCATTCATAATTCCATACCGGAAATCTAAAGACTTATACGTAGTCGGTCTTGGCAAAAAGGTGGCAAAGATACAATGGGATGGGCATAGCCCACACTGTAAACTAATAAGAATATTATTTGAAATAAGAAATAAAGATAAACATATTTGGATTAATGATGGAAAATGTGTCGCTAATGGAACTCTTTTTACTGGAAGTGCAAGTTGTAACTTTTCCCGGCCCTATCAAAATTTATACAAATATGAAGGAGGTGGTGCTCCAGAAATCATTAAGCCAAATGTTAGCTTATCAAATGGTTTGGCATGGAATTATAAACGGAGTGAATTGTATCATGTGGATAGTGGAGCCAATACGATCACACAATTTGGTTTTGACCAAAATGGCGATATTACAAGTAAGTTTCGAATGACAGAAATACTTTTTAATTTCTTATGAAAATTAAGAAGTAGTAAATTAAAAACAAATGTTTGACTAACTTATTCAATTCAATTTATTATTGATGATTTTAATGTAGTTAATGCGTTATAAATTATTTATTGACTCTACAACCTATATTCTTTAAATATAGGTAATCCGAAAATTGTTTTTAAACTCGATAAAAGAGCAATATCCTGTAGTAGTGAAGATATGGCTGTTATGGACGGGATGACAATTGACACTGATGGGAATCTATATGTCGCCATTTTTGGCGGTAAGAAAGTCATAAAAATTTGTACTCGGTAAGTAATATAAATGCTTTTGTGCATAATTTAAATAAATGACAATGATAGTAACAAAAAGTTTTTTTTTTATTTTATATATTATAGAAAATGGACAATAATAAAAATCTATGAAATGCCATGTGCTGCTGTATCTTCAGTTTCTTTTGGTGGACCTAATATGGATATTCTTTATGTAACATCAGCTGCAAACCTTTTGGGTTTAGCACGTTTTCCTAAGCCTTGTGGAGCTGTATTTAGTGTTCATAATATTGGCGCTAAAGGTTTAAGGCCTGATGAATGTTCATTCACATAATCTACAAGACATCTAATATTGAAAGTTGGAAAAAACAATTTTAAGCATATAGTAATATATATTTGTTTAAAAAAGCGTAACTGATTAACTGTTTTGAAATCATTTGTAGTACATATAGTGAATAAATTATTTGAAATTTTAAATAATATTAAAAAAAAGTAATTAAATAAAAATATGTAGTATATATTATATATATTATAATATTGTATATTATTATATAATATAATTATGGTAGAGAGGTTTCGAAAAGTAGTGAACTACAACTTAATTAATTGGGTTTTTGGCTGACCATACTTCCTGTTACATTTATGGACAAATACCCATCATTAATGAACTTGGAATCATTTCATGTATTTAATTGTTCCTAAGTAATTTTTTGAGACTGTAAATACCAAGGGTCGAACTCGTACCCTGTCATATTTGAAACTCAGGGTATAAAGAAAGAGTTTTTGTTGTTGTAGTTTACTACTTTTCGAAACCTCTACCAAATATATTAGTATGTAGTATATTATATCGAAACTGTAAGTAACAAGGGTCGAACTCGTACCCTGTCATATTTGAAGCTCAGGGTATAAAGAAAGAGTTTTTGTTGTTGTAGTTCACTAATTTTCGAAACCTCTCTACAAAATATACTAGTATGTATTATATTATATCGCAAGTATGATAGCGCTTGACTTAGTGCTGATTTAAAAAATCACTTGGGGCCTGGTCGATCACTTCGCTGAGACTTTTCCAAAAATTGTGGCGGAAGTGGTATTTATTAGACATGCTATTAAAAAATTATAAATTTTAAATACTTTTTACACAGAATGTATCTGAATGTATTTTCGATATCCATATTTTCATATTTTCCAATTTACGTATTTTCAAATATTTCCTCTCTAGTTATCATAAAAATCATAAATCAGAACATAGTAAATATGTAGTAAATATTTATTTAAAAATAAATCATACTTATCTTTTCATTTCACTGAATTAAAAATTAATGCAATGCTATATATAGCAAAATTATTTTGGTTTTGAAACTTAAGGCAAGCAGTCTCTTCTCGCATCTGATGTTTGTGGAAAATACTATGGTACTTCTTACTTTAAAATTATAGAGCAACTGAATGTCATGACATACTGCGGTGAAAGCGAGGTTAGATGACTTAATTTAAGATATTAAATTTAAGATATTTTTTAAATTGCATTTAACTGATTCAAAATATATATATGAACGGATCAAAATGTGTGTGCTATTTTAATATAAAACTGTTTTATATATTAAATAATAAGTGTTTACTTTTCAGTCGTTTACTTATTGTCATATTTTTTTTATAATTAAAATGTTAACAATTTTATTTAAAGTTGATTTAATCGTTTTTCTTTTATTTTAAATCAAGAATTTTATATAAAAGCTAACAACTTTCAACAGATAACTTTAGTTTTTTTTCAGCTTTGCTAATAACTTAGAGCTTCTGTGAGATAAAAATAACAATGAAATCGTTGCTGATTTTAATAAGTAAAATATGAATTAATTTTATATAATAATTAAATTTTAATATATTTGAAGTCTTTTTTCGACAGCTCAACTTTATATTTTGCTGTGTCTTTTTCGTGTTAACGTAGGTTAACTAGAATATTTTATAGTATTTATTGTTCTCAAAAATCTTCTATGCAGTTTTGTTGGAAGTTTTCAATTCTGCCTAACTCGCATGCTGAATTAGGCGAAGGTCCACATTGGCGTTATCCAAATCTTTACTATGCTGATTTTGCCACTGGTAACCTATATCGGCATGAAACTACCACAAAGCGAACCTTCAAATGTAAAATAAGTAAGTTTTTCGTAATAAAATAAATTTTAAATAGAATTGGGATGAAGAAATATTTTTTGTGCATTAATTACAACGTGCGTGTAATTTTTATAAAATATTTTTTTTTATAATTAAAAATATTAGAAATACACATAAATGTGTAATAATAAATTTATTTATATGTGTATGTATAAAAAATTTTTTAACTAACATACTTATCAAGTAGATAACAGTTTTTAGTTTGAGACACACAAATACACATGCATATTTTATTGGGCCCAATACAGATATAAAGTCCAAAGTAATTGGCACACAGAAAACATCAAAGACTATACACTGTTTGATGAATAAGCGCTCTGTTAGATCACTGAGGGAAAGGGACCAAAAAAGCAAATGTAGTACCATAGCATATCTTCCTAATACATAGTTATCTGTCAACATTGAAACCATAGTACTAAGTAGGTTACGCTTAAATTGTAGCATCTGTCTAATATGCTTCTTGTCAAAATTGAATCAAAGAAATGCTGAAGTCTCACAAGAATCTTACAAACACATCCACATCCTGCTTGTAAAATCTCTTTGCACATACAAATCTCACTTCAATTGACCATTATATCCATCTCATTAAGGTGACCAGGTTTCACAGTCTTGGGGATCTGCAAAACCATATCGGTTTTGTAGATCCCCACGGGTTACAACAACACAACGACAAAAATTTTCATTTACCCAGGCTTTTCAACTATCGTCAACAATTTTTTTTTGTTGCATTTGTGATAAGTTTTAATGACCTTTCGTTGAGTTTTGTCTAATGCGATGTTTATATATGACAAGTAGAAATCATTGTTTATCATCGTAGTTTAATTAAGTATATTAATTAATTATGACTGATTTTCATATGGTAAAGATATCTTACGATATTTTGCTTTTTGCTAAAAAGTAGTATTAAATATAATTACAAAGCAAGGTAAATATATCGAAAATTACATATTTTTCAGAAAACGAAAATCGTAGTTCAATTATAATTCCATACCGGAATACGAAAGACTTATTCGTAGTTGGCCTTAATCAAAAAGTGGCACAGGTAAAATGGGATGGACGTAGCGCAGAATGTCACATTATCAAAGTATTATTTAAGATCCATCCTAACGATGAACACGTATGGCTTAATGATGGTAAATGTGATGCTAACGGTGCGCTTTTTATTGGAAGTGCAAAGTGTGGCCTCTTTCCTAATCAAAATTTATACAAATATAAAGCCGGTACTAGGGAAATTATAAAACGAAATATAAATATATCAAATGGTTTCGCATGGAATCATAAACGGAATGAAATGTATCATGTGGATAGCGCAGCCAACACCATCACAAAATTTAAACTTGATCACAAAGGCAATATATTAGGTAAGTTTAAAAAAAAAAACAAAAATTTAATTGAATTCTTCTATCATTAAAAATAAAAAACAAATAATAGATATCTCAGATGTCTTAATAAATATATTATTATTTATTGTTTATTATTTATTTATTATTTTTTATTATCTTATTATTATTTTAGTTACTAAACTTATTAAAATATTTATCGGTTACTCATTCTAATACTAATTATAATATGTATTATATATATATATATATATATATGCAGGTAGTCCGAAAATTGTGTTCGAATACAACGAAAGCATAGAGACGTGTGAGGTTTCTGATTTAGCTGTTATGGATGGCATGACAATTGATACTGAAGGTTTTCTGTATGTTGCTATTTTTGGTGGAAAGAAAGTTATAAAAATTTGTACTCGGTAAGCGCTATCAATATATATGTTAATTATGGAAAAAATAACAATTCGTCTTCACTTTTAAATTAAATACTTTTCAGGAAATGGGATATAGTTAAAACCTTTGATATGCCATGCGCTGCTGTATCATCTGTTTCTTTTGGTGGACCTAATATGGATGTTCTCTATGTAACATCAGCAGCAAGTTTGTTTGATATTGCAAGTTATCCTAAGCCATGTGGTTCTGTATTCAGCTTTAATGTTGGCGCGAAAGGTTTAAGTCCCGATGAATGCTCGCTGGCATAATATATTGAACAACTAATATTTAAACTTGAAACAACTATATTTAAGCCTATATGTTAGTTACATATTATATGTTATATTCAGAAAAATTATAATTGATTACCTTTTTTTAAAATATTTACAAATTAAAATTAGATTAATAATCTAAACGGTATAATCTGTAGTCAATATGATTCAATATAGTGTGGTTTATACACTGTAGATTATAGGACTATAGTTTCAAAGCACACGTTTTTAATTCATAGCATTCTTCTATATGTTTACGACTATCAAGTGCTGCTCTAATTTAATCAATTATCTTTACCATAGAAATTAGAATAGAATATAAAATAGATGAAAATAAAAAAAATAGAAGAGCCATAGTATTCAAGTCTTATTAAACGCATCTGTGCTTATCACTGCTGTCCTGTTTTAATGGTGACAATAACAATCTTCTATATAAAGTAAAGATATTACTACTGTGGTGTGTGTCCTTTCTATTCCAAATTATTTTAAAACTTTGATTGTGTAGAGATATTCCTACATCTTTTAAATTTAACTCTTTAAAAGATAAGTTAGATACTCATTTTTGAGCTATTTTAATTTTAAGTTTCTTAATTTATCTATTTATCTTATATATTTATCTTTATCTATTTATTTTAGAAAACAAATATTAAAGATGTATTTTGTTGTTAATTCTTTGGATTCCAAAATAACAAATTAATGAAGTTGAAATAAAATTCAATTTGTAAACAAATAAATCTAAGTGCCATAATTAATTCCATGATTCTAAGAATTTTAAGTTAGAAATTTTCCTAGTCGTAATATATAATTAAATAAATTATTTCACTTAACTCACATGAGAGACATGGAGTGTTTTCAAAGGTAATGATAAGATATTTCAGCATATAGGACTTTAGAAAATTCTTCTACGAAGTTTATAGATATGAAAGTAGGTAAAATGAGAGGATGTTAAGGATAAAGGTAGTTAATAAGGTTTTTATTTACCATATTCCTTGGAATTTTAACTATGTAATAATTATATGCTTGGATTGATAAAAGCGATTTTTTTTCTGATTTCTATGTTGGAGAAAAAACTCATGTCAAGTTTAAAAACAGCTCGCTTATATGCTTCATCTTGGATCTGGATGAACGTCGATAGCGGTACAATAGATATGCATGTGTCGTTTTGTCAAGCGTTAGCGAACAAGTCCCATTAGAGTTTCAATAATACAAGTGCAACTTGCATAGATATATAAATCAAGGGTATTCTCAATATCAAGCTAGGATATTGGTGTAGAAATTGCTGTGTTTTCAGTGGATTAACAAAAACAGAAAACAGATGTTTCTGTGGTAGTTTCTCAAGTATTCGTTAACATTATATATGGAAGTTTCGATAATAGAAGTTAGTTCTTGCACGATATCGTACTTTGTCCATTGTCCTGTGAGAGTTGATATTATTTTAGAAACTTCTTCTATGTTTTCTATGGATTAAGTTAAAAACTTTATATGTGTATGCCATGGTGACCATGATTTACCTGTTGAGTTATGATTAGACTAGTTTCTGAATGAAGTTCATTATTCAAAGTAAGTTTTAGAGTTATTAATTGTTATTTCTGGTGTTAAGCATGAAATTTTTCTTAGAATTGTAGATATAACTTTTTCGTCCACATTAAACAATAAAATTGATGGAGAAAATAAATATTAATAATACAATTATCATATTTTTTACAAAATGTTTGCTAAAAAGATTCTGAGATTGAAAAAAGTAGATCTTGGCAGAAGACAGATGGAGTAAGCAGATGTATCACACCAAGATGAAAGGCAAGGTTAATTACCTACACCAATGGAAGTCTTAAATGACTGATAGAGACCCTACCTCGAAGTAATACTAACATAATTCCGGCGTAGGACAAGGTCTCTAGGAATGAGGGGAGGTGGTTTAGTCCGTGCAAGTCGGGCACTCACTTTCCGGCGCGCCGGATTGTGGTCAGTTCGTAGGCATTCCACTCCTCATAGAGTATTAGTAACTTAAATTTGACTTAAATTTGACTTAAAGATTATTTATATAAAATACTGACTTTTACTGATTCATATAAATGTGTATGATCATATCAAGAAGTGTGTACTGATGTTTGAAATGAACTGATGCACATTTTAATATGAAAATATTTACTTTTAAGTCATTTGTTGCGATGATGTTTAGAGAACTGCAAAATTCTTATTTTTTAAGAAAAAATCTTTAGATTTAATTCAAATTTGATTTTATATTTTATCTAATACGTATATGTTAAGTCAACAATTTAGTATAAAAGCTGACAACTTGCATTAACAAATTTCAGTTTTTTTTAGCTTTGGTTATAAATTAATGCTTTTGTGATATAAAAATAATAATGAAATTGTTATTAATATTGATAAGTAAAAGAAAATATATAAAAATTTAAATAGTTTCCAAATATTGTATAGTAACTATATATAATTTTTTGCATGTTATATACATCGACAGCACAACTTTACGTTTTTAAATGCTATTGTCACATAAAAATAAGTGTAATATAATATATATACATATTACATTAAATATACCTTATTAACTCTTAAATATATTATAGTTACCCTTGAAGATTACAACTCTGGAGAACACACACGCAGAATTGGCCGATGGACCACATTGGCGCCATCCGAATCTTTACTACGCTGATTTGGGTACTGGAAACTTATTCAGACGTGACACAACCACAAATCAAACGTTCAAATGTAAAATTAGTAAGTCCTTTGTAACGTAACATAATTTAATTTATATTGTTTATATATTTAAATTTGTATAAACAATATGTATTTATTAATTGTTAATATATTAAGTCAAAATGTTATGAACGTGTGATTTTTTGTAAATATGTCCGATAAAATATAAGTATTGATATATACTGTCTTTAAAATACTTTCCATACAATTCTTACTTATTAAGGTTGAAGATAAATGGTTATTTTAAATTTCTTATTATATACTTTTCAGATAAAGAGAATCGTGCTTCATTTATAATTCCATATCGAAACTCAAATGATTTATTCGTAGTCGGTCTCAACAAAAAAGTGGCACAGATAAAATGGGATGGACGTAGTTCCCAATGTTGCATCGTCAAAGTGTTGTTCCAGATAAAATCTGATGATGCACATGCCTTCATTAATGATGGGAAATGTGCTGCTAATGGTGCACTTTTTACCGGAAGTGCGAGTTGTAATTTTACTCAATTTGATGAAAAATTATATAAATACAGAAGCGGTTTTCCAGAAATAATTAAAAAAAATATTAGCTATTCAAATGGTTTAGTATGGAACAATAGGCGGAACGAATTATATCAAGTGGACAGTAAAGAAAATACTATAATGCAATACACTTTTGATCAGAAAAACGATCTGTTAGGTAAGTTTTGAAACAATTTGAAATAAGTTATGCAAATTGATATTAAAGAAATGTATTCCATCAAACCTGTTTTTAATGATTGTTTGTTATAAACATAAAAATATATATATATTACATATATATTATATATAAATAATAAATTTAGGTAAACCAAAAGTTGTATTCAAATTCAATAACACCGTGGAATCCTGTGAGAGTTCAGATTTAGTGGTCATGGACGGCATGACAACAGATAGTAAAGGACATCTCTATGTTGCTATATTTGGTGGTAAGAAAGTTATAAAAATTTGTTCTCGGTAAGTTAAAATCTATATGCATAAAATAAAAGAAACAAAAAATATACATCCTTCCCTTTTAAATCAAATATTTCTTAGGAAATGGCGAATAATGAAAACTTATGAGATGCCATGCGTTGCTGTAACTTCAGTTTCTTTTGGAGGACCTAATATGGATATTCTCTATGTAACATCAGCCGCAAATTTGTTTGGCATTAGGAGTTTTCCCAAACCATGTGGTTCTGTGTTCAGTGTTCATAATATTGGCGCAAAAGGGTTAAAGGCCGATGAGTTTTCTTATGCATAATAAGGAATCCTATAGAATAATTAAGCTTGATTTAAACAGTTCAAAGGAAGTGTAAATACATCTTCATGTACGATTTATAGAAAGAAAGTATCGGACTATGTTTGATATAAGTTAATAAAGACAAAAAGTAATAACCGTAATTGTTATTTTTTCCTATAAGTATTAGACAGTCTAATATGTAAGGTACCACAAAAATATTTCTTGAAATTTATAGGTGAAATGTAGGCAGGTGAAGTCGTAATAAAATTATATATATTAGAACTAATCGGACGCATTGTTGAATGCAACTATCTAGGCAATTTAATTGTTGGAAATATCTCTAAGTAAAATAAAGAATGAGGTGTCCATAAGCTTAAGCCAAGTTCTAGAGAAGCCTGAACAATGCCATAAAGTAGTTCCGGTGTCTCTTCTCCATTGAAATTTAAAATTTATATATATAATTATAAAATTATCATTCCCAGTTAAAAAATATAAATTAGAACTTGAAGAAATTGATTCTTAATTAAAATTAAAAATTCTTTTTCATAAACTTATCATGAACTTAAAATTCAATTCTAATAATATAAAAAGTTTCACTTTAGAAATTTAAGATTATATATATAAAATTATTAAAATTGAAATAGTTACAAAGCTTAATATAACATCCAGATCTATAATAAACCCGAGTCATATTACTTGCTTGGGATATATACTGAGCAGATTTACAAAACAGCAAGGATGATATTTCATTTCAAAAGAAAAGATTTATTAAGTATTCGCATCCTAACTTACTGATAAAGTTTCTCGTTAGAAATTTAAGATTACATATATAAAATTATTAAAATTGAAATAGTAACAAAGCTTGAGATAACATCCAGGTCTATAATAAATCCGAGTCATATCACATGCTTGGGATATATACTGAGCAGATTTCCAAAACACCAGAGATGATATTTCAATATACGAAGTGACACATGTAGGAAAAGATTTATTAAGTATTCGTATCCTAACTCACTGATTGTTAAAATGTATATGATCAGATTAAGAAGTATGTAGCGTTTTTTTAAAAAAAACTAATGGACACGTCAAATTTGGAATATTTACCTAACTGTCGTGAAAATTATTTTTATCATTTAAGAGAATTTTAATTATTTATTTTTCAAAGTAGAAAAATATATGATATAAATGAATAATTTTTTTTCTTCTCTAAATCAACAATTTGGTATAAAAAGACACATCTTGCATTAGCGAATTTCAGTTTTTTTTAGCATTTGAATTGAAGTTAATTCTTCTCTAATACAAAAATTAAAATGAAAGTGTTACTATTTTTAATAAGTAAAATAAATATATAAATATTTAAATAAATTTTAAATATTGAAATTAAATTATGAAGTTTAATATATTTTAATTATTTTTGTTTCTTGTATTTATTGACAGCACAACTTTATATATTTCTATGCTTTCTTCAAATGAGAGTGGTAAGTCAACTACAATCATTGATAATTATCAATCAAATAATTAATATTAATATAATATTTTTTATAACAGTCGGGATTGTTAAGTATACATATAGGATATAACGAAAATCCAAAGATTACAATACTGGAAAATACCCTTGTCGATCATGGTGAAGGCCCACATTGGCAATTTCCAAATTTATTCTATACAGATATGGCTAACGGTCTTTTATGTCGTCATGACACTCTTCTATATCGAACCTATTGTTGCAAAATTAGTAAGAAATTTGTTATTATATATAATTCTTTTCGTAATTTATTGGTTAGCACAAATCTATTTACATATATGTAATGACTGGTATATGATATTTAATATAATCTATTAGTTTAAAAAAAAGATAATTTTTTTATTATTTGTGTGTGTGTATATTTCTATAGATGGCTACGATATTGCTACATTTATAATACCTTACAAATATTGGCGTAATTGTTATGTAGTTGGAATGGGCAATCAGGTTAACAAGGTTGAATGGAACGGAATAAGTTCAGAATGCTTTATTGTGGAACAATTATATTATATAAATACAACTGATAGCAATCGCTTTTTTAATGATGGAAAATGTAACCACAAGGGATATCTTTATACTGGAAGTGCATATCCTGTGTTTGAACAAGCTCAGGAGAAACTATATAGCCTCAGAAATAATATTTCAGATTTACTTAGAACTAATCTGGCCTCATCAAATGGTATGGCATGGAATTATAATCAAGGAAAATTTTATCACATTGATAGTGGCAATAATACGATCACACAATTTACTTACGATAATAGGGGCAATGTTTTAGGTAATGATTATTATTAGTATTTAATAAGTATTTATTATAATTATTAAAATTGATATTAATGCTTATTAATTAACTAATTAATTTCTTTTAAGTTAAATATGAATAAAAGTTTAAACAGTAATAAAATATAACAAGAAATTTAGAATAAAATTTTTTGTTGTTACATTTCATTAACGTTTGAACTCTTCTATTTTAAAGTAAGTTTTTAAAACTTTGTTATAGTTAATAATGTTATTATTTTTTATCATTTGAATAAGCAAATCCGTCAATTGTTTTTGAACTCAACGAGCCCAAGCCAATTGCTTTAAGTAGAGATACTAAACTGTTAGACGGAATGACAATTGATATAGATGGTAATCTGTGGGTTGCGATTTTCAACACACCGAGAGTCATAAAAATTGATCCAAAGTAATTATTTTTAATATCAGAATGTCACACATTTTTCAAGTGCTGTTATTACTAACTATTGTGATACATAGATCTATACATTTGAACTAATGTATAGCTCTTACAATAATTAGTAAGTACAATAATTAGTTCCTTTACTTTTATGAACCGAACAATTATCAATTAATCTGTGTTTAATAATATTTTTAATATATTTGTATATATAAAATGTGTTGTTCACTTTGATTATATCAAATTTAAATGTAGTTTATATTATTAAATTATTAAAGTATTAATTTTTATTTTTAGTACAGGCGCTATTATGAGAGAGTTTATACTTCCATGTGGTAGTGTAACTTCAGTCACTTTTGGTGGATTTTTATTGGATAGTTTATATGTAACAACATCTAGATCAATCTTTGGTTTCGTCAATCCCGCACCTTGCGGTGCTGTGTTTCGTATCAGTAATATTAGAGAGAGAGGTTACGAAGCTTATAAATTTATTGGATAATACAAAATATGTTTTGTTATGATTAAAGTACTTGTTTTTGCATTGTAACTAATGGAAGACATTCTATGTATACCATATAGAGAAAGTTACGTGTATATACATGTATGTATATAATTTTGTTTAATTTTTTTTGCATTTATGTAGTTATTATTATAATTTCAGTTCAAATATTTTAAATATTTACCTGAAACAATAAATATTTTGTTTTCTGTTTAACAACTAAAGTAATAATATTTAAATAAATGTTTAATAATAGTACATACATTGCTTAAAAGTATCATTATAACAAAATAAAGTCAATGGCAGTAGCAAAGACAATGAATACTTTTATTTTTACTATTTCAAAATAAAATAAAAAGAATAAAAATTAAAGGAGTTTGTGGCAAAAGGAGTTTGTGAGATTATAATATACTTATCTATTTATGGCCAAAGTAAAAGTTTTCATATAGCACTTGGCCATCGAAGCAAAGTGGTTACTGAAAATGGGCCCGGTCTTTCTTTTAATTGCTTTTCTGTTAGATATTGGAAAGGTTTTTATAAGTAAAATTAATCAAAATTATTATTAACTTAAGCATTATAATGAGATAAGATATGGTTTTTAATCATATTCAGAAATTGAGATACAATTATTCAAAAAATTTATTTCATTACCAAAGATTTGACGAGCCTATCTTTTCAGGCTGTAATTATTAGTAATAATAATGTTTTATATAAAATGCAAGAGTATTTTTCGGTGTCAAAAAGTGTGATATCTTATTTTATATATATTGGTCGTGTGCGAGTTAGGTTAAGTTGATGCTAAACCAAATGGGAGATTTTTTGGGATTTTTTGCACTGCACACATTTAGCCATTTATCAACACGTATCGACACATCACTACATTATCGGCTCATCTTAGAATTTCCCTCATTTAGAACGCAACTTAGCCTAACTCGCACACGACCATTGTTGATATGAGTATGAGTATTGATATGAATTGCAAGGATACATGAAATCTTACCAGCTTGAAAATAATATTTTCAGAATTAATTTGAGTAGTCTAATTAAAATAATCTGACATCACATCAACGAAGTCAAAACACGAAACTTTATTATATGTAGAAATATTTCTTAAAGTAAAACATAGAAAAAGTCTATTATATGGACACCTTTCTACCCTAAGTGTGATAGATCTATGACGAAGATATGGACAGATGTATGCGCAATCGTATTTGCTGTATATGACCAGATTCCCGATTTGATAATCTTTTTGTTTATTTTGTTGAATAATTTTTATAAATAAAAACTCTTCATATATATCATATATTGCTAAACCAATAAAAAGTTATAAGACTCATTGTGTTTATAATTATAGATCATTTTGCCTTTTTATTTTAAACATATTATTTAAATAGTATTTTTGTTTAATTTTTTCATCATAAATTATTCTGTACTCTTACCAAAATTTAATACCTATTTGAAACGGCAATGAAATATTAGGAAAAAATCTATTATTACCACGTGTTTATGCCGATATGCATTTTAGGTTTTATTACTGCAGGGGAGAGTAGGTCCCACGAATAATCTCACTTATTAACCTTATCTTATTTATAAGTACACAAGTCTATTTTTAATATTTTTTATGTTTGAAGTTTTTTCACTTTGTCATCATACAATAGTCAACCAGGTATTCTATATTTAATGAAATTTATTTAAATTTAAATTAAAATTAATTATATTTTGGTATAACCGGAATACGTAATAAGTCGAAAATTTTGATAATTTTTTTAACCAATATATCTTTGACAGTGAGATAATGAGCAAAACAAAACTTAAAAATATCTAAAAGTCAAAGTGAACTTGTAATGCAGACATATTCCATAACTGAGTTACTTTAGTAAATTAATTAAGGATTTCCATTAACTAATAGCATTTTTATTGTATATTTAATCCAATAAATTGTATTGTAGTATGCAATATAATATAAGTACAATATAAGTATTTATGTATACAATATAAGTTTTGTCTTATATATATTGTAGGACGTTGGGACAGCGCACCGTCCAACAAGCGATCCCACTGAAATGAAGTATTAGCAGAAGTAGACCACGAAACGACTTGGGTCCTTTTTTGTCCTTCGATTCTCGGATGTCATTATTGAGTTAAAGCTGGAGTGGCTTCCATTCGCATAATTACATCTCTTGTTAATGCAAGCAGCTTATATAGCTTGAAAAGTTTTATCTTACTTTGTATTAAATAGAATTTAAGACAAAACGCAACATTTCAGAATTACAGAAAGTAATGCTTCCTATTTATACACTTCTGAGTGCACTGAAGCTAACTTCCTATTTATGCTGATTCAGGTATGATCACCAAGTCCAACTGCACACAGCATTCTTTGTTTACTTGATGAACAATGTTGTGCTTATGGTTCCTCTTATACAAATCAACTTAGATACGACAAACACCATCACACTTATCCCAAGAATGCAAATCTCAGCATAATTATCTTGGTTTGGTCTGTGCATAACTACTCACAATTTGCGAATGAATACAATTTCTATAAAGAATCTATTAAGCTTTTGATAGCAAAAGCATAAATTAATAATCAAAAACATTCAAAATGAAATGCGGTCAATTATCAGAAAGTTTCTGAGTAATAAATTGCTAAGCTTTTGCATTGATATGATTAGTTCATTGATGACCATGTCAAACGTTGTACTGATATTTTTGTTGATAAAAGAATGTAATAAATAATTTATCGAACGTTTTAGCTACGGGTTATAGTAGATAAGGAAATTTATATTTTTTTCAATAAATAAGTTCACAAAAATGCCTCTATCAAACTCAGCATTTGCTGAGCGCATTGCAATGACAGCGGTTCGGTGATATTGACTGTGAATTTTTAACGATGTTTAGATCTAAAATAAAATATTTTTTTTACCTATTAGTGTTTTTGTTTGTTCTCATTATTTTATTTTGCATTTATGAAGATTCAAAATTATTAATCACGCGGCAAATAATTTTAAACAGTGAAAATGTAACTTTCATTGGTGAAGAACAGCCAAAAGTGATACTATTGTGGAATGGATTTTTCTCGAATAAACGTTGGAATCTACCAAACGACACAAATCTAGTCGAATGTTCACTTGCTAAATGTATATTTACCAATGAACATACATATCTGAAAAGTTTTGATATGTATAATTCCATAATATTTCATATAAGAAATGAATTTGGAAATGTACCGGAAGTCCGTAATCCACTGCAGTTATATATTTTTGCTCTATTGGAATCTCCTGTAAATACAAAAATTAATTTGAAAAATAAGGAAAACTTTTTTAATTTGACTATGACATACCGTTTGGACTCTGACATACTTTGGAGTTATAGTACAATTATCGACAAAGAAACTAATATTGCCACAGCACCGGCATTGATTCCATATTGGCGCAAAGTGGATAGTGAATGGACGCAGAATAACAAGAGTTTATCTATAATCATTAATAATAAAAAGAAACTTATAGCTTGGTTTGTCTCGAATTGTCGTACCTATTCAAAACGTGAACGGTTGGTAAAAGAATTACAAAAATATATTCCCGTGGATATATTTGGAAAATGTGGTGACTTAAAGTGAGTATATGAATATTTATTATTTAAAAAAACATAAATACGTTAAATTTTTCCCATTATAAAAAATTATTTAAATGTAAATGAACAAAATTATTTTGTAGTAAAAATAATTATAATTAGGTTGTATTTTATTTACTAATATGTTTTTAATTTATCTTACAATTATCTTTAACTCAGAAAGTGTGTTCAGATACGCAGGGTGCATGAGAAGTTTTTTTGAACAATGTTGTAAAATGTAATTCCTGAAATTATCAGTGAGTATTTGAGTATTTTCGATCCATAAAATTAATTTTGAGTATTTTCGAAAATAAGACAAAATTAAAAAAGAAAATATAATACAATTTCCTAACCACTACAATTTGGTGTTGGTTTCGGTAAAATCGATTACTTTAACAATTTGTTTTACTATGTTATACGTTGATTATGCAAACTATTATGGAATGAAGTTGACAAATTAGTAATAATAACAAGTTTAATAGATAAATACCTTTGTTAGCGAAAAACTGCAGTTCGTAATCGAATAAGTGCTTCAAATGAGTAGATAATTAACTATAAAAAAGTTTAGTGATAGTGCAAATAATTTATTAGACTGTATTGGACGTTGATTCAATGTAATTGTTTAAATATATAAAGATTTTTTTATAGTGGTCTTATCAAAACGATTTGCGCATTTTACGTAAATAATAACTATCGGTTAGGGGTGGATCTAAAACTATATTTAAGAGACCAAAGAACAATAAAACAGTAAAATAACAAGTAAGTTTAAAAATGACGAATATTATGTTGTTAGCCGAGAACATTATGGCAGCTGTGCTTTGAAATTACAAAAGTGTTGTTGATTGATGTTTAAGTAATGGACCGAACAATAACTGAAACATTACAGTACTGTACAATAACTGAAGAAAAGATACTGTACAGGTTCAAACTGCAGCAGTCGTTAAAACTAAAATTTATTATAAAGTTGATTGAATTTTTAGAACAGCTATTATAGGATAACTATCATAAATTTACCCTGCTTGTATACTCGCTAGGCACAATTTTTACATATACTTTTACTTTTTCACTAACACATACATTTTTGATTGCAAACAAAATTAATAAGATAACATTCAAACGTAAAATTTTTCGAATAGCCCTCGTAGACAAATTAGGTAAACGATATCGAGTTGTAAAATGTAGAATAGGTGCAGAGTGAGCTTTCAAAATAATCATATAATTAATAACGAAATATAAATTGATTACATTTTGCGAACAACAATATTGTTGCTTTATAATAATTAATAATGAAATTACTGCGAAATGTTATACAATTTATATACTAATTAGATAATTTGGCCTACATTTGCACTTATAGACGTGGATTATTATATTGGTTGGTTAATATTACCGTTGTTAATTAGAGTGCGAATTGTCAAAGAAGTGGATTAAATATCCATTTTAATTTATTAATATAAAATTAATAACTTAATAATATTGTGTTTGTTTCATGAGCATCTAGATTAAAAAAAAGCAATTATTATATTAAGGAGAATAGCTGTTTTTGAAGCCTTGAATTAAGTATGAATGTTAGCAAACATAACAGATTAGAAATTAAAAATGGGCGGTATGCTTTGTATGAAGTATGGATTTTAGCAAATATGTTAATAGATTAGAAATTAAAAACGGATGGTACAATTTTGTACCCGCTATACCTCAACATTTTTCACTCATTGAATTTATATATATAAACTATGTATTAGGTCTCTGTATTTTTATTAGTTATAATTATGTCTTAGGCATAATAAGAAGCTCGGATACATATAAATACTATATTCATTATTCATATACTAAAAATATGTATATATTTGCCATACAATACAATGACAGATATCAGAATATAACGGTATTTACTGTATGCTTTGGTAGGAAATTCTATTTTTAGAACTTGATGATTTGAACTAAAAGTTTTCTTAAAAAGTAAGCAGTTTTGTTCATATAATTAGAGATACACTGTAAGTTATATTTTTTTTTGGAAAAATCTTCTAAATGCATTGTAAGTTCTAGATAATTTTTACAGTATCCATGTGTTTTCGTATGTCACTTTGAAGAGCTTCAATATCAGTCCTTGCAAATCAATACAACTGCAGTTGTTACTACATATACGACAGTAAAGAAAGATAATGCAAATCAGATCTTATCACTATTTGTAGCGGACTTTCTAACATCTACGAAATGTCTCTAGAATTTAAATTTTTTATTAAACTAGTAAGTAACTGCTGATCATTTCATTGAATATGGAGTATCTGTGAATTTGCTTAAAAAATTACTTAGAAAATATATTTATATAGAAATAAATAAATAAGTAAATTCGATCCAAACTTTACTTTTCATTGGAATTATTATACTATATTGAGGTTGTTAAAAATTTTTTTGTCAAATATTAATAAATTTGCCAAACTTTTTATTGTATATTAATGTTGCATATAAATATATATGTTTATTTGGTTATGCAGATTAAAAACTTTAGTATTATGGGCTGAAATATAGGATTTTAAAGTTTTTTATATATGTAAATACCTTTTCTGTATTTACTTTTTGGGAAAATTGGTTGATGCCACTCGGTAGGATTTTATGTATTTTGTAGACGTATTTGACAATTTAATTAAAGTTATAACATTTAATATATATCCAGTAGATTGTATAAAAATTATATGTTAATTAAATTTACACTTTGCCGTTGCAGATGCAAGTTTGGGTCTACCGATTGTGATGAAGTTTTAGACACTGAGTACAAATTTTATTTAAGTTTTGAAAATTCGCTATGCCTTGATTACGTTACTGAGAAATTTTACAATGCGCTTAAAAGAAATATTGTACCTGTCGTATTTGGAGGTGCAAATTATTCCAAGTTTGCACCTCCGCATTCCTTTATTGATGCACATGGATTTCCGAGTGTAGAAGAGTTGGCTAAATATCTGTTAAATTTAAATAACACTCCTAACGAATATGCACGTTATTTCTGGTGGCGTCGTTTTTATACTATAAAAGGCAACACTATCCCATTTTGTGATATCTGCCATCATCTCAACAAGCCCGTCACACAGTACCGCACACAAATTTACAAAAGTATTGATGACTACTGGCATCATAACACTTGTATAGATGCAACATCCTAAATTTTTAGTTAAATTAAGCAAATATTTTTGATGTTCAGTATATTTTGTAAATTTAATTTAAATATATAGTACATTAAATTTTAGTATTATAGTTATATCAAAATTGTAACATTTACAATTGTATACATTTATAAATAATAATAATAATAATTTGAAGGGATTTATTTCAAAAGAATTTTCACCTTTTTTAAAGGTACTGCTTGTAATTATAAGTTTAAAAGTAACATATAATAGTAGCAAATTAATATGCAGAAATAAATTATCACATTTAATTTCGGCAGTGTGAAAAATTTTAAGGGTTTATGAGTGCTACTCTTATCTATTTCCGGCTTTTATTTAAATTACAATTATCCACATCCACATCCACCGCCAGGTATATTGCAATCCATAGAATTTGTTATACGACCAATATTTCTATTTGGTCCTAACCCACCATTGCCTCTATTATTGTTTCCACCACCATATCCTGAACCCCAACCATTACCACCACCTCTTCCGCTACTACCACCACCACCACCACCTCCCCCTCCACCACCGCCTCCTCCACCAGAACTCCAGCCACCGCCTTGTCTACCATTATTACTTCTGTTTTCATTTGTAAATGGTGCAAGTATAGTTTTTATGCTAATATAATAAAATAGTTTTCATTTGCTTCCAATCAATTATTCATTTACAACTCACAAGCACAATATGGTAAACCATATTCCAGTGAAAATGCCTAAAATTCGAGCCAAATTCCAAGGCCGATGGTTAAGGACACGTCCATCTAAATCATAATTGATAATTGATACATTTAATATAAAAAAAATCAATTCCTTACCTCTGTCTATGTAAACCATTATAGATAATAACTTTTTCCGGTAGGTCTGCTTATATAGGTGAAATCTACATTAAAAATTTAAACAAAGCGTTTAGTCCTACTTTATTATTTGACAAGTTGTTGTAAACTACTTTTGTTGACGTGTTGTCATAAACTCAAAATACAAGGTTGCATTTCGAAAACGATAGCTATTTGATTATTATTAAATCAAAGAATATTAGTATAAATATTCCTTGCTGTATATGTTAAAGACTTTGGTTCACCTTACGTGAGTCAGCAATAATAGACTATGAAAACGTTTAGTATTTACATTTTAACTATCAGAACATAGTAAACAATTTAAACAACGGAATGCAATTTATTTTATTTTGTTTTCAATCTGATTAGTCGCCATATATTATAATTTTAAATTCATGTATTGCTGCATTTATAATTTGTTTTGGTTTAAATTTCTGTTGATTCGCAACATTTTTTTGCTAAAATTGAAGTTTGATTCAGTAACCGAAAGTACTTTTGCATGGATTTTGTATAACAAATGTTACTAAACTCTACTCGCTTACGTACATAAATCCAGATATGTGTTAAGTGCTTTATTCTGAATACAATTTTGTACATTCGAAAACTATGTTAGTAATTATAATAACTGAATAAATTCAGTATATACAATCATATAATAAAAACTGATACTAGATAAATCATAGATTTATATAATCGCGCAATTATTCATCGTTTTTATACTGCAAAAAGCGACCCTGCTTTATTGTGGGACAATTGTCATCATCTCAAGAAGCTCCTTATTCTATATACAATGTTGCTCTTTACTCATAACATAATACTCGTGTAAATGCGTAAGCCTTAATATTTAATTAAATTCAGCAAGAATTGTCTGTTATCCGTATATTTTGTTAATTCAATCTCAATATGTAACAGTAAATTTTAGTAATAGTTTTAGATCTAAATAATATTTATAATTGTACTAGGATGTTAATTATTTTTAAAAAATAGCTTCAAAAATAAGTGGAGTTTAGTTGTGTGAATTTCCTCTACAAAAGTTTTCAGAACTACTTCTCTCAAATATGAGTTTACAAGTAATTCGTCATACGTGCAAATAAAAATGCAAAAGAGAAAATATCACACTAAATTTCAGCAGTGTCCGAGCGTGCAAAAACTATGTAGGTGTGATAGCCATACTTAGCTTAAGCACTTATTTAAAGCACGGACACATTACCGCGATCATCCACCGCCAGGTATGTTACAATCCATAGAGTTCGTTATGCGACCAATACGTCTGTTTGGTCGTAGTCCTCCATTACCTCCACTATTGTTACCACCACTATTTCCTGAGCCCCAACTACCGCCACCACCTCCTCCTCCACCGCCACCACCACCACCAGAATTCCAGCCACCGCCTTGCCTACCATTACTGCCTCTGTTTTGATTTGTAAATGGTGCAAAAAGGGTCCTCATGCTTATATAATAAATTTGTTATTATTTGTTTCAATGTTTGTTATTTAAATCAACTTACAAACACACTATGGTAAACCATAGTCCTGTGAAAATACCCAGAACGCGAGCCAGATTCCAAGGTCGATGGCTGAGAACACGTCCATCTACGATGATTAAGTTAACTTAAGTTCAATATAAACTCGTTTACAGTTAATTTGTTTACCTCTATCTATGTAAACCATGGTTGATGTTGTTACTCCGTTTGTTACGGATAATCTGTTTATAATTTTATGAATTTACATTGAAAATATATAAAAACAAATTTTAACTTTCATATTTATTCGAGAAATTTTTGTTGACTAATTGTATTGACGTGTTTGTCAAATATTTAATACACAAGGTTGCATTTTGTAAATTGTCATGTCAGTAGCTATTTAGTGCGTACTCAAACCTTATATATTCAATCTGTATATATTTTTCAATAAAAAAAATGTGTAATTTGTGTAATCACGACTTGAAATTATAATATACATTATATTATAATATAAATTATAATATACAAACAAAAAATGATTTTATGTTATAGTTATGACTTATTTTAAGAATAAATTATATATCTGCAAACTTCTTTTTAAACACTGTATGATTGGTTCAAATTTATAAAAAATTAAATATTTTCATAAAATTTATATTATACACATTACTATATAATCGCACATGACTTTGTTAACATATGTCTTCGAGTTCTACTATTCAAGTATAAAGTTATAAAAACAGTCCAGTTTTTGGATTATAATTTCATTTTAGCATAACATAATAACTCTTCATATCATATATATTTATTATATTTATATATATATTTCATTATATTGATGCGAATATTATGTGTGTTATTATTAATCATTTAACGTTTGTGTTACAATCGTTTAGTAAGACAAATGATTTTTATGACATTTTTTTCTAAGTTCCAGAGTTTTAACTTCGAGTTTAAGATAACTGAGATACTCAGAAAATACTCAATATAGGTAGCATTTTCTAGGTATTGTACAAAAACTTTATAAGGAAATTACTCAAGTTATAATGTATATTCTCATTACCCGGACTAATAAATTAACTCTGATTAGTATAAATAGAATTCTTATTTAAACAATAATTATTGAAGTATAGAATGGCTTCGCGAAAATTTATTTTAAAATTTTAAAATATAAAACTACGTAAAGCTGGTTTTATATATTTTGATTTTTATTGCATCATAGATATTGTAGATAACAAGTTAAAAGAATATTTGTTTAAAGCTTTACTAAGAGAATTGTAAAAATAAAACAAAACTGCAAGTTTAATATAATTAAAATAAACAGTGATTCATTATTATCTTTTTCAGAGATACGTAGTACGTGATACGTACTTTCAATTTGCACCATTCATAAATTGAAAAAAATTCTGTTTACCGCATTCTATAATATAACAATTTTTTTAATTGATAAATTGTAAATTTTACACTTTGAAAAATAATTTTTAACTTTAAAATGATTGATTAATTTCGTCTTTGACTGTAAGTAATTATAATTATAGGACTTGTCATATAATTTCAGTAATTTTAATTTAATATACTATGTACTATACATGGAATAAATAAAACAAAAGCAACTTATGCAGTTATTGCACTAAAATTTTTTAAACAACTTTATCTTTTTAATTTCTCAATTTATTTTAATTATTTAATATAATTAAGATAGAGACATGTTTTCTGACTATGCTCAAATTAGGATTCTTAACAGATTATGTGTTTAGTCTTTCCAGAACATAGCATTTATTTTGGCAGTTTTCAATGACAATGACATAATCTGCCTTTGCGTCTTAGGGAATACCAAATATGATTGATATTCTTACTGAACGTAAATTTGTTGAATATTGTTTTCCTTTTACCACTTAAACCAGACAAGGCAAAGCAGTGTTCCTTAGTAATAAATTTCAGAATTTGCGCCTTTTAGGAGCAAATTACTACAATTTTGGAGCACTTTTTGCTTTTAAGGAATAATTTTGTAAGAACTATTAAGAATTATTATAAGATAATAACATAATAAATTAACATTTTTACAGTCTGTATAAGTTTTTTCTTGCTTGTTATTTTTGGTGGCAAATTGAAAGTGAGCATATCTACATTTCCTTTCAAATTTAGGCGCAATCAAAAAGTACCAAAACATTGTAAAAATACGAAATTGGCAATACTGATGTGATAATCTACATAACATGCATTTTCGGCATAGCCCGAAAGAGCCAATTTTAATATTATTTAAATATATTATTTGATTGTTTTATTGTATTATTATATTAATGACTTTTTGATGTCTATAGCTTCAAGTTAGGAATGAAGTTTAGATAATGGTCATATATAAATTCTTATATATAATTATTCTTATATATGAAATATATTTACGAATATGTATGTCTGATTTAAGTATTACGCCAAATTGTAAAAAAGTAACTTAAAAAATATAATTAGCTTGTAAAAATATATATAATCCATAAATATACAAAAATAAAAAATACTACTTAGTACATCAGTCCCAACACTATCATTGGGTAGATTAAATTTTTTGGTCTTTTAAAAAGATTTAAGTTCAATTCTTATAGTAAGTTTGAAATTTTCCAACAAAAAAAAAAATATGTATTAGAAAATTTAGTTCATTGATAATTTATATATTTACTTTTAAATTAATAACTAAACGAAATAGTATAATTTTTTCATATTTCATTATTATCAGATTTGTGCTTAAAGAATTCATCTTAATAAAATTTATTAACATTGTACTGTTCAGAAAGACTGCATAAATTTGGGTACGACGGATTAGTACCTGTAACGCAACCAGTACCGGCAGTAGGACAATCACCATAAATTGGAAAATCAACGATATTTGTAGTTGCATAATTACAAGCAATCAGAAAAACTTTATATGAATTAGGTTTTGAATAAGTCAAAGCTGCACATCCCACGTGAGTATTTCTATCCGCCACCATAACTGTAAAATGGCCAATTTTACTAAAGAAGAGATTGAATTAATAGCTTGATATGTAAATATAATTAAAAAATAAGCTAAAATCTACTTACAACAGAATTGAATTATCTGAAGGAAATTTTTGTATATATTTCATATTACTGTCTTTGTATTCCCCGAACCATAAGTCCACTGCTCTTGTTGATAAGGTTTGGTAATTTGGTTCATTCCAAAAGCCAATATAAGCTAAGTTTTGCCCAGAATATTTGAAAGCCACTGTATTGTGGCACGAGTCATGTTTCATGACACACTGTTTCACATTTAAGGCAGCAAGTGAGGACAACTCATCGTTCCACTGCATAGTAGCCATACGACATGCTGGACTGTGATTTTCTACATTACCACCAGCCACGGAATTACGTTTGCTATTGTGTGCATCGAGGAGTAGATTTTTGAGTTCAGGTGTTATGTTAACCAGTGCTGCATCTGAAGCACAATCAGCAGCTTTTTCCTACAGGAATAACATTAAAACACACTTTTATAGAAGCTATTTTTAATATAAATACGTTTATAAATAATTAGAATAAATTTTTACTCCATTATTATTGCAAGCTATGTGGTCATTGCATATGTCACAGTAGTTGGTATTGCTCAAAACGCCTAAGAAAAGATGGGTGCTAAGTAAAACGTAAACAGCAAAACGAGTCATCTTCCTTGGAGATTAAAATTTTTTCAATTTTTATTTTTAAATTAATTTTTTTTATTTTTTAATACTGTGCTTGAAGCTTTAACGAATTTTTCAGACTAAATTGTTTGTTCCTGATTTAACTGCTTTTATTCTGGCAGTGTGCATCATGTAACAAATTATACTCACCGTTCATATGTTTTATCTTTTAGGAAAGCAAAAAATAATTAATAAATAAAAAAAATGACAACAAAAAAAATATATTATTTATTTAACAAAAGCTTAGATATTTCTGCCGGTCTGTACCTCAACACCACTTTTGTGGTCTGCAATGTTAATAGTAATATTATAAACATTTAAGTGACTAATACGATAAAAGTTGTATTTAAATGGAGAAGACGGAAAATATATTCTATTGCTTGGAGAGAAAATTATGTTTCAAGCCATTGCCTTCAGAAACATCGCTAGTACTTATAATTGCATTTAGAAGGCATTGGGTAGATAGAAACGCTAGCGTAAGTATAAATATTTAATTGAAAACATAATAGAAAATTTTATTGCTATTTATTCATGATATTTAATTCATTGTTAATTGTTAATATAATATTATGTTTAAGACAAATTATTGCCTTCAATTATCCATAGAAATACAATATTCGTACAATGTATGGGTGTATATAAAAAATATCTTATTTTTGCCATCATATTTTCTAAAACAATTAAAGCCAATTGGTTACAGTGATTATAGCGTATAAACGGTTTGCTTTGACCGACTGTAAAATTAATGATTATTAAAATTATCTTTGGTACTGAAAACGTATACAATGTAAGTTTTACGATTCTAGTAATACATACCATAAGATATTAAATTTATTTTATCAATTTTATTACTCTATTCAAAGAAAATGAAATTAGGAATGCATTCATATCGTCAGGATTATTTATTGCACTATCCACAAAAACTTAATATAAATAATAATAAATTTTAAAATTTCTATATATATTAGTATATAAAAATTTCAAATTATTTACTCTTATATCTTGATTTATTCAAATAAAAAAAACGGTCATATTAGTACTCGTAACTAAGTATTGTATAATATTCTACCAATATATAAACTATAAACTCAAAAAACAAGATTGCTACTACGAAGTATTAGATCATCAGCAACTATTTTTTTATATCTGTAACTCTATTCTGAATAAAAGCTTTATTAAGTTCAACAAGATACTCGTCATGTGGGGAAGGCGTTGCAGATCACATAGGTAGACCACATTTCTTTTTAATATTATTGTGAATTAGGACTGTTGCAAGTTCATCAAGATATTTTTCATATAGGCAAGGAAATGTTGCAGATTATATAGACAATTCTTACACATTTCTTTTTATGGAGAGATTCAGTCTGATTAATTTTTTTCTACAACTTTTGACCATCTCTCTTACTATTAATTGTATTCTTTACAATTTATTTAAGAATACAATGTTTGAGTTAAGCAGACATTATTCATCGTTAAAAAATATGTATTCAGTCTGATTAATTTTATTCTACAACTTCTTTAATATTTTCAAAAGAATTTAATGTCTGAGTTAACCAGACATTATTCATCGATAAAAAATATATATTCAGTCTGATTAACTTTATTCTACAACTTCTTTAATATACTCGATAAAATTCAATGTTTGAGTTAACCAGACATTCATCGATCAAAAGATATTTAGTAGTAAAAGTTTAAATAACTGAGTATTTAGTCTATTTAAACATTTTTGAATTTTTTTTAGAAACATTGGGCTTGAAGTTGTAACGCTGAAGAATAATTGTTTAAATGTTTGGTGTAATGTCTGTACAGTGAAAGCTCTGTTTAACCGACACTCTTTTAACTATGCAAATGTGTTAAGTTTCAGTTTTTATTTTGAAAAAATGTATGCTCTTTCATAGAGACAGTCCAATTAATCGGTGAGAATAGTTGATCATCTTAGTTTTCACTTAAAAGAACTTGTACCATATATATGCATACGCAAATGTATATATATTTATATGCTGAAAGCCGCATATATCTTTTTAGTTTTAAAATAATCACGTCTATGGGCTATGCTTTTTGATATTTTTGTATGAAAGAGTCTGGTATTAAGCGCTCAGCTCGTTTAGCGCATTGCTTGACTTTTCCAGGCTTTGCCTCTCTGCGACGTAGGTCCTCCTACACGTCATTTCTGCAAAACGCAGAGCTACGATCTCAGTTGCATCAAGTAAAAATTCATGCGAGTGTGGTTGTCACATATGTGTTTGAAAGTTTATATCAAAATTAGCTCTGTTTTGGGTTTTTTGGAATAAAGTTTTAATATTTAAAATATCGAAAAAGAAAATAAGTTAAACAAATGCTAACGTTTGAACAAATAACTTGATTGTGTGATATTATTGTTATTAAAATATAATTCAAACTTTTGACTGATATGCATATTATAAGCCATCATAAACTTCATTAATTGAACACAAATGAGTAAAGTTGGCATTTCTACCGGTTTTGCAATCATTACCAGATCCACCTACTTGATATGCCGACTTTCCTACTATATTTGTTGTAGCATAGTTGCATGCAATTAGCGTTCGAAGATATTTACCATTCATATAACGTACTGCACCACAACCAACATGTGTATTCCGATCAATTACCATAGTCAGAAAGTGTCCAATTTTCCTTATAAAAAAATATAAAAAAAATATAAAAAATATTAAAAAAAATATAATGAAAATACAATAAAAAAATTGAGTAAAATATTTACGGTCCTCCATATTTTTTGGGAAATTTATATATAAACTGCATGCCAGCATGTTCATGTTCATTCCACCAACGATTTATACGATTTTTAATAATCCAATCATCTGAATAGACTTTATTTTTTAAAGTATGTCCAAAATAACCCAAATTTTGACCGGATTGTCTAAAATCCTTTGTATTGTGGCACTTATCATGCTTCTGGACACATTGCATAGCATTCAAGGTAGCAAGTTTTGCTAGTTCATCATTCCATTGCATACTGGCCATACGTGTGGCTGATAAGTAACCATTCAGATCGCCTCCAGCGATTTGATTACGTTTGGTATTATGCTCATCGAGAATAGTTGTGATAAATGGAGAAAGATCAATCACATAAGCATCAGTTGGACATGCTGATGCCAATTGCTTTATAAAATTTTTAAAAACTTAATTAATAAATTTTAATATTATATATTACTTACAAAAGTGTTCTCGCAGGCAATATGTTTAATTCCTGATGGGCAAATTCTTGGCACACAGTAATCAGTTGCATCTACTCTCCACAAATTAATTATTAAAACTAAAATAAAAGTTGATTTCATTATGGTTAAAATTGCGTAATCGTTGTGACTTAACTATAGGTGTAGTATGTTTCATTATTGAATTTTTTATACTTTGTTAGAGTTCTAAACGGAAGAATATCTTAAATTCATAAAATATATTCATTTCATCTGTGCAAATAAAATTTAAATATCTATGGATTGTAAAGTACGTAGCAAGTATTAAGTGAGCTGGGAACCTAATAAATATTCTGTTATTTAATGTTTATGGGTTTCCATCAGTTATTACATTAAACCAATGATAAATATAAACTAATAATTTTTAATTTCAAATTTAAGGTCATTAAAGTAAGCATAAGTTGCAGTTTTTAGGGGACTATAATGTAAATAAATTTAAATTTTAAAAGCATCTTTGGGCTTTTGGTCAGTTGACTAATGAGTATTGACTCTGAGCTTCAATTTTGACAGGGCATGGGATCACCCCTTGGTACTTATAGTCGCAAAAACTTTATTTAAAAACAACTAAATGTAAGAAATAATTTCAAGAGCACTGATGATAGGTATTTGGCAATATTCGAAACAGCTGTATAGTCAGGTCAGCCAAAAGTTGAATTAATCATTAATTTTGGCATAGTATGAGTCAATTCTTGGTGCTTGCAGTTTCAAAAAATTATTAACGAATAATTGAATACAAGATATAATTCCAAGACTTGGGCTTTGGGTCAGTTGACTAATGAGCACTGACTCTGAGCTTCACATATATATATATAGATCAACATTATTTGTGCTATCTTCTTTTCCGTATTTATGTGCCTCTAGTGTTGTAGGTTGCAAAAAGGGTACTAAGGCTGAAACCAGTCATAATGTAATACTTCAACATAAAAGTTTTTTACTTATATATATTCATCACTTTTGCTATCCCCATTTACTTATTTTATTTAAAATAAGGTTTTACACATTTGAAACCCTCAAAAATTCAAAATTTATAATCTCTCCGAAATCAAAAATTTGGAACAAATCAAATCTTTGTCTGCCAATGCCCAATGTCTTCCAATATTTAAGTTCTTTTATCTCACATTGGGTTAATAAGGTTGGGAAGTGTATAACTAATAAAAGTCTATGCCTAGTGTTTGTGAATAACGGAGTCAATGTTAATTTGATATTTTTAGTGGCCATATAAAAGATTAAATAGTGTAAACAATTGAACTTATATTAAATTAGCTTTATATTGCATGAAATCGATAGTTTATTGTTTTAGTTTAAATGGTTTTCCATTCTTGGAAATCCTTGCTTACTTGTTGTTATTGTTCTAAACCGCAGTCACCTCCAGCATTAATAGATTACAAGATACATATACTGACCAAGATGGGATGTGAGGAAAAGAACTGGTGCGAGGGTTATATGGGATGTAACGATGATGAAGGCTTGGTAGTATACTCTGCTCGGTGCATTTATATTGCTTTAGTTGGAACTAAGAAGTATGTTGTATGCGCGAATTGTTTATTGATGACGAATGAGTTTGATAATTAAAATTGGCCACTCCTAATCTAATGTTTGTTTTAGCAGCATTAAACGGCTAAAATTGTTATTAGTTATGTTATATTTGTTCTGGATAACAACGAACCATTTTATCCAAGTATGTGGCAACTTATTTTTTTGAGATCGCTATTATAGGGAAAACTATTAAAAAAGGATGTATTCATGAACGCACATTTCTCTTAATCGTGCAATGTTGAGGGTTTCTAGTTTTTATTTTGTATACCATTCATTTATTCATACAAAATATCTAGTAACATCGCTTATAAGTGCTTTTACTGTGTATAACCATTACAATTGTTTTTTTTGAGAAATTAGCTCATTGTAATGTAATAGAAAGCATAAATCTAAATTAAATTGGTACCATTCCATAATAAGTTAAATACTGAATGTTATAAATTCAGTATAAGAATTTAATATAAGAATGGTATACCGGGTCCTATGAGATCTATTGTGCTTTGCTGTAACGGATTCTTTGGCTTAAGCCAAATGTAAGTATAGAACTATTATATAGAGAGCGATAACAAGTTTAGCAGTTTAATTGCAATTTAATACTTTAATTGTTCTAATTGTTAATCGTTGTGGTTAAATTATATTTTGCTATTAATTGATTTAATTGTTTGGAATATTTTTTCATAAATATTTTCAAAACAAATTAACTTGATTAATTCAAACGCGCGCGATTTTAACAGAACTGGTTTTTTTCTTTTCTTTTTTACAGAAAATTAAACAATAAAAAGTAATAAATTAATATATATTACTAATACTAAAAATAAGAATAAAAATAACTAATAACCGCAAATAAAATTTAGCAGAGATGGTACTTGAGATACAACAGCAGCCAAACGCAACTGAGTAAATGGAATTACTTGTAAAAACCAAAATTATTGTTATGATAATTTTATATTTTATTTTTCTTAGAGCCAACCTAAGGAGTTAATGAAGATAATCATTATTACGTAGTTGTGAAAACCGAAACTAATTTTATAGAACCAACATATAAATAAAAATACTGTATTTATTGATAATTTGATGGTTATTATTTATTTATAAGAATATTAATAAATAATAATTATTTATTTATAATAATATTAATAAATAATAATTAGTTATTTATAATAATATTAATAAATAAAAATTCTGTTACTAACTGTTAAGAATATAATGGATATAGCACTGTTTTGATATAATATATTAAAACTCCAGATTTGATTATGGTTTAATGAACTGACCAACTGTTATTTTTATTAAAATATTATTATTAAAACAATTTCTTGCGAATTAATATATTTAACTTCTAAGTAAAAAAACATTTATCTATTATCAATGAAGACGCGTCTCGGGCGATAATTATGATTGACATTTGATTTGTATGCACTTTTTTATAGGAAATATGAAAGAAATGCGACAATAATAATTGCGTGCAACGCATATATAAATTAAATAAAAATATGTAAAGTAACATTATTGCATATAAACATTTAATAAATTATTATAAGTTTTAGTATAAAATAAACTACATCTACATATGACTACACTGTGAAAAATATTGTAATTACATATCTTACATAAACACTTAGTATTCTAAAAGGTATAAAAACTAGTTATAAAAACTGCTACAAACTATTTAAAAAAAACTTGAATTATAACAAGTCATATTTTTCCTTAATTGAGCATAAACTTTTAAATACAGGATTTGGACCAGTTTTGCATCCGGACGCACTTTTTCCTTTTATATAAACTGGATGATCAATAATTTTATTGTAAGAGTAATTGCAGGCAAATATAAAATTATTTATGCCATTCCTTGTAAACCGTGATGCTGCGCAACCAATTCTGGTATTTCTCTCAACAATTATTTGAGCAAAATGTCCCATGGCGCTATAAATTTAAAAATTCAAATTTTAAAATTACACAATAATTTTACACACTATTTTCTTATTATTAATTTAAACTTACGGTCCATTATAATTATTTGGAAATTTGTTTATAATATTCATATTGCAATATATATACTCGTTCCACCAAGCGGTTATGCTCTCCTTAATTAAATCTTCATCAGATTTAAAAGTTTGTGGGCCAGTGTATTGAAAATAAGCCAAGTTTTGTCCAGAAAAATTAAAATTCACTGTATTCCTGCATTCGTCGTGCTTCATTCTACACTGTTTTACATTAAGCTGTGCCAGTTCTGTCAATTCCTGACCCCATTGTGTAGTAGCCATTTGCACTGCCGGCATAAATCCTTTCAATTTTCCACTCGCAACCATATTCCGCTGCTCATTGTGCATTTTTAAAATCGTTCTCGTATGTGGAGTTATATCTATAAGGTGTGCATCAGCTGGGCAGATATTAGAAAAAAGCTACAATAATAATAATAACAATATGAAATTAACTAATTCAGTAAACAAGTTCTAACTTTGTCTTATAGTAAGAATAAGTTTGCATATTTACTTTTTTATTCCCGCATGCTATATGCTTTTTACCGGACGGGCACAATGTGCGAGAGCAGTATTCTGCCGTTTGTGCTGCTGCCGTTATGTATATTATCGATATTAAAATAAGAAATTTCATATTTGCAAGATTCTTAATGTCAAAACGCGCAACACTAGAGCTCTATAATTTAATACTAATTACTTGAAACAAGCAGTTTTGGCTTTTATATCAACGTTCTCACAATTAGAATTCATGAATTTTTTTAATCGTGAGCAAAATTTCATTTAGTCTTTAAATCCACTTGAGTAATCGAATAAGCAAAATAATGCTTAATTATAGCTAATGAATATTTTTCTTATTTAAAATGATTTGTTTTAATTTTTTGCACTGGTTTTTTCACCAAAACTTCAGCTACTGTTTACAATATTTATTTTTATCTATAAGCATACTTCACTTATTATGTTGTCCAAAAATATACATATATATGATATTGGACAACGTAGTTGAACGTAGTTTCAATAGTTCAACATTTTTTACGTCACTGACAAAACTTAGATTAAAATAAAGAAAAACCGTTGCTGATTAAGAGTTTATCCATCTATTTAATTTATTTGTATGTACGTATATATGTAAGGCTAATATTAAAAATTCTCTACTAAACTCAACTCAATCTTTGCCTATTCAAGATTTCTAACGGCGATTTGTGTGAGGAATAGAGCAAAAGTGCAGTTAATCAATCGCAAATTCTCATTTCAAGTTTACCAGCATCATTACATGTGCTTAGGTTCTAAAATCTGGCTCATCAGCATAGAGTGCAATCATTGAAAGTGCAGCTTTCATTCCAAATGGAATTCCCAATCGTAATAAATTGAAAAAAATTTCTTGTTTATATGGAATAAATAAAGTATATAAGAGATTAATAATAGCAACAAAAATATTGCAAACATAAAAATATTAAATCAATAGGGAAGAATTAGTCCATAATAAAATTAATGTGTAGATGCAGATACATTAATATCATAATATGTTTATATGTTTTTTTTGGCCTCATTTGGAAAAATTTAAAAATTGGGAGAAACCATTAACTTGACGTATTTTTCAAATGAAAGATAAAATACAATGACTTGCCATTTTATTATTTAGTGACAAATAATATTACTATATGTATTATTTAAATAATTTCAATCTGTTTTTTCAATTAACATATAACATGTATATAACAATTAACTCAATTAACAATTTCAATATTAATTAATTTTCTTTAAATTTTTTATTCTTTTTTAAGTTTTTTATATTGCAAAACTATATTATAACTTATTTAAATTTTTTTTATTTATAACAATAAAATAAAAATAAATAGATAAATAAAAAAAAATGAAAATTTGAATACAATTCCATTATATAAAAATATGAATACATAAGTAAATAAAATCTAAAATCTTATTAATATGATATAAGTATATTGAAAAATATAATTCAACTAATATCTTATTAATAAATAAAAATATTAATATAGATTCAAATAGAATATATTATTTTAAAGTTTTTTAGTGGACTATTAGGACAATTTTATTTTAAAACAGAACGCATTGGTTCTAACATATTATTGGTTTTTTTGATTTTTTAAAGCATTTAAAATTTCGACTATATTCTATGACAGGGCTGTCCAAAGCACGGGCTGTCGGCTGTACGGGAGATATTTGTGTCGCCCGCGAAATGTTTTTAATCTATCATAATTACGGAAATTTTCTTTTGGTGTAAAACTACATCTATTTGGTAAAACTATATTATTTTATTTTTATGGTATATGTAACAAATATGTGATTTTAAATTGATATATTAATAAGACTAAATTCAACATTGTAACTGTATTTTTATTTTTGTCGAAAACAACTATGAACGTATGTATTTGTTTTTGCGGCCCACCAATCTGTACAGTGATTTGTATTGGCTCGCGATCGCAATTAGTATGGAGTCCATGCAATGGACAACCCTCTTCTATGGGTATTTTCAGGAACAGTTTCTGTACCAATGCGTTGTAATATAGAAATAAGATATAATACGATTGGTGGAAGATAGCTACGAAAACTTGAAAAAACGAATTATTAAAATAACAGTTACATTATATATGACCACGTAAAAATAATATAATTCACTAATAATGCTAGTGAATTAATAAAAATAAAAATATTGAAATATGTGACATTAAAAATTCTAAGACTTAAGTTTTTAGTTAGCATAATACAACTATCTTAATTTATATTTTTTATTATTTATCTTATAAACAATAAGTTTATATGAAACCTGTTTAACAGAAATAAAAAAATGTATTATAATTTAAGAGTTAATTGTATAAATAAATTAAATCTTATTTTAAGTATGGCTAAACCTTAAACAACCTCTCTTCAATTGCACTTAAGTGCATTGCAAATAAATTTTTATCAGTTAGGAAGTAAAATACTACTAATCCCTTTAAATAGCTTTAAATATCAAATTAAATTAGATTTATTTTTATATTTATTAAGACAAATAAGTCTTCCCACCGACAATTCATTTGTCATCATTTCTATTTAAATTCCATAATTTTGTAACTTTTTGATAAATAACAATTTTATAGTTTATTGTTTATAATTTAATACATTATTAAAAATTAATTTTAATTTAACTTTAATTGGTTGCTTTCTATGACGTTTAAGGAAATAAACTTTATATATGAATACACATTTACGTATTTCAAAAATACTAGTTAAGAATTAATTATGAATTTATATCAATTAAATGGTAGTGCATTTTGATCACACAGTAGTATATATATTTCTATTCTTTACATTCTATTCTGACTTACCTAAAATCAAATATTAATTTATACAATAAATTACTCCTTTTTTAAGTTTTCTATTCGGTTCTAAAGTGTTTTGAATTTAATGTGTCCACAATATAATTTATTTCTTTATCTTATGAGAATGTATGTAGAAAAAATTATAGACTTCGATAAGTAGTTATACAAACATAAATTCTATAGATATTAAAAAAATCTAATATTTTTGAGTAAATCATCGCATCTGTTGTCATAGCACAAAGCTGGATCTTTGTAATCTTTCTCCTTAGTAAAAGTACGTTATCAAAGATGTGCGCAATAGTTGGTTCTTTGGTGATATAAACACTTTGAATTGCTTTATAGTTCTCATTTCTCCTTGGCTCTGGATATTAATGTTCATAAAACAAGTTCACCACGCTTTTCGAGATAAATTTAGATAGGTTAGTTGTGCCTGCGTCGAATAAAGCAGCTGGATCTGCAAGAGTCAACTCTTCGTTAATATCGATTCCCAATTGCAAGAGGTTGTAGTATATAAAATTGTGTCTTGATTAACACCCATTATTTATAAAAATTAATTTGATAAAGAGCTAAATATGATAAAACAAATAGAAACAGCTTTAATTATTTTTCAAATAATTAATTATTATTTATTATTTTCCTTAAAGCAAAAACAATTTATTTTGTAAAGTTTTTTATGGCAAAGAAAAATGTTGGCATTTTCATATTTTATTATTAAATATAATTGAATTAAATATATGTAATATTTATTACGCAAATAAATGTAATGTAATAAACAAATGTTTATATAATTCGTGTAAACTAAATTATTTCAAAGTTGATAGATGTAGTGCTACCTAGCTTAGAATATGCATAGACCTGATACAAGATCAGAATCCCTTAAAGCAGTAAGTGACAGCAGTAAAGCAGTAAGTTCAGTCCTTTAAAACTTGTACTTCCAAAGAATTTTGATCGATTTTTTAAAAGAGCGAAACAGAAATAAAGGGGACGCCTTAGGATTTGTTTGATGTCCGGTTCCTCACATTTCATACAATTGCTGTTATGTTACACTTTGAGGAAAGCATCAAATGAAATCTGCAAACAAGCATTAACATGGAATCCTCAAGGAAGCAGAAGACCTGGTAGGCCCAAGCAAACGTGGAAGCGAACACTGGAGAAAGAAATCCAAGCAAGCGGAAAAACCTTTGGAGAAATTAAAATCCTGGCAAACAGTTGTAAAAAGTTCGTTATGGTCCAATGTTCCCCTGGGAACGTACTGGATTGATTGATTGATATGCAACCAATAATTTTATATAGGTGTACTTTATATATATTTATATATATATTTATATTATATATATAGCCTTCATTTATAACCATAATTAAATTGTATTGTAAAGGAAAATTACGTTCGTTAAGATGTTTGCAATATGGTAAGGAGGTATCGGACACCAATAAAAGTATATGTATATATTTTTGAATAGTTGATTAAACCCATATATAAGAATTTATAAGTAATATTAAATAATCAGTTTGTGATAAAGCCGCCTATGTAATGCAAATGATTATTATCCATCTTACAAATAAATTCGTTAATTATCATAATTCGAAAATAATAAGTAAGGTACATGGTTTCGTAAAACTTGAACTGGTCTCGGTATATCGTTGACTCGATATTAGTATCAAATTATTATTAGTTTTATAATATTATTTCTAAATCGCAATGATCGTTTTCATATAAGCAGGTTTAAATTTCTTTTCTTAAGATCTTCATTACAGGCTACAATAAAAACTATTTTAAAGAGACATACTCATCCATTGCCATTTGTCACAACCGTACAATATCACTAATCTCCAGCTTTCAGTTTGCACACCATTCACTTAACCAGGCAGAACAACTAGGCATCAATAACTGTTAATGGAAGCAAGCATACAACTGAACTAGTTGAACAATTGAACTAGTATGACTGCAATTGCACTCTGTTTTCGTAATAGATAAAACAAAACGTAATAAATTCATATATATTACTAATACTAAAAAGAATATATGTTACTAATAACACATTACTACTAATATTTATACTAATAAGAATAATAATAGTGCAACTAGCAACCGCAAATAAAATTTAGCTAAAATGGTACTTCAAATAAAGCAGTTGCTAAAGCATCTGACTAAATGGAATTACTTGTAAAAACCAAAATTATTGTTATGATGATTTTATAATTAATTTTTCTTAGAGCCCACCTAAGGTGTTAGTGCAGATTATTATTATGTGCAGACATATATTATAATTACGATCATTATTACGTAGTTGTGAAAACCGAATTAAGTTTATAGAAACAATATATAAATAAAAATACTGTATTTCTTGATAAATTGATGGCAATTATTATTTATTTATAAAATAATATTAATTAATAATAATTCTGTTACTAACAGTTTAGAATAGGGCTGTCCAAATCAAGGACTGCCGGACACATGCGGCCCGCGGATAATGTTTTTGAGGCCCGCGACATGTTTTAATCTACCACAATTACGCAAATTTTCTTTTGGTGTACTGATAAAACTGTATTATTTTATTTTTATGGAATGCCAAATAAATAAATTTAAATTAATGAATTAATGTAATTAAATTTAAAATTATAACCGTATTTTTATTTTTGTCAAAAACAACTATGAACGTATTTATTTGCTTCTGCGGCCCTCCAATCTGTAAAGTGGACAACCCTGGTTTAGAATATAATGGATATAGCACTGTTTTGATGTAATATATTAAAACTCCAGATTTTATTATGGTTTGATGAACTGTTATTTTTATTAAAATATTATTATAAAATCCATTTCTATGAATTAAATTATTTGTTTAAATTCTTAGTAAGAAATCATTTATCTATTATCAATGAAGACGCGCATTGGGCGCTAAATATGATTGACATTTGATTTGTATGCACTTTTTTATAGGAAATATGAAAGAAAATCGACAATAATAATTGCGTGCAACGCATATGTAAATTAAATAAAAATATGTAGAGGAAAATTGTTGCATATATAATATAAACTATATTTACATATGACTACACTGAGAAAAACATTGTAATTGTATTTCTCACATTAACACTTAGTATTTTAAAAGATATAAAAATGCTAAAAACTATTTTATAAAAACTTTAATTATAATAAGTCATATTTTTCCTTAACTGAGCATAAATTTTTGAAAAAAGAATTTCGGCCATATTTGCACTTCGATACACTTTTTCCTTTTACATAAACTGGACGGTCTCCAATCAAACCGTAGGAGTAATTGCAGGCAAATATGAAATGATTTATGCCATCATCGGTTGTAAACCGCGATGCGGCGCAACCGATTCTAGTGTTTCTTTCAGCAATCATTTGAGCAAAATGTCCCATGGTGCTATTAATATAAATATTTAAATTTTAGATTCATAAATTCATTTTGCGCACTATTATTTTATGAATTTCAACTTACCGTCCACTATAATTTTTTGGATATTTATTTATAATAGTCATATTGCAATCTTCATATTCATTCCACCAAGAAGTTATACTCTCCTTAATTATGAATTCATCAAACTCGGTGCTTTGCGGGCCTGTATAATTGACATTTGCTAAGTTTTGTCCAGAAAAATTAAAATTCACTGTATTCCTGCATTCATCATGCTCCATTTTACACTGTTTTACATTAAGCTCTGCTAGTTCTGTTAATTCCTGACCCCATTGTGTAGTAGCCATCTGAACTGCCGAGCTAAATCCTTTCAATTTTCCACCAGCAATCATATTTCTCCGATCATTATGCATTCTTAAAATCGTTCTCATATGTGTGGTGATATTAATGAGGTGTACATTATCTGGGCAGGTATTAGAAAAAAGCTATAGTAATAATAATAATAATATAAAGTTAAATAATACAGTGAATTAGTTCAAAATTTAACTTATAGGTATAAGTTTGCATATTTACTTTATTATTGCCGCATGCTATATGTTTTTTACCGGACGGGCACAATGTATTGGAACAGTAATCTTCTGTTTGTGCTGCTGTTGTTATATATATTATAGATATTAAAATTAGAAATTTCATATTCACAAGATTCTTAATGTCAAAACACACAACACTTGAGCTCTATAATTTAATACTAATTACTTGAAACAAGCAGTTTTGACTTTTATATCAACGTTCTCACGATTAGAATTCTTGAATTTGTTTTCTTTAAATCCATTAATGTTATATTAAGATTAAATGACTTATTTTAAAATTTTGCACTGGCTTTGTATCAAAATTTCAGCTATTATTTAGACTGTATAAGTTTCTTATCTGTTAGCATACTTCACATTTTATGTTGCCCAACATCAACAATATAAATAATATTAAAATGTATTAGGGAGGTCGATGAGTTGGAGAGAAAAATTTTGACCAAAGTTTGTAGTGAGACACGATTCCGTAGAGCATTTAAAGTAAAAATTACCAACAAACTGTAGGTCTGAACTGAGTTTTAAGTTTGCGTATTGTTCAAAATATATTGCTTCTTTGATTTCGCTCATTTAAAATTAACAATTACTTAATTATTTTTGTATAAGATTACAATCTCAAATTAATAAAATGAATAAATGAAAATAATATGATTCACTATAATATTTTAGAAAAAAATAATATAGATCATTATTCAATATTACAACTAGCAGCTTTATATATGAATACATAAAAATTTCATGATTCATTAACATCTTATTAATAAGTTCTTATTGTTTAAAGAGCATAATACAACTATCTTAAATTATATTTATTATTATGTGTCTTATAAACAAAAAGTTTATCTAAAACCTGATCAATAGAAATTAAAAAATGCATTGTATTTAACAAGTTTATTGTATAAATAAATTAAATCTTATTTTAAGTATGGCTAATCTTTAAACAACCTCTCTTCAATTGCACTTAATTGCATTGCAAATAAATTTTTATCAGTTAGGAAGTAAAATACTATTAATCCATTTAAATAGCTTTAAATATCAAATTAAAATAGATTTATGTTTACATATGTTGACACATATATATTATTATGGACACTTCATTCATTTAATTAAATATAAATAATTTTTCATAACTTGTCATATCGAAAATAAATTTTAATTTAACTGTTTAATTTATACTAATATATATTTATGAATTTATATCAATTAAAGGTAGTGTATTTTTGTTATAGAGTACGTACCTATATTTCCTTTTTTCATTCCATATTATTCTCATTGAAAATGACCTATTAAACTATATATGTTATTATCCCTTCTTTAATCTTCCTAGGTACTTATATGGTTTTAATATCTTTTAAATTAAATTATATTATATTTATTAATTAATTTATTTTATAGAATGTACATAGAGAAGGTTATAAAATTCAATAAATAGTTATCTAAAGATATTTCAAACTAAAATAATTTTAACCATTGTAACTTCGTACCTTAATACTACTTGTAATGCGGTGGGTAATTATCAGTTAATACGGTGCTCTTGGTGACTACATGGACGAGTTCTGGTCCCAATGTTGTATTATTGCTTGTAATTAATGTGTATACTCTAAGTATTCAAATTTCATTATGTTTTCCGTGTCAAGTTAGTGAGTTGGACCTTTCACATAGAACCAGTCAGCGTTCGACCCTTAGTTAATTTTGAATCCGACTTCCCAGAAATTATAATAAATGAAATTGTTTTTAATTTTATGTTTTTTTTCTGATATATTTATCTTGTTTTTAAAATTAAAATTATTTATAAAAATCGATTTCAGAAAGAGGTGAGTTAAATTCTGAAATACTTGACAAAGAAATCTTTTCCTATAAAACCAAACTAAATCAAAGCCATTGGAGAAAGAATAAAAATTTTATTATTTCCAATCGTTTAGTCATGAAAAAATATTAAATAATTATTTTCTTAGGAATCACGTTTTCTTATTTAAATTTCATATAATTCGAAGATTTGAAGTACTTATTTTCTTTATACTCACATTAGCATTGAACATTTTCAGCTTCAGTTAGAATCTCAATTGCACGCTTCTTATGACTTATTATGAAATTTTTATTTTATTGATACGATTTTATCGCAAAATAAAATTGTTTGTTTTGCATGAAATAAAAAACTAACATTTGTTTATGCATTTAAAACCACATTTTACTCATTTTATCATATTATTCAGAAAATAAATGAAAGCTGTTTTTTATTTTTTATTTTTATTAATAATAGTTTGAATGCGTTTGATACCTTTGAATATGACGCACTCTAGCGACTCTGTATGTTTCAAAGTTGGAACACAATCCTCTGTAGACATGGTTTACGCCCGTCCTACAAGTGGATGCAGTTCTTCCCGCGGAATATACAGGCATGCCAATAAAATTGACGGTTGCATAGTTGCATGCGAAAAGAAAGATATTAAATTCATTTTGGGTGTAAAGTGAAAGACCACAACCAACATGTGTATTGCTTTCAGCTGCCATAGTCGTAAAGTGTAGAAAGTTTCTGTATAATTATTTAAGTAAAAGTATTAACAAACTTCAGGTTAAATATAGTATTTAAAAATGACTAACGTGCTATTAAAATTTGATGGAAACTTCTGAATTACTGTCATATTAATTAGTTTATACTCTTGCCACCATTCATTAATGCGATTTTTAATAATCCAATCTATACGAAAGAAAGCAAATAATCGAGTATTGCCAATGAATCCCAAATTTTGACTCGCCGTTGGAAAAGCATATGTATTGTGGCACTGATCATGTTTCATTGCACATTGTCTCACATTCAAACCTGCCAAGTACGCTAACTCATTACTCCATTGCATTGTAGCCATACGTGACGCTGGTCTATAACCGGGCACTAGACCTCTGGCTAAATTGTTACGTCGTACATTGTGCGCCTTTAGTATGAGGTGTTTGTAGTGATTCATATTTATCAATCTTGCGTTAGTGGAACAGTTTCGGCTGAAGTTCTGCAGCATATCATAGAAGAGTGATTGAATTTATTAGAGAAAAGAAAACAAATCTTTTATTATAAAATGTAAACTTACACCATTGTTTTTACAAGCAATATGCTTCTTTCCCACATCGCAAAGATTTTTAGCACAGTAGTTTGTAGCTGATCCGTATTTATTATTAAATAAAATTAAGAGTATTACATTGATTAATACAAAAATATTCATTTTAAATAAAATTAAATGTAAGAAATATATAAAATTCAAATTTTCAAAAATCTTTTCTAACTTCTGCCGAATATAATGAGCTTGTGAATGCTCTTATATAGAATTGATCTTCAATGTTATGAATGAAAATAAAAGATTTCAATGAAAGAAAAATGTTTGATTCAAATAAAATATTTTAAAATTGGCAAAAATACCATGTGTGCATTATCATTTATTTGCAATAATTAAAAAATAGTTCAGATATGTTTTGCTGAACGAACTCGACTTTTGGATACTCTACTCGACAATGTATACATACGAGTACGGATATGCACTAATTGTTTATTAAAATTAGGAACACATTTTTTCAATTAATATATATAATATCATTTATATATACATAATAATAAACAATAATATATTATACTAAATATATATAATAAATTGTACATTATGTTTAATATATGAAAGACATATTTTCAAATTCTAAATTTTATTATGAAGCATCAAATCAAACATTTGAAGGTTGGGTTTTTTGGAATAATTGATTTATGATATACTTCATCATTATATACTTCATCATGTATTCATTTGTATCAAACTACCCAAATAAGATTTAACGTGAATATAAAATAATTAAGTTTATTTAAAAGTATATATTATAATATAAATGCATTTATGAAAAATTAAAACTCTTTTACACGATTTAAACATTGACAAATTATATATAGATGTTCAATGGTATACAAAATAAATGTCCATCAAAATTTTGCAATATGACCTTTCGATCGCCGTTCAATCTACAACAAGGTATCTTTATTCACACGAGTACTATAAAGAGCTTTAAATCCGTTCCATAATGTGGAATGGTGGATTTTGGAATCTTTACCAATTAATTCATAATCATCATATTCATAACTATACAGTCCATGTAGGACCTAAGCATGTCGTAAACATTCCTCTATTCATCTCTTCACCCATTAATTAATTTTCCATAATTCTCTCTGGTTGCTATATACTTTCATTTTTTTGTTTAACGAGGTGTAAAGCAATTGAAAGCCCAGTTAGTGTGAGACTTCAACCCACTAAAATCACCCCTATGTCCGACGGTTAGCCTTCTCGAGTATTTCATTAAAAGGCCATTCAGAGCATGAAGCTCAAACGTGAGTTTTTTGTCTTCAATTCGTCATTCCGCTACATTTTGCAGACTGTATATTTGCAGGTCTATAACTGTAGCTGTTCTTCTTTCCTCTTTACAAAGTCGCAGGCGACGCATAATTTGAGTTGCGAACGTGTTTTTGCATTCCATTTAGAGCTACTTCAGCACATTTCATGTACAATGCTGCTAGGAGATGGTAGATTCCCTAGAGTCTCCACTAATAGTTCCCCTTCTTCATGAATCTGGTCGCAGCGAAACTCCACATTTTCTGTGGATGTCATCTGAAGTATTTAATTGTCTATAGTATAGAATGAAAATTGATTACTAGTATATAGAAACAATATTATTATTAATATAATTTACAAAACATCGCGCTAGTTAACGTACTTCACGTTTTCAGAGGATTTCTTTGGTATATTATACCAATTATTTTACTAGAAGTTTATCCAAAAGCGTATTTTTGTTAGCATAATTATCTGAAAATATGGAAATGTATGTGAGAAACAAATTTTGTTTAAACATTGTGCTTCATTCTGTACTGAACTAAAAATAGACAGCTGTGACAAGTACTTTTGTCTGCATGGGATATGATTTTCCTACATAAAAGATGATCTGCCATACTTCAGAAAGCATATTAATTCTTTATAATTATAGTCTCTTTAAAGGCATAAAAGATCTATTAGAAGTTATGATGTCACCGCTATAATGGAAGAAAAAACGGTGATACATGTAATATATAAGAAAATATATTGTTTAAACATTGTGCTTGGTTTTATTCTGAACTAAGAATAGAGAGTTTGACAAATTGTCTATATTGGATAAGATTTTCCTGAAAAAAAAAAAGATTATCTGGCATGCTCGAAAAAGTATATTGATTTTTGTTTTTACAGTATCTTTTCAGGCATAAAAGATTCATGAGGTCATAATGACACCGCTATGATCAAAGTCTTTTATATTCCGTTATAATCATACTATTTTATTTATAATCATTTATTTTGTATGACGTCCAATTTTTTCTAACTGTTTTGAAAAATGTAGACTTCGATCTTAAAAACAAATGATTAAAAATATTTATTTTTATTTTATAAAAAAACACATGTCATCCTGAGAATGAATCAAACGACGTAACTCATAGTTCCAATGGATGATACAGAATTAATAAAATAAAAAAAAAAACAACTAATGTTTTGGTTGGACTTCATTACTAAATAAAGTTCTGTTTAAAAATTAACATTTGTGTCAACCTTAACTTTTTATCAAAATAGTTTCAAATTTCGTCTCTGTAAATAACTTCTGCATAAAAACAGATTTATTCATTGTACTCATTGGAAAATTTTACTATAAATTGATTTGTTCCAAAGCAAAAATTTATAGTCGCCAGTCTCAATTGTGTAGAACTACAAGCTAAAAAATGTATTTATTGCTTTCGTTAATTGTTATCTTTGGGGCCCATAATGCCTTGGGCGAGGAAGAAAATTATTGTGAAATTTACCATTGTGGTGAAACGCATATAGCCTGCAATAATGATGGAGTTAGCATAGCATTAGAAAAATAATTTATTAAAAAAAATTTTAAAATATGTTTTTTATATCTAGAACTTATCACCTGACTGTCCTTTGGGTACTGCAATTGTTAATATGACTCATCACGAACAATTTATTTTGGATCTACACAACGCAGTGCGTAATAAATATGCAGGTGGAGTTCCACCGTTGCCAGTTGCTGGACGTATGGCTCAAATGGTTTGGTGTGAAGAGTTAGCTGCATTAGCTGAATTGAATGTCAAAAAGTGTATATTGGAACCAGATGCATGTCATAGTACTATGAGAGCTCGCTACTCTGGGCAAAATAGTGGTATGACTATTTATAAGACATCACAAACCATCACTACTTTGGCTTGGTTAATCGAAAACCGTTTCGATACTTGGGTTAGAGAAGGTGAATGGGTAACAATGCAACAAATAAAAAAATATCCTGATATTGAACCAGCACTGTATGTTGCAAAATATATATAAAGTTTAACTTTTAATAAATTGTCAATGTTATTTTCAGACCGATCGGGCATTTTACGCTTATTATCAATGAGAAAAATACGCATGTTGGTTGTGCTGCTGTAAGATATAAGGAAGAAGCTTCTAGAATTTTCTTGTTCACATGCAATTATGCAGCTGGCAATATTATAGGTAAGCCAGTGTACACTGAAAGTAATGTACCAGGTCAAGAGTGTGAAACTGATACCAGCATACAATACCCTAACTTATGCGAAATTGATGAAGCGTACGACAATACACAATAAATTAAAATAGCTTATAAATTTGCTATTATATAAAAAATATGTTATATATTTATTTATTATATTATTATGCATAACCTGACATAATTGAATGACTTTTATTGAATTTAAATAAAAACCATATTTTCATTATCTGTTTGTTTTTATTTTATAATTAAATACAATGACAATGATACAATGATTCAAAATAATGTATTTAACGCAGAGAGAGAGAGAGAGAGATAATAGTTCAATAAATTATTAAACTTCTTGAAAACTTTAATTTAGGTTCTTAGGATTAAAAACACAACTGAACAATTAAATCCGCACAGACTATTTGATGTACCTAATTTAATAGAAAGAGACTTCGAAATTAACACCAAAAAACTGGGAAGTAATTGTTAACAAATTTAAAGAACATATGGAAACCAAAAAGTAGTCCACAACACCTAATATTTGAAGTATTTCTTGCAATAAAAGTGTTCTCAAGAAACCAAATTGTTAATTGTGATTATTATTAATTATTATAAACGAACACCTTATTATACTGATAAAAATTGCAATGGAACTATATACGTGACTGATCGGTTCTAAAATTTTGACCCAAACTGAGAATGGGTTAAAGGCTCAGGTTAAGTTAGAGTGGCAGTCCTGTGACTAATTGAAGTTGTTTTATATAATTTGGAACTCAAAAACTGTGTAACGTGCCCATTTGCAAAAACTTTCATCTAACTTATTCTTTCACTCATATAATTCATATAATTTATAATTCATGTAGCATTTAACTACAAAACAGAAGAAAAGTTTAACAACCTATTGAGTTACATGACGATTAATGAAAATCCCACTATAGTTGCAATAATAAAAAAAAAATAGAATTTGTTCTATTTCACTTCAATTACTATAAAATAAAATAAAAATAGAATAAAAATAGAATAAAAAATAAATAAAAATAGAATTATTGAACAGAATTACGTTTTATGCCAACGGAACCCAATTTATGCGGATGCATGTGTAGAAGGTTTAGTATTTCCGAATTATAATAATAATAATGTTTAGCTATTTTCGAAGACTTCATGACAATAGTCCCATTTTTTTATGGAATGTGTAAGCATAATACAACAAAAAGTAGGATAAGTTATTGGATAAGTCAGTTAAAAATTAAATTAATTAGATTAGAATGGCTAAATAGTTTCATATATTTTTCAAATGTAGTCACCTTTTGATTCGAAGGTTTCAATGGTGTTAATGCGTATTCCTCTGTCCAAGTGACACTTTTGCACAGCTTTGTTAACACAACAAGATATGAGTACGCGATGAGTATTGGATCCAACTAGAAAAGTGCTATTGGAACATCTTTGTTTGGATATATATCAGCCGGACTGATTAGTTCGTAGACTTCCATAGTGTAATGTCTTAATATTGCTTAGTAGTGTTTTAGTTTATTAAATATATTCCAATGGTATCTCGAGTTATTTACACCTTAATAATCTATAACTTTTTTCACTCATCCCATAATTTTAACTAAAATTGTGTTTAAATATTTTCTGGGTACATCTAAAGATGACATGTATGTATATATAGATAGATGTTGATAGATTTAATTTTATTTAATTATTTAGTAGTGAATAGTTGTTATGCAGTTTATCAAAAATAAGTATTGAAATCAGTAAGAAATTAATTAAACTGACTACAAGTCTCGATAAAAATGAATAAAAAAATGTTATCATGCTAGCTTCACTTAACTATTTATATATGAAAATATTACAATTATTCGATAAGTCAGTTTTTTAATTAATGTTCGATGTTCAAAAATAAATAAAAAAAATTTAAAAAAAAAAAACAAAAAAAATTCTAATTAAATTAATGCAAAAGAGATATGAGTTACTTGCACTTGAGAAAAATTTATCTGCATTTCTATTAATTGAAATAAAAACACATTGCTTTTTATTTTTGTATATTTTATTATTATACATAATTTGTTATTATTTAATTAAATCTAAATGTTATTTAAATATATATTTCACTTAGTTTGTAAATGTTCAGTTTTATAATGAAGTATATTTATGTGTTCCTGCTGTCTTTAGCAATTTTAGTGAATTTTTGATATACTTTGTTAAATAAATAAACATCATCCTTTATGTATATAATATATATATAGACATTATGTATATATAGTTTTTGTATGTATATAGTTTGTATATGTTTTATAAATTTATATATGAATACTTTATGTGTCTGTCCGTTTCCTATGCAATCTTTTAAGGTGTTTTCTGAGGTGTTTCTTGATGCGATTTTATTAGTTGAAAATATTTATTTTTAGTTTTTATTTTTTTATTTTTTTGTTAATAATCTGAATAAAAAATATTTTAATATTTTTTGTTTAGTGTTCCAAATATATATATATATCTTTTCAAAATGTTAGGTGATATTTTTGGTTTAGTATATTGTTAGCATGTATTTGTCTAGATTAATTCAATCATAATAAAATTGAATTATTTTGTATTTATTTTATATTATACATTCACATTATTTATTAATAAATTAGATGATCAAAATTTAGTTTATCGTATTACTTTTACAATATTTAAATTTCGTGCAAACAACTTTTGTTTCAATATAATTTATTGCAACTATAGGTTTATAGCATTATGGAACAATTTCATTTTTTCTTATAGGAAAAGATCAATAATATTTTATCATTAAATAATAAAATAAATAAAAATATTTTTATTGGATTTTAATATGTAAACTAAAATAAATTGATATGATTCGCTTCTTCTATTACAAAAAAAAGTTTGAGTTTATATAAAGAGGTTATTAAAAATAATTTTTTTTTTAAATTTATTAAATAAAAGTAAAAAATAAAAGTGTGCTAAGTAAATAGCAAATGTTAATACACTAGAGCCCTCTGTCATAGGGTAGACACATTCGATGTTATATGATTTCATGTTGTCTGAATCACTTATAGCTTACACATTCTATAGCAACTATCGTACTTGAAATAATTAAAATGGTTTTCTTTTAAAATTTATCCTTAAGATAATATGGCCATGATATCAATTATAGCCATTAAATAATAAATGTCTTCTTTTACAAGAAATGTACATATAAGTGTTGTCGTCTTGTACTAGCAAGATCACAATTTCTCTCTCGTGTGATACAAATCCATCATAAAATAACGCTTACTAAGAAGGAATCTAGCACTGTAAGAAAAGCATATCATATAATATTTTTTTTGTATATCTTTTTTTATATCTTCTTCAATGTCATATTCATAAAATGCAATGTTGGGGATGGATAAAAGAATAATGGACTATCTTGTTGTCTTTAGAAAAGTAAAAACAATTTCATAAATTAATTTTTATAAAACCTGTATTGAATAGCATAATAAATTTAAGTCGAACATGGAGGATATATGAGCAGAAAGCAACAGGTGTATTTCGAAAAATCTTAGCTAATTGGTTTCAAATATTTAATAAACTTAAACGACATTGAACAAAAACCGGTCAAAATATACAATTCCGTGTAAACCTACCTACCTGTTTTATCTGGGTAGTTATATATTTTTACCTTGTCCAGACTATTTCATTATTTTAATTTCACTCATTTTTTTATATTAGTTCAATTAAACTATAGACAGACAAAAATATTAAATCTAAATGACTTTATATATGTATATGAAAAGAGAATAGTGGATAGTGAGATTTTTCTATTTTAAAATAAAAAAGAAATAAATAAACTCGAAATGGAAGCTTTGGTTTGACTTGAAAGCTTCGATCTATTGGATTGGTAGCTGCGAGATACAAATCCATGTGTATCTAAAATATTACAAAAACAAAAACGTTTGAGAAAAACATTAATTGAAATAATGTATGGATTTGTATTGAAATCCTTTGTTAGTACCATTACATTCATGCGATAACTAAAACGTTTCGTATAAAAGCTTTTAGTTACTTTAAAGCGTTAGCTATTATAGACATTATTAAGAACCAAGCCGACCTATAAATTTATGTTGTGATCTTTCAGTATATATAATTAGCTCTTAATTAAGACAATTGTAAAAACGAGAAGAATCTATAAATTTGTGATAAATTGCCAGTACAGATAATGAACCCTTAATTCAGACATTATTAAGAACCAGAGCCAACTATAAATATAAATTTAATTCACAGGCAACTGGAAATCCAGTAGGCAATTAGAAATCCAGTGGGCAACTGGATTTGTTTTTGCTTATGCATTATTTTCCATACGAATAAAAAGTAAAGGTACAAAGATATATATTGTATATATTTTACGAAGTCAATAAAAGCTGGTGTCTAAAAAGACTTGTACCTTAGCGTAGTTGCATATTTTGCTATAAGGGGAGGTTAGCACCTACTCAAGGGTCTCCATTTATATAATCAATTATGAGTCAAAACATTGTTACATATAAGACTCTTAATGATATTCTTATATGACCAATATGTGATACAATTAAACCAAACTAAATCAAAATATTTTAATAATATATAGTAATCATAAAATCAAAATTTTGTGTTGTCTAGTAATAGGATGATTTCCTATTAACCCCATATGATTTAATGAAACATCATAGTTAAGTAAAATAATTTTGGGGTTTAAAGAACTTCTCATAATAAAATTGTGTTTAATAGGTAAGGATAAGTTCTACATTTGACTTATACATATAAAATTTTTATTAACATTAATTTTCGACTTATAAAAATGAAAATTTACATACATACAACATGTGGTTTTTATTACGTTTTTTTTTATTTTATTTTTAAGTGTTCGCCAAACTTTGTATTATTTTCGATAACACAAATTTTAAAATATAACTTTAACTTATTTAATTAAATTATATACAAAGTACAATTATTATTTTAAATTTATTTAGCAAAAGCGCTGAAAAACTAAAATTTAATTTGTGCATTTAATTTATGTTTGTTTCTGTAATTCTTAAGTTTTATTATTAAATAAATAAAAATACTAATATGATATAGGCATAACTCCTTTTATTACAATAAATATGTCAAATGTGTAAATAAATTAAAAGTGTAAAATATTTCGAAATTTTTACTGAACTTTTCAAAAACAAACGATCATGTATGAAATGTATATATTGATTTTATATGGGCTTAAAAAAATATTTAATTATAAAATTCAGCATTAAACGAAGTACACAAATAAGATGTAACTTAAACAAAATATAATGATATCCAGAATCTAATCTGATATACAAGTATATATAGTTGAAGCTGGAAAGCTCTTATTATAATTGAATTTTATTTGAATTTGATATAAATTCTGCCTGTATACAAAGGCCTACCTTAAATTAGATGATTCAATTTTTTACTTTATATAAAAGGCTTAATATATATTTATATTCTTAATAATCACACATAAAAGTAGTAATTTATTTAAATACGTATGCAATATAGTTTAAACCAGACATTTTTTAAAATTATTTTCTTTGATTTTAAATGTCATGAAAGCGCCGGATTTAAGATTTGATTTTTGTATGTTTTTAACATTACGAAAAAATTATTACAAGCTAATATTTAAATAAAAATTTGTATAACTAAGTTTAAGTATACAAAAGCAACAAATTGCGTATTAAATTAAGTTTAAGTATTTGTTTGTCATATGTAGTTCTATAACTAAGTGAAAGTATGTTACACACGTCTTAAAGCATAAATACAGCATTATGATATTTTTTGCAATTTAAAATTAAGTTCCTTATAATATATATACTTTTATACTACAACTTTAATTTGAATGAATTTTTGTGTTTTAATTTTTATTTTTTTTTAATATAATAGACACCGCTTCTTTTTAATTAAACATAATTAAGTTAAATTAACTTTGTTGTTGTGGCCCAAATTTACTTGTGATCTTATGTGAGACGTTCACAATTGCCATTTCATGTTTAGAATCTAAATCACAATCATATAAACCACTCAAGGAATCTAAGCTTAATAGTCTTGAACTAGCACGACTTGATACTGATGTGTCATCAACATCGGGTGCATTGTACAAGGAGTTAACATCTGAGAGTGCGCCTTCCGCATCGGTTAGGCCAGCTTCATTTAATAGTGATATATTTTCAAGTCCAGGTTCATCAGTTATATAGCCAGTAGACTCAGCACCACCTAAGTTGAGAAAAAATTTTTCCATTAAAATTTTCATTTAAATTTAAAATTCAAAGAAGTGATTTACCTGTTGCTTCTTCACGGCAGTCATCATCCGACCATTCTGATTGACTTTCCAACGGGTTTGAGTCTACTGACTGATGATTATGATGACCGGCACCATATTTCAATTCGTCATTTATCACATTCACATCTAAATGATGCTCGTCATTAGTAACATCATTGCTTAAAGCACTAACTTTGTAATCGTCTATATCTTCCAAATCTTCCTCATCGTCTACAACATCGTTCACATCGTCATTGCCACCATTCGTTTTATTATTTTTAATATTATAATGCTCTTCATCACGTTCGCGATTTATACCATTTTGATGCTCGGACGATGTAAGTAAACGTTTTTTCCTCACATCACGTCCCACTTCATCATCTTCAAATTCTTCATCGGCTAAATTATCTTCAGTGTCATCACGTTCAAGTTCATCATTGTGCAGAGATATGTGGTTATTACGCTGTCTTTGGTGATGATGATGATGATGGTGGTGATGTCGTGTATAACGCTGTGGTTGTGGTGGTTCTACACCATTTGCTAATTGCTCTATGCTATCAGAGCGATTTTGATCGTAGTCCTTCGAGCGTGGACGTTGACGATGTCTGTGGTTGTGCTCTTTGTTCTGTTGTGGTGTTTGATTTGGCATATAATTTGTGCCAGTAGAGGTGGATGATTTATTTGTTAACTGTGTGTCTAAAACAGCTGCGTTTATGTGATTACGGTTATCGTGTAAAATTTCACACGATTCGGTGTCTGATGTTTGCCTATTTAATATATATTTCGGTTAGGTAACATGGAAAATAAGCAGTTGTGTAATAGTATAATAAAAAATATAGTTATATAGATATTATAAATTATACATATATATATGTATAAGAGTATACATTGCTATTATTATATTGATCTAAATCGGTTTAAAATTATGTAGTACTTACATTTGACTTGATTCCGATGGATTCTTGTTTCGTGTAATTTCCTTTATAGCCTCTAGACCCACAGGATGTTTGGCAATCATGAAACTTGTACTTACAGGTATTTTAGAGTTAAGTCTACCTGTTGGTGATGCTAAATCATTTAAAATAGTAGCTGCCATAGCTGTGGTTACTGATTTTGTATTATTATTTCCACTCATAGAATTGCTGCCACTTAAGTTGCCATTACTGCCAGTTGCTATACCATTATTAGAACTCAATTTGCTGTTGCTAGCGGAATAGCACAGCTCTATGTTGTTACGACTACTGCTATTGCTAGTTGTATTGCCTTCCTGATTAGAACTAGAAGTAATATTACCACCATTAGATGAGGTTGCGGCCATAAGTCCACGTGCACGTGATGATTCATTTAAAAGTCTTTGCAGTTCCCTCTCAAATGGTGACTTTGCTGTCGAATTCGTAGCCGATGCTGTTGCGCCCACATTTTGTGATTTATTATTGAGACCAACACGGTCTTGATATTCAAAGCTATTGCAGGAGTCACCTTTATTTTGTGTCGTATTCGTATGCTGCCCCTGACTTTCTGTGGTGGAACTAACTTCAAAGTCTTTAAGATTTGACATATCGATTACTGGTGATGTTGGATCGACTTGGATATCACATGGATATAGCCACTGTAATGGATTACCATTACGATTAATATGATTTGCAGCTGTTATGCGTGGTGAATCGTCATCGGCTTCACCTTCTGTTGTCTTAGAGTAACTTTCATCTGATGAACTCATTGATGGTGAGTGCGGACGTGAACTTAGATCATCGGTGGAAGACATCTCGCGATTCTCTTCAATATCTGTCGGTAGCTTTGGCAGGGGCTTCATATATGTGCGTAAGAGAGGTGTATTTTGTTTCAGACTTGATATAACATTTGTGGATTTAGGTGGTGGAATGGGTAATGGAGGTTGTGTGTGTTGGTTAAAGTGTAAGTATTGTTGTTGTAATTGTTGTTGATGATGATGATGTTGCAACTGTTGCTGCTGCTGTTGCTGAAGCAATATATTATTGGGACAGGTATAACGTGGTGGTTCGTATTTAGGTGGATGCATTTGTGCGTGTTGCATTGGTAAAATCTTTTTTTATTGCATTTAGCACATTTTTAGCACATTTAACACATTGATTCAGGATTTTAGTAACGTTGATGAAACGGGAGATAGGCAGCAAATGCGTACACATTGATTATCACATTGACATAGATTTGAATTATTTGAGTAAGGCATGCAATAAAAAAATGATGTTTGTTTAATAACAAATGAAATTGGAATTAGTGACTAAAATAATAAAAAATATATGATCAAGAAAATTTAAAAATTAAGAACTTAACTTAGAGACAAATTTTTAGAGATAATTATAATACACAGTTTTAAAAATAATAAATTATTAACCCAATTTTTTCTATTAATTAACACCTATAGTCAATATATATAGTCACCCATAGTCAATATTATAGAGGATAGGAATTATTATAAAACTCTTATTATGTATGTATTAAATTATGTATTTATTATGCATTTATAAATATGGATTAGAGATCTTAAAATTTCTTAAATCTTTTATAATTTTTAAAATTAAAAAATTTTTTTTAAATTTTAATTATAAAATTTTAAACTAGTTGGAAGTCAGTATAATTACGGATTTATTAAAAATTTTGAAATACAAGGAAAGGCTTAAGCGTACAGAAGAGTTAGGCGCAATGCAAAAGAACGCCTTAATTAAGGCTCGTTTAATTATTAAATGATATTAAAAATGTCTCTGGAAAAACTAAAGTAGGTTTGACGTGGGCTTTCGATTGAATTTTGATCATGATAAAGATAGACGATATATGTTTACTTATGTTTTTGTCTATCCGTAAGGTAAATAATATTTTGTGTTGGTTTAATAAGTTTTTACTAAGCTCAAATATAGATTTGAAATTATAGGTGATTACTATTAAGTACTTGAATAGTATTATATTTTTCAGTTATTGAATTAATTTTAAAATAAATTTTCATTGCTTTATTCCAGCTATGTAGATATATAGACGATATATGATATATATGACACTATTAATTTTTTTAATTTATAATGTTTCTATAAATAACAATCAGTTATTAACAAAATGAAAAAGGTTTATAATAATTGTATTGGATTTAATAACATCTAATGATGGGCCCACCACATATATTAGCTGAGTGAAAATATTTATTGGTTTGTATGTATAAATGATCATAAGAGTATTTCCTCATTCCAGATATACTCAGCATACTCATCATCACTCACCTTGGCAACTGGTGCGGCATGCAACAACGGTTCACTTTCATGGCAATTATTATAATTGTTACTATTACTATTGGTGGTGTACGACGACGAATGTTGGTTGTGATGCAAATGATGGTAGTTGCGTGATGCATGCGTATCGCGTCTACCACCAACACCAAACAAATTGTTATAACTGTCCACCTGAGCATAAGGATCATGATTTTTATAATCGAAACGATTACCACTGGGATTTTCAATAATATTAAATTGTTCACGTAACATTACCATGTGTGCAGGTGGTAGTGCTGGGGATGCTGCCATCGCGACACCCATACCGCTCAAAGAGCTTGAAGAATGATTACGCTGATGTTGTGCATTATAGTTGTTAGCAAATTGTTGCTGTTGCTGCTGCTGCTGTTGCTGATATGAGTTGAAAGGATAGCTTCCGGTATGTTCGCCATTATTACCATTTTCACGTATATTCGGTAAACCGCCGTTTGCTATGAAATTTGGTAGCTTTTGTAATTTACTATTGAGCCGCTGTTGTTGTTGCTGTTGCAGGTGGTGATATTGCTGCTGCTGCTGCTGTTGTTGTTGTTGTTGCTGCTGTTGATGCAATAATAGTTGCTGCTGTTCTTCAAGTAGTGTTCCGGGAGACGGTTGCAATATTTGATTGTTAACCATGTCCACATTGTTGTAACCATAATTATCTTTTTTAATGTTATAGGTGTCATTGTTCATGTTGGAGTGATAGTTTTTATTTTGAAATTGTGCTTCTTTTTGATAAAACTCCGATGTATGATTGTGCAATTGCAAAGCATTTTGTTGTTGCTGAGCCGGGGGCAATTGCGATTGTTGCTGTTGGTGTTGTGTTATACTATTGCTCTGCACAGGATGGTTGCCGATCATTGCATTACGTACTTCGCCATTTAAAGCATTATTTGAGGAATCACTTAGGAAATATGTAATCATATCACCTTTACCCTTTACTTTAATTGTGCCACGACATCTAGTGGAGAAAAAATATTAATTTAATGTTATTTCTTTAATAGAATTTAGTCTTTGTCATACTTGAATTCGAAATGTGAACCATGTAAACTGTCCACTACTTCTTGAGTTACTTGTGTATAGCCTGGTATACCAGTAGAGTCCATGCGACTCGCCACATTAACTGTATTACCCCAAATATCGTATTGAGGCTTGCGTGCTCCGATCACACCGGCAACAACAGGTCCTATATTAATGCCTATAAAAAGTTTTAAATTTAGTAAAATAAAATAAAAGTAAATAAAAAATAAAAATTGTTAAATTATAATAAATATATGAACTTTGTATATAACTTACCCACTCTCAGCATGAAATTGTTATAGGAGTGACTGTTAATTTCTTGCAATGATAGGCGCATGGCCTTTACATATTCAATTAATGCCGTCATATGTCTTCGCACAGAGTTTGGATCTGCAGCATTAATTTTATAATCTACAATTAAATAAATAAAATAAGTTGATGCATATATATCTATAAAACTTTTAAATATTCAAGAAAACAACAACAATTGTCAGCTAAAATTACAAACAAAACTCTTGTGTGAATCCAGTATTATATTGTACGTTTAGAGTAATATCTATTATGTGTAAATCATTTAAACAAAAAGACGTTATTATTTTCTGAAATATCTTTTGAATTGCTGCACAAGTCTACTGGGATATACACACGTCCATATCTTTATTATCGATTATACTAGAAAGAAAACGGTATAGCCCCAAATACTCTCCTTGGCATATAGTGTGCTTAAGGGGGCCTATATGTGTTCCTTTACAATGCATATGCATTCAAATAAATATGACAGAACATGTATTTGAACTTACCTGGTATTAAACCTACAACTGCCATATAAGTACTGCCAACTGTTTTAATTTTATCGATGCCATGAAAACGATCTTCCTTTAACAACTGTAAATATATAAACACAATATTATAATTAATTTATATTAAAAGATGCTTTTATGTTTCAATATTAATAGCAGTGACGACTGCTCTAAGGTGCGGAGGTGTGCGGTGAACACCCTAACATAATTTGCAAAATGTCAAATAACATAGGTATATAAATTTATTAAGTATCTTCACATCAAGACTTATTATTATGTATTACATTTATATATAAATATATATTTTTAAAGTTTTAGCAAAAACAATTAAATATAATTGTCTATGAAAACTCAATCAATTTGCTTCTGTTATGCTGTACTGAGTGTGCTATAATTTAGCAAATCCAGAACTTTTATTATTTCGTGTGAAGAGTTGGCAGCACAATACGTTGCATATAAAAAATAATTTTTCGTTCGTAATATAGATAGAGATTTTTGTAATTGTATGAATAATCTGCATCAATACAACTCATGCAACGAATCAACATATGATTCAAGTGGTTGCGTGACGGCTGAAGTTTGCAGCCATCTAGCATACATTTTATACATTCGTCTCTTTTTAACATAGCACCCACGAATTTCTGTTTACTGTGCGGGTACTTGTGCGCACAATACGTTGCAAGTGGTTCGATTTTGTTTGATCACTGCACAAACATGTATGTTTCTAAGACAAACTCTTTTGTTTGAAAATTTGGTTTGATGTTACGAGAATTATGTGAAAAGTTTTGTTTCTTCCATATTGATATTATTAAACTTATATATAATAATTATTAATTTAATTTGTTTAATATATTATTTTGTTAATAAATTGTTAATATAATATTGCGAATATATTGTTGCCTTATACAATATAGTTATTATTAATAAAAGATCTCATATATTTTAATATAAGTGGTACATGTAAAAACAACATTATAGAAGGGCCGCACACCCTTCCAGATAGGGCACGCGTCGTCACTGATTAATAGGTACTATATATAACAAAGATCGATTTATTACCTCATCGAAATCAGCTATTATTTCATTAAGTAATCTTAAACATTCCAGTCCTTGATCGGAACCATCCATTTCGGTATAAAATTCATGAAAATTTGGCACTGAAGCGAATATAACTCCAACCTTTGCATAGCTCTGATGATAAAGTTCCTGTGAGGGAGTGACCTATAAAAGTTAGCAAAACCAGAACTTCTAAAATGATTAAATGGTTCAAGGGAAGGAGTTGGCAACACCGAAATCGTTTGTATGAAAAATATAATTTTTTTATTAAGTAGTTACTCAGTAGTTACGAAACGAAAGTTTTTTAATTGAACTGAATAATACTGGAACAACAATAAAGTCATCAGCAACGTAATAAACGTAACAAACAAGTGTACGGGGTGGAGTATATAAATTTGCTGACTTGGTACTAGATTAAAAAATGTAGTTTAATTAACGTGCAGTTACAATAAATATTTTAAATAATAATTTTTATGGATGCCAACACAATTTTAAGTAGTAGACATGTGGAGATAGAGAGATAGAGTGAGTAAGAAAATTATAGGTGAGGTTCTCTTAAAATCTGACCAAAATAAATGAAAATGTCATATTAATTATATATATTATTAATTACAAATAATAATATTAAGATAAATTATAGTGAAATACCAAATTGCAAAATAATAATGTTAATTTTGTGTTTGAAAAATTGAATTTGGAAAACAGAAATAATTTTTTAAAAATTAATTGAATGAATACAATCGTGCACTTATGAAGTAAACAAAATTATTCACCATATTGCTCCGGAATTGATTATCAAGGAAATGTGCAGCCACATGAGCTGGCAGCAAATTATGTAGTATCCTCTTATTGGATTCCTGCAGTACGTCCATTTCTTTTTTCTCTTGTGATGCTTGCAGTTGCCACAGAAAATCTAAACGTGCTGTCCACTCAACTAAGCGACCATGCACCAATATCGCTATCATGAAGATTATAATGCGCGCCAATGAGATCAAATGAAGTGGAATGGATGCACTGTGCAACAGAAAAAAAACATACAATTAAAGTCAAGAGTTTAAATATATGAAATGTTTAAAACTATGCTTTTGCTTTTAACTAGGTGAAAGGTGTCAATATATATAACAAAGAAATATTGACATTTACAAGGTAGCATAAAATATTATTATGTCAGTAGGGTTAATACATTCATCAGAACTTACTTTACTCGGCCATCGTAGCATTCGAAGATGTTTGTGTGTGATAATTCAATAAATAGACCGTAAATGGTACCCATCATCAAAATGAGAAAGGATTTAAAAATAATTGGTAACCTGCAATTTAAGTTATTTTGGTAAAAATTTTAAAAATAAATGGTAAGAAAATGTTTAGTATATTTTAAACTTGCCTTAAAAATACTGAAACTGATAGAAAAGCAAAGGCAGCGGATAAGGATACATATTGTGGTAGTGAACATTTGCGATGCGCTTCATTCTGATGTGTCAACATCAAAAACTCTTCCTCTAAATCCATTGGAGCTGCTGTAATATTACTTGAACATGGATGATCCGATATGCAAGTAAACTAAAAATGCATTTCTGTCATATCTTTCTGTTAAGTTACATTCATTTTAAAACTTACCACATTAACTTGTCCTACTGAATATATTAATACTATGGTGAATATGGTTATAGCCATGCGAAGTGTAAAACTCTGTGATAAATCCCAAATAATCCATTTTAAGCGCACCGCTAGCAACAGCATTAATATTGCACTTATCCATATGAATGCGGTTAAGAAAAGTAGCAGGAGTATTAGAGTACGCGGTAGAGCTGTCACTTGCAAGGCTGCACCAAGTATAAGTAATAATAATGAACAACCCATGGCCGTTGTAAAACCCAAATCGAAATCCTTGTGATATTCACGCTCCTTGTCACTTTCACGAAAACGTAACGTTATGCGATCGACATGCTCCGATTTATCACAATCGACGGATCGTGCATTGATCGCCTGCGAGAGGAAGCGATTAACGCGATTGGTCGGTTGATGGTGCACAGAGGAGTGACGCTTACGGAAGGGGCGTTTGAACTTATCCGTTACTTTTGACTGTTTACACAATTATTTATTGTTTTTGAATTTTAATTCAAAATGGTGGTGGTGTGGAGAGAGAGTAGCAAGATGGGATTTAGGTGTGTGTGTGTGATATGTGGAGACACATTGAAAATAAAATGAAATAAAAAAACAGTGTAAGATCATTTTTATATTCTTCCATAAAAAAATGTAAAATGTTAAATTTTTTTTTAAATATTGTAACGAAAATATTTGTTTTAAAAAAAAAACATAACTAGAAAATAAATTTTTAATTATGCATGCATGAAATGTACATGACAAGCTGACTATTTTTTACATATGTATGTCTTGAGATGTGGTCTTATATATTTTGATCATGCAAATTCCACTCTAAAAACCAACAAATTCCAATGTAAGATGTTTTATGGAAATTATTATAAAATAAATAGAATCTTAAAATATATAAACTAATTTTATATTTAAATATTTTTCTACTTGTTTTGGATTAATTTTATTTATATAACATATGTTGCATATAATTTATATGTATATATATATAGGTATATTGTAATTACATTTAATACACAAGTTGAGTTTTATAGTTCTATGTCGAAACTGAAAGACTTTGTTTTTTTAAGTTACTGTTAATTAAAATAAAGCATTGTATTGTATTTTGGAAAATAATAAACAAAGTATAGAGTTATAATCTACTAAAACAATATCTAAAAAAGAATTCGTAATTATATTATAACGAAATATCTAATGTAGTATATAAGATATAAATATTTGAAAATATGCTTTTAATTTTACCAATATTTTATTAATACTGATTCCATCTGAAATCGGATTTTTGGATAATAAAATATCAATTATATGGAATGGACTTAACTAAAGATTTTTTTATTTCATTTTACATAGTTATAGTGAAATAATTTCATTAAAAACTATATCACTCTCGCCCCATTACGTAAAGAACTAGAACCGTCTATTTAGATTATTCGTCAAATGTATTTAGTGATATATCATCACTAATATATTCGCAAAGGGTATGATGTTTATAAAGAAATATACAGAATTAAAAATGAAATTTTTCTTTACCATTTTATGATATACTGCTATTGGCAGAGATAATGGAATATTGCGACCTGTACGATCTATTGTATTACATTCTGTGTGAAAAGTATTCGGAATCCATTATTTGAAAAACATTTCTGCAATTTTTTTTCTATAAATTGGTAGCACTACAATGTGTTTTCATACCACATTTAAGAGCGATTTGTTACCTAGTATTTTTACCTAGTATGTATTATTTTTATAATTATCCTTTTGAGTGTTTTGCAATATGCATGATGAATAATTGCTTCAACAAAAATGTTATCTTAACGGTAATTCGTTTATTGTCAAAATATGGGCATTTTAATGATACAAACTTTTTAAAGTACGTCGATATGTGGTAGTTTATCATAGGCTGGTAGGTCTACTACTACAAAAATATTGAAAAAGCTGCTATTCTTAATCTTGTGACATTGGCTCAAGAATTGGATATGTCGTTTAAGTGAATAATATGACTCGTGCTTTGAGAGCATGAAGCCATCTTCAACTCATCATAAAGCATGACATACAAACAAGCCAGCGATTTCCGGAATGTCTCTTCAAAAAGGAAACTTAAAACTGCGTAAAAGTTGTAGTTCAACTATATATTTTCTTTTTGATTATTGTGGTTATACGTCATGAGATTTTTGCCTGACAATATCAACAGAAAATGACCGAAAAAATAGAAAATTTACTAAAGAATTACCTTAATCAGTTTACTAAAAATATACTAGATAGTTTTTTGCATACTTTGCCTGCAAAAAAATAAATTTTGATTGATTGATGATTTTTTTTAATTCAATAATTTAATTCCGAACACTTTTTACACAAAATGTATTTAGATAATATATTTTTCATATTTAGAGTTAAATAAGCCGGAACAACAAAGTTGTCTTATATATGATTTTTAGTACTTATATGGTCACTAATTAATTAAATAATTAATGTTGACGCAATTCATGGGCGATTTATAATCGAATTATTACATTAAATTAAAAAGCCGTGACAAAGTAAAGAAAAGGGTTCTTTAAGTTCTTACTTTAAATTAATCCTTTATTTATTTTTTTATTAAAAAAATTCTAAAATGTGTATTCTAATTATTAAGAGTTATCCTTAATTAAAAAAAAAATTATATTAAATTATAACGTTTTACCATAGACAAATAAAAACATAGCTTAGTTAAAGTTGAAAAATATTCATTCGAAGATGTCATATAAACAATATAATAAAATATTAGAAAGCAATGCTGCAATATATTTTACAAATATTTTAAAAGCAAGTAACGCAAAGGCAACACCAGCAAGTTTTTGGCAAGTTTACAGTATATTATGTATAGTGAAAACTTTTCTAAAAATTGTATTGAAGTTGGTATGAAATTTTTGACAATCTCTTTTTAGAAAATTACTGTGAAGTTTAAAATTTCTTTTGGTTAATTAAAAATTAAATTCAACATATTTCGTACTTGTGGTAAACATTCCAGTGTATGTTCGCAGGATAAAACGCAATGCTTAAATAAGTTCCTACATATGTATTTTATTCTTCTAAATGCAATGAATTTATTTGTCTTTAGTATCACGGCAGAATTATAGTCTATAAAATATATATCCCTAAAAATATATAAGTAATAAATAAAATATACATAGAAGTAAATTATAATAAAAAATAAACTAAATAATAAAAACAAAGATATAAAATTTTGAAGATACTGAAAATGAAACTGTATGAAAAGAATTTTAAACAAAATAAAACCAAAATCAAAATAAAAAGTTTATAAAAATTTTTTAAAAAAAGCAATGTAAGAAATTGAAATTAATCGATTTAAAAAAGCTTTGAAGTGACATAGTACATATCATATGATAAAGTGTGATCCATTTTGTGCTCCTGATTAGGCAATACTATTTCTGTAACATATGTCATCGTCGTCGTACGATTCGAATTATTATATAATTTTGTAGTAGATAAATCTTGTCACAAATTTCTTTTAGTGATGGCACTCATTTCTGTATTAAAAATTTGTTTTTAAAAGAACATTGCATTTACAAAATGGCACTGTATGGGTGTAGCATTTGGTGTAGTTGTACTCATTACATTTAAAATAATGAGCATGTGATATAAATCAACAATTTTAATTACTACAGGTTACTGAATTTAAAGACATACTATAGTTATGGAAGTCAGTGCTACAACACACACAAAACATTCTAGTTTGCCTTTGGTGCGCGTCCGGAAATTTTCCGAACCTCCAATTCCATAATTTGTTATTTTTTATAGGGATACGTAAAGAATTGTAAAGAATAATGTGGACTATACTAAATCTTTCGGTGGCTTAACAACAAATATTCGTCAAATAATGACTCAACTATTTGCAACTATGTCTCGCAGAATATCTTGTGAAAGACATTCAAATAAATTTGTATTTCAAACCTTATAGTAAGTTTCAAATAATATATTGAAGTAAAAAATCTGTTTTATTTGCTTTTACTTTCGGAACCACAAAATGGATAGCTCTGTATATATGTAATCTCTGTAAAAAAGTTCAAACCCACTCTCCAAATTTAGTAAACCATTCAAGCAATTACTTATCGAGTTATTTGCACTGTCAAAGACGATGCTAGAAGTTCACGAAATATTGCTAGAGTGAAATAACTTTTAAGTCTGTTATGAGAGTTCGAAAAAAAAACACTATGTAAATGTAAATTTAAAACCAAAGCACTACTTTTTTTGAATTCTAAATTTAATTAAATTTAGTTGTTTTGTTATTTGAAGAATGATTATTAATTTCAATAAATTGTAACAAGCAACCAAAGTATAGAAGTGGCTTCAAATGCAGTAAAAAAAATTGAAAGCCAACTCCGAAACAGCATGTTTGTAAAAATGTTATATTGAAAAAAGGAAATAATTATATCCAAAACACAGCAAAAACCAAAATCATTATTATAGATTATATATTTATTATTATTAAATTATTGTTTGTTGTTGTTGTAATGTTTTAAATTGAAAGCAACGAAATGTAAAAGAAACGCAACCAAAACGCAATCGAAACGTAACGTAACGCAATTGAAATGGAACATGATATCAAAATATATAACAAATTGAAGGAAACAATATAAGAAAAGAGAGAATGCCAGCAAACCGAACAAACGCATTTGATTCTCACTTTATTATTTTGATTGTGTCTATGAATGCGACTAATCGTATTCGTAGTGGAGTTAGGAGAAGTTCCTACTGATACGGTAACACTGCCACCGGGTGGAGTCGGGGCGTGTAAAATTTTTTGTAGACGTATTACCTAGAGAAAAATAAATAATTGTAAAAAAAGAAGAAACAAAGAACAAGAAAGTAGGTAAGGTAGAATATACAAAATTAAATAAAATTATTAAATTAATGTTTACTATAATTAAATCAAAAGAAAATTATAAAACTAATTAATTATATTAGGAACTATGTAATAACATTAACTATTTAAAAGTATGTAATGCTTTTATTTTGTGGTTAGTTATTGTATGTTAGTAATATGTTTACTGTAATTTTACAAAAGTAATTAAGCACAAATAGTAATTTTTCAATTTATGTAATATAATATATTATCTAATAAGTAAAATAATTCACATATTAAAAATTTTTATCAAGAAGTTTTTTTTAAAAAAATTTTAAGCATAAGGGGCAGTGTAAACATTAAGTAACGCACATTTTTATTAATTTCTACAGTTTTGGATAGAAACAGATTTCTTTCACTTTTAATAAGCATTTAAGTAAACAGTTTTATTTCATTTATATTTTTGAAAATATTTGAATATATTTTATATATTCCTTTATGTTTACTTCACTTTTATTTTTTATTTTCTTTTTTATATTTATTTTTTTACCATTTTTAAGGATTTATCATTGAGTTTTGGAAAAGTCACTTAATGTATTGTTAAATATTATATATACCAATTTTAAAAAAGTAATATTATGTTGAAAGAAGAAATGTAGCTCGAAGCTCTAGAAGCGTTTACCATATATATATCCGTAAATTTTATATATATATATAAGATATATATATATAAGACATAATATAGAAACATTTTCTTTATGATATCTATAAGACTAATCGATGGTATTAATGATGTACTTTTTCTAAGTCTAGTAATAAAATAGTAACTACAGTGCGTATGAGTAATTTTTACTATTAAACTGTTTTTATACGAGTAAATGTATACGTTTATTGTATTTAATAAATTGAAACTCAAAAAAAAATATTTAGAATGATTTCGTACTAAATGTGCTTAATTATATATATTATTTTAGTAGCTAGTTAAGTTAATAATAATTACATTTCTTTTATTAAAATTGTACATAAAATTAAAAACAGGACAACATTTATTACTAAACTAAATAGTTAAGGATTTTTTTATTAAAAAAAACTTATTAGTTACTTTATACAAAAATAATAATATAAACAAAAATTAATTACATTTTTTGTTCTTGTTATTTAGTTCAATTTTTTTTATATTAAGAGCCAAAGAGCTGTTAAAAGGATAGATTCGAATTTGAAATAAAACACTTACCGCATCCTGAAAATAAACAAAAAAATTTAAAAAAATAAATAATATACGCAAAAAACTATAAAAATTAAAAATAATTGAATTTTGATATCAGTGTGAATGTGAAAGCGAATTTTTATTAATAACATAAAAACAAGAAATTTGGAAAAGAAAACATTTGTATAACAAAAACCCAACCAAAGCAACCAAGTAAGCATTGTTTTTTTAGTACATAATGCCAATATTTTAATACAATATAAAAATTGTAACATAAAATCTTTTTAGCTATCTTTATAACTCATGCAAAAAAGCAATATAAACTTTTGAATACTCTAAATCATAATTTAACTACTTCTCACTAAGCCTAAATACTGGTTAATATACTGCAGAGCTTATAAACAGAAAAATAAAGTATTTTAACGAAATTTACGAAATTTACAAGCTAAGTTAATAATTAAACAAAAATTTATTACATATAAAAATAATATTCGTATATTAAATATAAGCATATTTATAAAGCAAAATATTTTATGAAAATAAAAGCAATCTGTAGCAAAACACTTACCTTGCGGGAGCTCTTTTCATTTAACTGGCCAGCGCCATCTGCAGTACTGCCACGGCCACCCGCTGTACTGCCAGCTGATGAAGGGAAGGAACCTGTAGCTATATTTGAAAATGGCACTGGTTCGGAGAATTTAATGGTGTGCAAAAGTTGCATAACAACATTTGAGACATTACGGAACGACAATTTCCGACGGCTACCAATTGCCGAACGTACGCCTAAAGTATTTAGCATAAGCGGCTAAAATAAAAAAATTAATTTAATTAAAATTTTGTACATAACTTCAAAGTGTGCGTATATTCACTTACTTTTCGCCTATGTGGTGGTGGCACAATGAAATATGTATCAACGCCATGATCACGTAGATATGATGAACGTTGATCGCCATGACCAGCTTCTACTTCATATTCGCCAGATAGCGAATCAAGTGTAGCGCGTGTTACATGCACACGTCCTGGTTCTCCACCTGATTCCATATGATTTGCCAAAGTGACATCATTGGACCAAACATCAAATTGCCATTTGCGTAAACCTAAAACGCCGCATAGTACACGGCCAGTATGTATGCCAACACGCATATTTAATATCACATCTGTAGCCTCAACAACCGTGCTGATGAATATAAGATATTGTTATAATTACATTTAAAAAATTATTTATTTAATATATAAAATTATTTAATTATTTTCAAGAAATTATTTTTAAACTTATATACATATTTATTAAAAAACTTACGCAATTGCATCGATCATATCAAGACCCATTTCAACTGCACATTTGGCATGATCCTTGCGTGGCTCCGGTAAGCCAGATACGCAATAATAACAATCTCCCAAAATTTTGATGCGCAAGCAATGGTTGTCCTATTGTGAAAAATTGGATTATATATTTAAATTATATTGTGTACATGATAAATAGAATGTGGATTTTAATCCTTAATGTGGTTAATGTGGTTTATTTACATACAAAAAACTCAAACATAAAGTGATAACTCTTTAATATTTTTTCATTTGATGGATTTTTTTTAGATGGAACTTGTTTTAATAACTTTATGTTTAATTTTTTGTATATCTAAGTATAATACGCATTATAGACAATTGGACTATTATTAAACTTACATGCGCTAATTGATCAAAACGTCCAAAAAGTTCATTCAACAGTCTTACTAATTCCTGTGCACTACACTGAGATGATAATACCGTAAAACCAACAATATCAGCAAACAGTATACTATAAAAATAAGATAAAAATAAACATAAATTAATTTATATTAAAAGTAATAAAAACTATGTATTTAATATATTTATAATTGTATAAAAATCAGCAGAGTTGTATTAAGTACTTTTTTCTTGTACCTAGATATTGTACCTAGAGATAGAGATGGAGATAGAGGAACTGTTTTCAAAAGTGTCTAGGTGAAGATACTTAAAGTTGAAGTAAAGATACACTTTTATAAATAAATAAAATATTTAAGATAAATTATTTTATATTAAAAGAAATATATATTTAAGTTGTGCTTATTGCAATAATAAGAAAATAAAAATATTCAATTATTTATAGATTATTGTTTTTGACTAGTCATACATACGGTAAAATTAATTTGAATACATATTTTCAATATATGTAATTATACATGAACCCAAATATATATACAGTCAAACTTCCATAACTAGAAGTACTATTTTGCAAAGAAAAGGTTCGACTTATGGAGACTTCGAGTTAGAGAATTTTTTAATTTTTTGTTTTTGAAACTAGAATTGCATTTTATTTTATTTTATTTATTTATTTGAAATCAAATAGAGCATAGAAGTTATAGTGAAGTGAAATACTCAGAAATGAGGGTTTCGGATTTAAATTTGTTTTTTCTTATTTTCACTTAAAAATATTCCAATTTATTGTAAACCTTATAGTGATCATCAGCTGTAGTATCATTCGTTTGTTTTAGAAAAAGGGAATTCCCCAACACCAAAATGGATTCATACCTAAAACAAAAATTCGACTTATAGAATGCACTTTTCCATATTCCTAATGGCACGTGATAATCTTTTTATTTGAGTTCTAGAGAAATTCGAGTTATAGAAGTTTAAATTATGGAAGAAGAATTCTATGTAATTTGCTCTCTAAAACCCTGTTGCACTCTTTTTAGTTCGAGTTATAGAAAATTCGAGTTATAGAAGTTCGAGTTATGAAACTTTGACTATATATATATAATTATATTGTATTTTGTTAATTAATCTAAATAATTTCGATATGCATTTAAAACATATTTATAATTTATACATTCTACCGTTTTGATTACTTCTCTAATGAAATGCTATAAAATTTTAAATATTTACTATTATATTAATTCAGAATAATTTATTTAGATTCTTGCATTACTTATGTCATAAAAACATTTCAAAATAATCCATCAAAATCATTTTGAGTTATTTCCCCAGCCAAATGTCATTAAAGCGTTTGCAAAATAAAAATTTCTTGAACTCAAGCCAATTTTTTTAATACAAATTATTTATTCTCCATCTTTACTTAAAAATTTGTAATGTGTATCTTCAGAGTAAACTGACATGAATCAATTATTTGCGGCACAATCGATCATTTGCATTGTTTAAATATTTTAAAATACAATTTTTCATTTTACCACGAAAAAAGCATTTAAATTTTAAATGCACATTTCGTTGATGTTGATTGAGTAAATTTTTGGCTGCACTTTGCCACAGACAATATACACAAATTCGCAGGTAAATACTACAATATCAAAAGTAAATAAATGGAATTTAAATATAAATTTAATGGACACACAGTTGACGTCAACGATATCTTTAATTGCTTTAAAAAAAATTTTTTTTTTTATTTGCTAATTTTAAAACTTAAACAGCCGTTTAAATAAGTATGACGTTATATGCATCTTATTATATATGCAAATGCAATTGAATGCAGTTTAAAATATAATAGCTTACCTAACATTTTCGTGTTTTTGTATGTAAATTCGGTGAAATTGACCAGCCACAGGTGACAGTATATCATTTTTCATCTGCATTGCAACATGCTGAGGTAGTACCGACAATAAAAGTCTTTCCAGTTTCTCATTTTCATCCTGAATTTCTAAACGGGCGGCTATACAATTCCGTGTATCTAGGAACGCACGACGCTGGGCACGTTCCATCATTATATTTACAACTAAGCCAGCTACATTAACGCCAATAAACATTACAATGTTAGCTATTAACTGTTATTAAATAAATAAGAATTTTATTTAATAAATTAATTAAATGATATAAGATTTTTTATAAATTTAATTTTGTATATTTTTATTAATTATGTTAATAAGATTTTTTGATTGAACATACCTGATTATATTCCAAATAACGAAATGAATCCGTAAATATTTTATAAACCGTCAAACTTATATGCACCGAAGGCAATAATATACCAAAGCAAACCGCTTCCCAGATTTGAAGTGGCATCATGGCATAAGCCAAAAACACTACGAATACAATTTGCCAAACTCCCTCGGCCATGACCTATACAGATTAAATAGAACCACATTTAACCATGTCTAAAATATTTGTTTCAATTAAGAAGATTACTGAAGCATGAAATATTCTAATTTAGTTTGATGACAGAATAGTCGGTATTGGTAGTACTTGTATTTTGTCGAGTTTCAGTTTAAGACGTTATCTTATTTTAACATATAAAATGCAAAATATTTTTTTTTTATATAAAAATTAATTTATTTTTAAATTCTATTTAATTTAATAACTTTACGCAAGTACGCAAGTAACTTCATAATAGTTATGACGATAGTAATAACTGCTAGTTTAACTGTTTAAACATTATTGTTACTATACAAGTGAATATAAAAAGGTAACTTTTAGTAATAATTTATTTTATTTTATATAGTAAACACTATATTTGAAGAAATAATTTATTATAAAATATGTATTTTATTTATACCTCAGCATTTCAAATTAATAAAAAAATTTATAACACAATATTTAACGAAATAATTTATTATAAAATATGTATTTTATTTATATCTCAACATTTTGAATTAATTTAAAAGTTTATAACACTGTATTATAAATCCTTAAATGCATTATAACCCTATATAATAAAGATGACCCTTATAATGTTAGTCGTAGTCAACTGCTATTATTATTATTCCAGCGATGTACATGTCACATAAACAAGTATATGAATAAACTAAATTCTGTATGAAATTATGAGGATTAATTGGGTAACAAGTCCTAAAATAGTTGTTGGCTATATAGAATCTTTCCGATAGAAATTTTCCAATAAAACTTTCTGACTAGTTCTGGTTCCTGCTAGTCACAGGCAAGAATTTGAAATTCATATTATTTTCACTGTCTTTTTCTTGAACTTCAGCTTTAAATCAAGTGGATGTTTTTCATGGGACACTAAACGATGAAACGGTATTGGTGCAAATTAAGTGAGACCTATCATAACTGAATGTGTTAGTTGAAGAGTGCCTGAGCATTTTTTTTCATTGGTCAGGCATAATTAAAACTAATTCAAGCACAACGGTGAATAAGTTTTTATCCACTGCGCAATATCCTTGATTAGAAAGCAGCTGAGAGCTTGTGTTACTTAATGCATTCAGCTGCTTATAAAGCCCTATATACCCTATATTCTCCATAAATATACAAAGAAAAAAATACGTATCCATTAATTCGAATATAAATACATTAAATATTTTCAAAAAAAAATCACATCCAATATGTAATAATATAAGAAAATTTGTTATTTTCAGATATTTACAGAAGTTAAAAAGACTTCTTGTATTCGTTCTTATTTTCATTTGAAGACCGCAAGTAATATTTATATACAAACATTTATTTCATATAAATCAAATAAGTTTTTGATATCTTAACTGTATTAGTAAATAAAGTCTTTCACCAAAAATGTTTCTAAACTCAATACCAACGAAAATGTATATGTTAATATATCATGTCATAACTCAAAAATGTGTATATTTTTCATAACACATTTATTCAATTCTATCTACCTTGTGTACTGATTAAGATACAAATAATTACTTTTGCATTTATTTCACACTTACCTCCTTTGTATCCACTGGAAAAATGCTGCCCACCGTTGGCATTGAGACAAAACAAATGCTGGCGGTGAAAAGTAGAATGCTATAGCAAAGTATTGGCAAATGATGATCTTTGATAACGCGACATTGCAGTAATATGAGTATAACGGCAAAAAGTAGACAAACAATGGAGTTGAATACATTCTAAAAGTGTATATATCGTGATTACAAATTACAAATACATATTTCTAGCGTTATGGATAAAGATTTTGACTTACATGAAAAGTAGGTGCATTATTATAGGCCAACGAGAGTGCCGCCATGACACCACACAGCACTACAACTAAAGCTACCACGCCCAGTACTGAGAAGCGTTGCAACTTTAGTGTGTAGCGCTGATAGAGGCATTCTAGCTCATCGTTTTCAAAACGTAAAGTATTCCATGGACGGCCGCGTGTCGCTTTAACCGCATGATCCATGATTGCACCGTCCAACCGCCCTTAGAAGGCGGTTAAATGGTGCCAACACAATGCGTGCAAATGGCGGCAAATCAATTGTGCGGAAACTGAAAAGATAAATAAATAAAAGAAACAAATTAGTACATGTATATATATATAAATATATTAGTAAAATAAATCAATATGACTAAATTAGTAAATATTTAAAAATAGACACAAGAACACCAATATCAGCCTGTCAAAATGTACAATGTGTATTCGAGGGTCATTCGTTACTGAGGGCATATGTTCTACTTCAAATTGACTGCTAAGTGCAACTGTCAAATTAGTAAATTGGCAGGAGGAAAATTAAGAAAATATATTGTTTAAGTTAATTAGTATATTTTTTAAGATTGCTTTTTGCCATTTTAACTAAAATAATTATGTATTTTATATATTTATTTGCTTTTGTGCTCAGTTTTGTAAAACTGATGTAATTGGGCAAATCTGTCAATTCACTTTGTTACTCAATAAGTTCTGTGCCGTTTCCCTGGCAAATTTTATGTACATGAAGTATTTTGTATTTAATTTTATATGAAAGGCACTTCAAGGATAACAATTTAAATAAAATAAATAAAAATTTTACTCTCATTGGCGCAGTTAATGCTTTTTGGGTAAACGCCAAGTGTTTCGTAATAGGTCATTCTTAAGCCTATATAAAATTGGTGTGTATTAAAATGTCTGCCATTAATTTCCGAAAGGCTTTTCTAAATGCTGCGGTATTTGCATGTCAGTGCTTTTATTATTTGAATTCCAAATCTATCTATAATATTTGTACTTTAAAAACGCAAATTTAAAGTTGTATTTATTTTTAAAGAATATCATAAAATTCTAGGGAATTGTAAAATATAAAACAATGAGCTCAATATATTGAGTTAGATATATGAATACAATTTAGTTTATAAGTGAATCCAATTTAGCATTGTAAAAAATAATTCAGACGAAATGATTTAAGTTTTACTTCTAATGTTTGTGTATAACTATTTTTAACTTGTAATCAAATATTATAAAATATATTTATAAAATAATATTTATAAAATTAGTATATATAAACATATTGTTTATATATAAAGATAAAGATATTTAAACAAATTTGCTTTCCATAACTGAATAATATATCTATTAGTTTTCGTAAAATTTTTTATATCAATGTTTGTACACTGGCTAAACTTTGACAAGATTTTTATGTTCTATTACAAAAACATATTATTATCGAATTTTACCTGAAAAAAATAATTTGGAATCTGTTAGTGTAAAAATGAGATTATATAAAATGAGATTATTATATAATCATGTGATTATAATCTATTGTGATTGATAGGTACTATATTCTCTTTATCTTGGCAACTTTTGCATAATCCACTAGTTGGAACTCGACACCATAGGAACATAGGCGCAATGGCATTATGCTCCGTTAGTACTCCAGTAAGCACACGAACTGCAGGTTTGCTGAAGCCTAAAAGGCTTTTTGTTTTGTTTTTGTCCAAACTAGGCCATAAGGTTCTAGCGACATCACAGAATTTGCGGTTAGTCCATAGTCCATAGTCGATTAGTCCAATTGTTCGTCACCGTATTGGTAGTTTCCTTTATTATCCTAAACAGTTCACATATCGGTGTTTGTATTGAGAGGTCGACGTCTCTTATATGCAGTTCAAATCCATTTCTGGCCATCTCATATGCTAGTGATGTTTGGATTTAATCATTTTGGATTCAATTGCTTTCAGTGCGGTCTGACTATCTACAAAAATCGTGATATTCGAGGACAAATTGTACATTGTTGTATAAGATTGGCTGTTTTCTTGATAGTATATATCTCAGTCTTAAAGATACCTACTCGTAAAGATACGAGAAGAGACCTACTCCTATACTACTCTCCATCTTTGAGCCATCTGTGTAGATGATAACTGAAGAATTACCTGTCACAGGTACAAGCTCCCAGCTACCTCTGTTTGGATATAAAGTGGAAATTCTGGTTCAAGTATTATAACTATCAGTTTTTTTAATTAGCAAAAAAGTTTGAAGGGAAAATAAACTTATATTACGTTGATTAAGATGTTACAAGTCTCATTAGTTAATATAAGAATTTATTACTTTCTTTCGTTTAATTAATGTCGTTAACAGTTTTACTTCCCATCCTAAGTTTGTGGTTTCTTTTTGTAAATAATCATCTTATACAAATGAAATACAAATTTACTAAGCTAAACGCAGTTTTCTCAAACCAGTCACGGGGACTGTTTTCTAGAAATGTAGAAAATCCTTTCATTTTCAAGTATTACTGTCTGTGCTGGCACTTAATGTCGTTCTCAAGTAATTAATGAGTACTTGCAGTTATTACTTTCTGTTCTGCTTAAGGTGTTAATTGTGTACCAACAAAGTAGCTACAATTTGTACAAAGTATTTGCAATTGTTTTTAATTGAAAATGAGGAAAACTAATAAAAAGCACATTAATACTCAAAGCCATAATTAAATTAAGTTTTACGATGCATCAAGCATTGAAATTTAATAATTTTGCTATCGAGAAAGATATATATTTTATTATTTTATATTTTATTATTATATTTTCATAGAAACAAAATTATTTTTAATTCTGATTAAAACTCTTGAATTTAAATTTATTTAAAAAAGTTTTGGTTATAAATTAATCCCACAAATCAATGCAACAAATTAACCTTCAAGTTGTTCATTTCAATTAATTAAGTTTTAAACAAATTATTCATTTTTAATTCTTCCAATTACTACAAATTTTTTATTTTTTTCCAAAATCATTTAAAAGAGAAATTAATGATTTTTAATTAAATTTGTTTAAATGGTTGAATTCCAATGAAAATTGCATTTTGTTTAATTAATTTAAAATAAAATAAAAGTTTGCTGATATCTGGAATACAAACTTAATTGCACAGGGAAGAGTTTTGTGAAGATTAAAAATCTACGTCATTCACTTAAACTTAACCTTGAATATTTTTAATCCTTCCGTCTGTTCAAGGTCCAATTTCCGCAATGGCTCCCGCAAGAAAATTTCGCCAAAGCTGATATGCGTTTTTCATTTTAAATTTTGTCACATCACCTGTGCACTTGAGTGAAAATATTATTCATAATATTGCTTAATATATTTGCCATGTCTTTCCTGCTTATACAGAATTTATTTTTATATAATCTAGTCGTATATAAAACATATTCTTCAAAATTAAATTACAGTCTAATGTGGAATCCATCACTGGCAATTTTATGTGGGGACACGGAAAACTGGCGTGAGAATTATGAAAAATATTACGTGTTAATATAGAAAATGGTGAAAATGTTCTTCTCCACCTCCAAGTGGCATGGCGTGTTCAAATGCGGCAGTGTTGGTAAACGCGTAGGCATTAAATTATATTCTGCAAATTTATTTAATTTTTCCTTCATTTTAATTTATTTTTGTAGGGGTTGTGTCAAGTGATTTATTAATGTTTTTGTTACACTTTCATGTTTGCTAATATTTCATTTGATTTAATTTCTCGTTAGCTTAACAATTTTTCGTTAATTTGTACATACTTTTCCGCAAATGTATTTCATGCCAAAAATAACAAACATTTTGAAATTTAAAGTGCAAAATTGTTTTATTGTTTATTTTAAGGCGGATTTAAATACATGAGTCTTGATTTTTATTTATATATATTGTATTATTAAGAATACTCTTTAAAATGTTAATAAATCTTCTTATATGTGTAAGTCCTTATCGTTGTTAATGAATGTGATATTTAAAATATTTATAACGATTAAGACATTTGTGGAAACTGCATACGTCACGTAACTTATCCGACAACTTTTTAACCGCAAGTTGTAAGTTTGTTTACTCTAGACTCAAAGTCTTTATTGCATAATATTTAATATATATAAAAAAAATTTATTATAAGAATTTTATGAAATAAAACCTTTATATACTTAGATTCTACTGATAATATATAAAAATATTATGTTTCAGTTCAGTACAGAATTAATGTGGCTCCTTGTAGAATATAAGGCCTTGATTTTGTGCGGTTTTGTTATAAGCTCATCACTTCGTTTAAAGTGTATTTCCCTAATTTTGCTTCTTTCACTATAGTATGGTCGCAGTGCAGCAAATTTAAAACAAGCTGCCCAAAATTTGGTATTTTTTGAAACAGTAGAGATTTTAAACAAAATGTTTCTTTAACATATATTAGTTTTTGATATGTGTAATAAATATAGGCACCGCCTACCTATATTTAAAGAAGTATAAAAATGTTTAGTTCGTCTGTGTAGCGAGACACAGGCGTCATCTTCTTCTATTTCATAGATAATTTTACTCAAACAGTTACTGGAAAATATTAAAAAGCTATTTTGCAAAAGATTTTACCTAATTACCAGGTCTCGCACTCTTAAAGAAGCAGCGATAAACATTAAATTTACATATTTGAATTTCAGTTATTATCGATAAGGAGTTAGATTTACAGCTATTTTCCACTTACGCAGAGACTAATGTGACTTTAGCCAGTTTCGCTTTTATGTTCGTTTCTGCAAAGGATTGTGACTGTAGTCAACCAGGTATCACAACTAGAGAGAAACCGCGTTAACACATTGAATTTTATTCTCCAAATTTTTTTGTTATCGACATGAAGTTGGAGTTACAGCTATTTATTACTTGCGCAAAGGCTAACGCAGTTTTAGCTAATCTAGCTTCCGTATCCACCTCTACATATATCTGTAACTAAAAACTCCTAAGGTAGAAAAATGAATCCGCCAATTCCTGTGTATTATGAAGTTTACGCTTTTGGGGCTCCTTCCACGTTAACTTTAAGATCATGTTTTTCATGATCTTTAGATTTTTAAGCAATGATTCCCTTATTTCTTACTACGTAAACGTGGTAGACTTTATGTTTTCTAAAATAGTTATGAAGTATCTCATTATGAAGAACGCTTTATTTAAAACTCTTATAATATGTCTTCATTGGACTGATTAGTATGGAAAGATCTTGGGTTTTGTGGAGATCGTTTAATTGGTTGTGCAATGTATGCTCTTGAAGTCCTTATGAATGATCTATAAAATGAATTTTACTCAAATTAAGCGGT